CTCCTGGGCTCAAGTGATCCTCCCACCTCAGCCTCCCTAGTAACTGGGACTACAGGCATGTGCCATCACACCTGGCTAATTTTTTTAAATTATTTTTTTGTAGAGATAGTCTTGTTATTTTGCACAGTCTAGTCTTGAACTCCTAGGCTCAAGCAGTCTTCCCACCTTGGCCTTCCAAAGTACTGGGATCACAGGTGTGAGCCACCATGCCTAGCCTAAAAAAAATTTTTAACTAGAATTTTGTAATTTTAAAGAGCAGTTTTAGGTTCATAGCAAAATTTAGTGCAAAGTACAGTATAGTGTCATTTTTAAAAAGGTACAGTTGTAATAGAGTAGATTTTTCCCTGTATTACTGCTTCTTGACATAGTTTTGGCCCAATTTAATGATTTGATTTTTCCCTTATCATAAGGATGGTCCAGAGCGTGAGCCAACAAAATAGCCATTGAACTCAAGTTGAATGACATTGTAACCATTCTACATATGACCATCCTACTTTTTCCTAGATAGAAGTCCCATTCATCCCAGTGTATGTTAGCCTTTAAACCTGCACATCCACTAATTTAACAACTTTAATTAAGTTGAACTAGCATGACTAGTTATTGACATACATACATGGTTTTTTTTTTTTCTGTTTCAGAATGATCTGTCTCAGTTAAAGTTGTTAATAAAGAAGTGGAGAAGTTGTAGCCAGCTGTTGCTTTATGAGTTGCAGTCAGCTGTGTCTGAAGAGAACAAGAAACTGAGCCTTACTCAATTGATAGACCACTATGGGTTAGATGATAAATTGCTGCACTATAACAGAAGTGAAGAAGAATTTATAGATGTTTAATTCCTGATTTTTGCTCCAGAATATCTTTGAGAATGACAACTTAATTAAAAGATATTTAGGCACTTTTTTTTTTTTTGGAGACTGAGTCTCGCTCTTGTCACCCAGGCTGGAGTGCGATGACGTGATCTCAACTCACTGCAACCTCCACCTCCCAGGTTCTAGCAGTTCTCCTGCCTCAGCCTCCAGAGTAGCTGAGATTACAGGCACCTGCTACCACGCCGGGCTAATTTTTGCATTTTTAGTAGAGACTGGGTTTCACCTGTTGGCCAGGCTGGTCTCGAACTCTGGCCTCAGGTGATCCACCCGCCTAGGCTTCCCAAAACCATTAGGGCTCAGAGGAATGTATCCCGATGAACATCAATTAAGGGCACTCTTAATATATAAATTATAAACTAACTTCTAAAAGGAAAATTAGTATTTTGGATAGACTTGCCAAAGAAAACTTGACATTTAAATCATGTTTAAAATGTCATTTGGGCAGTTCTGGAAACTAGTTTTAATACATTTGTTTTTTGTGGCAAAAAGTTTTATTTTAAATGTTAAACATTGTCCACTCTGGTAAATGTCTAAACCTAAAGTTTAAAAATTTCTGCCTCCTAAGTTTATGCACCTTGTTTCCATCCATTTACCACATATTTCCATCTGATAATTTAGCAGGTAATTAAACTCATATGTCCAAAACTATATTCTTCCCTGTCTCTTCAAATTTGTTTCTCATACTCATGATTTAGTGAAACAACCATCTATTCTTTTTTTTTTTTTTTTTTGAGACAGAGTTTTGCTCCTGTTACCCAGGCTACAGTGCAATGGCACAATCTCAGCTCACTGCAACCTCCACCTCTGGGGTTCAAGCGATTCTCATGCCTCAGCCTCCCGAGTAGCTGGGATTACAGGCATGTGCCACCACCCTGGCTAATTTTGTATTTTTAGTAGAGACGGGGTTTCCCCGTGTTGGTTAGGCTGGTCTTGAACTCCTGACCACGGGTGATCCACCCGCCTCGGCCTCCCGAAGTACTGGGATTACAGGCGTGAGCCACTGCGCCTGGCTAAACCATCTATTTGTTATAAAACTACATTTCCTTATCTCCCGCCCACATCAAGGTATCATGGTATATAAGGTTCTTTACATTTGTTTGCTTTTCTAGCTTCATCTGTGAAATAGATTAAATTTAGATTGTTTATTTTGTTTATAAACCCACCTCCACAGGGGTTGGGTTTCTGCTGCCAAGTTATACAATTGTACCTATCATTTTGGCCATGTATGGAGATAGGACCCAAGCTGGGCCAGTCCCTGAAAATTTGGAATTTAGCTCAGGAAAAGAAAGCCCATCTCTTTTTGTGACTGCAGCTGTTGTATATACACCTGGAAGGAGCAGAGCTGACATGCTTAAGGGCAGTGAGTGTGCTTACGGAGAAAGGCAGAGGTGATAGAATTTTGTGGATCAGTGGCTTCCTGGTTTTAGTTGCTAGTCATTCTTAAGGGCTTTCTGGATTTCTGCTTTTGGGTCCTTTTAAGTGTTAAAACAGCTTTACTTAGCTTTTTCAAAAGCCATTCCCTACTAGTTTAGCACTCCTCTGAACCCCCCTCAAGTACATCCCACTTTCAGCCCAGTCCCTCCCCATAATCTAACCAGTGTTGAATGTTTGGCACAGCAGGAGACGCCAGACCCTGCTTTTGTGTCCATTCTAATTGTTAGTGCCATGCCAGTAAACTCTTCCCCTGCCCACATATACAAATTCCTGTGCCGCTGGCCTTTGTGAATCTGGAGACTGGCCCAGACCTTATCTGAGCCTCCTCTGGCACTGGGATTCCTAGATGGGCACCCCTGTGGACTTGTACTGTTCTAGTGCTTACCAGCCAGCCTCTTATCACTGCTTGCTGCCAACCAGGGGCTTAAACGTGGCAGAGGAAATTGCCCCTTGTGGTGGTGCTGGCATTTTGGTAGGTCATTATGGTACCTCTCCAGATCTCAGAGGCTGCAGCTGCCCACTGCTGACAGGCACATCACCTGGAGCCACCCATATATATCGACTTGTGGGAAACACAGCATCAGTGAGACTGATTCTGGGACAGCTTAGGGGTGTGGTAATGGGGATTTCCAAGCATTGACTGGGTGCTGAGGTTCCAACAGCACAGCAGCTGCTCTGTTGAATTTAATGTGATGCATTTATTAAAAACCACTGACTACCATAGCTTTATTTATAAAAATGAGGGCTAATACAACATAACACTTGTTTTTAATTTAAAAAAACTAGAATACTAGTTCCAGTTTTAAAGAAGAAATTTAAGATAGTTATTTCAAAATTAGGTAGTTATTTAAAACTCAAGTAGCAGAGCCAAGACTTGAAGCCCAGGAATAGATCCTGTAATTTTAATTCCTATGCATAAAGCCATACTGTGTCTGACCCAGTTAATTATATCATTAGCTGATAATATAGATATTTTAAAGGACTATAAAATATGAATATAATTGCTGTTCAGCAGAAGCTGAGAGGAGTCAATACCATGAACAATATTAAGAGAGGAGTTAGTGTGCATGACCCATGTGTCCTTCCAAAGCCCCAAAACCAGAAGGTACCTCCTGTTGAAAGGGCTTCTGGAATGTGGCTTGACGGCAAAAGGTGCCCACTAAGCCCCACTCCATCCATGCCTCAAAGCAAGGCAGTCGAGCAAGGAGCATTGCCAGAGTCACCAAAGGCTGATGACTAAGAAATAGAAATGATGCCGGCTGTTTGGTTTGTTAAGACCTGGGATCCACAGAGCATTATCTAGTGAAATTTGTGGCACTGACCACTAGCAAGTGGAGTCTCTAGACAGCTAACTTAGGTGAAAATGGAGCTTGTGTCACCAGAAAAGACTAAAAAATCAAGTCTAGTACATCTATGGTTGACTCAAACCAACAGGACAGAGAACTTCTGGCAATACCATCTCAAGTATAAAGTATTTGCACCCCTACCCTAGGGTCTGTCCCTACAACTCTCAGGGATAATTTTGAAGGACCCCAGATGTAGGAAATGGTACCCATGGGCACTTCCCTACTGAATAAGCCAAACTGACTACTTCAGGAGTCAGTGTAGTACAAAGGAGGGGAGTCATCAAAATGTTGGTCCTATCATTTCCCTTACCATCCCCATCCAGCACAGATCACTATGTGGGTGATCAATTACATCTTCTAAAGGTTTTTTCTTTTCTAAATTAGAAGATTTTATAATAGCTCTCTTGCTTTATCTACATCAGTGTATATTGGATATGGTACTGAGGATTAAACTTAACGTTGAGTTCATAAATTGCAGAACAGTGAGACAGTCACACCACTTGGAGACTGTGGTCCATGATCCCTGTGGGTAGCAGTCCACAGGCTATGGAAGGGCAAAGCAGTTTTCTGGCCAATTAGTCATCTCATTATATAATTATCACCATCTACATGGGTAAAGTGATAAACTACTTCATGGAAATAAGAAAGTATTTTTCTGCTTGTTAAACCCTATTGGGTAGAGCACAAAATTGAATTCTATTAAAATATAAAAGAAATGTAGATTATCTTTCTAAAATATATTGTAATTTTTTTTTGAGATGGAATCTCGCTGTGTCGCCTAGGCTGGAGTGAAGTGGCGCGGTCTCGGCTCACTGCAACCTCCGCCTCCCGGGTTCACACCATTCTTCTGCCTCAGCCTACCCAGTAGCTGGGACTACAGGCGCCTACCACCATGCCAGGCTAATTTTTTTACTTTTTATTTTTAGTAGAGATGGGGTTTCACTGTGTTAGCCAGGATGGTCTCGATATCCTGACCTCGTGATCTGCCTGCCTTGGCCTCCGAAAGTGCTGGGATTACAGGCGTGAGCCACCGCACCTGGCCAAAATATGTTGTAATTTACAAATGATACAAGGCTTGGAAAAAGCTAACGATTTATCTTGTTCTCATTGGTGAAGCAGGGAATAATCTAAATATTCTCGTAATTTTTTTCTGATTATGAAAGAAATGCTTACTGAAGAAAATGAGAAACAGAAGGGCATAAAGATAAAAATTATCCATAATCTCAAAACTTTTCTGACAGTTTTATAAAATTAGAAATGTTTGGCAAAGACTTTCTTTTTAAGACTTTCTATACCATAACTATGAAAATATCTTTGATCTGACTCAGATTAAATGAGTAAAATAGATATTGAATACTTTCTGACTTCAAGTGTTGTTTATTCTTGAATAAAAATAGCAATTCATGGTATTTTACACATTTATTCATGCAGGACAAAATCTGTATACAATTTAGGCTAAAATTAAACAATTTTTTATCTGAAACATGCAACTAAGAGGACATGCTAATTCAATTTCTCAGTAAGAAAGAAAAGGAAATCATTTTACCCAAATGAAATGATTTTTTAAATGATTGATTTGGCCTTGTGTTTTCCTGCCAGCGTTTTTACATTTGAACAAGAGCAGGAAACGTTTTCATCCTTAATCTTTCAACTTCAGTCTGTAGTATTGAAATCTGTTCAGCTTGTTGTTTTGAAATATGTGTTAACTTCTGCTGTTGCATCATGTTTTCATACCGTTCTTTGACAATCTTTTCGCAAGTCAGTTTAGACCCTATCCCAAAAATGAAGAAGGAATTAGATTATTTATCAATACTTTCAAATACAGAAGCAGCACTCAGAATCAAACATGTGGAAGAAAGGCTGGTAGCAAAAAGGCATATGCACTTGTATGTTTATTGCAGCACTATCACAATAGCAAAGGCATGGAGTCACCCTAGGTGCCCCATCAACAGTGGACTGGAAAAAGAAAATGTGGTACATATACGCCATGGGACACTACATGGCCATAAAAAAAAGAATGAAATAATATCCTTTGCAGCAACATGGATGTAGCTGGAGGCCATTATCCTAAGCAAATTAACACAGGAACAGAAAACCAAATACCACATGTTCTCACTTATAAATGGGAGCTAAACAGTGGGTACTCATGGACATAAAGATGGCAACAGGAAACACTTGGAGGCCAGGTATGCTGGCTCATGCCTGTAATCCCCGCACTTTGGTTAGCTGAGGTGGGTGGATCACTTGAGCTCAGGAGTTCAAGGCCAGCCTGGCCAACATGGCAAAACCTACTCTTTACAAAAAATACAAAAATTAGCCAGGTGTGGTGGTTCCTGCCTGTGGTCCCAGGCACTTGAGGGGGCTGAGGTGGGAGGATCACTTGAGCCCGGGAGGTGGAGGTTGCATTGAGCTGAGATCATGCCACTGCACTCCAGCTTGGGCAGCAGAGGGACACCCTGTCTCAAAAAAAAGGAAAAAAGAAAAACACTGGGGACTACTAGAGGGAGGAGGCAGGGAGGGAGGAAGGGCTGAAAAATTATTGGGTACTATGTTCAATACCTGTGTGACAGAATCATTCCATACCCCAAACCTCAGCATCACACAATATACCCAAGTAACAAACTTGTACATGTACTCCCTGAATCTAAAATAAAAGTTGAAATTATTTTTAAATGATCTATTTTTAAAGAAATGCTGGTAGCTTTTTAACTATTGTATACATTTTAGGATTACTGATTACTTTTAAAGAAACTTACAGTTGGTTAAAGAAAAAAAAACATGCTTACCCATTGCATTACAGATGTCTTTTCTCTCTGAGACAGCTACCAACTCTTCTCGTAGATTGCAGCTTAGGGTGTAATTTGCTATATCTTTTTGATTGCTGAACTTTCCAAGTTTTTTGAGTAGTTTCTTGCAGTTTTCCACATTCTTTTTGTGGGTCTGAAATTTTTGTTCCCATGATACCCCACAAAATTAATTTTGAAAAATGTGATTTATCCTATAAAGACATTATTCTTATATTTTAAATACATTATCATCATTAAGATAACATCTTACCACCATATCTGTAGTGCCTGGCATAGTAGGCACTCGAGTTATTTGTTGAAAGGTAGAATGGTAGGTTAATAAAAAATTTTAGAAAAAAATTTTGTATATTCTTAAACTGAGAGAATATTTTAAAAGCTTGAGATTGCTTTGTTTCTAATGTATACTACATAATAAAAACTGACCATTTTTATTCAGTTATGATTAAATAAAACCTTTCCAATGCCAAGGAAAGACTACCAACACTCCCATTACATAAATCCTAACCTAATGTGAAATAGAAAATCCACTTATACTCAGATATGTCCCCAGGGGTTAATTCTAATATTAAAGGAAGTGCTTAATTTTATTTCATTGGTTACGGTTGCAAAGACACTACTTAGCAACTTCGAATTACCTCATGAATACTAGTAAATAACCAAGATTTTATTAGGGTCTAGGTAAATTCATGATTTGAAACACTATTACTTTGCTCAAATGATTTACAACTGTTAGGATATAATAACCAATGTCTTTGAGACTTACCTTATCTAAAACAGCAATGGTTTGTTCCATTATTCCAATCTGAATACTAATCAGAGCCTCATAGTTTGGTTCATTTAGGTACTTTGAGATTAAAAAAAAAACCAAAAAAAACAGGTAAGGATATTTTTCTCTCTTTCAATAGATAACTTTATAAAGATTGTTTTAGTTTTGAAAATTACTGTTTTTCATAACAAGTATCTATGTAAGTTAAGATTGATTTGGCTTGGCTGAGTGTGATGGCATATGCTTGTAATCCCAGCACTTTGGGAGGCTGAGGCAGGTGGATCACCTGAGGTCAGGAGTTCGAGACCAGCCTGACTAACACGGTAAGACCTCATCTCTGCTAAAAAATACAAAAAATTAGCCGGCATGGTAGCACATGCCTGTAATCCCAGCTGCTCGGGAGGGTGAGGCAGGAGAATTGCTTGAACCTAGGAGGTGGAGGTTGCAGTGAGCAGAGATCACATCATTGCATTCCGCCTGGGCAAAATGAGCAAAACTCCATCTCAAAAAAAAAAAAAAAAAAAAAAAGATTGATTAGGCTTTTGTGCCATAATATTTCCTTGTATTTAGCCATCAATATATTCATGTACACTAATTATTACATCAAAGCACAAATTACAAATGCCTACTTTATTTTCTCATTCATTCAGTCATTTATTCAACTCACCAAACATTTAAGTGTTCCACTTGAGTCCCACATAACAAAGTCCTAGTTAAAGACACTGAGGGAGATACAAAGATAAATAATATGTCCTAGTCTTCATGGGAAGATGATCACATAGATATGATTGGTTGCCAGAAGACGTGTAGAGTGTCATGCTAATTCAAAGGTGGTTTGTAATGAGATGGAATTTCTCCAGGCTTGGAAAATCAAGAAAGGTTTTGTGAAGGAGAAGGTGGTATTTAAACTAGACCTTGAAAAGTAGATTTGAGATGTACAAAAAAGGCAAACTAAGAAGAGCTGCTGGGAGGTGAAAACTATAGAAATGGGGCATGGCTTGGAAACCACAGAACTTGCATTAGTTTGTAGAAGTGATCGTTGAAGTTAGAAAAACAGAGGACATCACCCAGGGAGAGGTATGGAAAGAAACACAAACATAGCTAAGGGCAAAATCTTGAAGAATGGCTACATTGAAGTGTTAGAGGCAAAAGAGAAGCCAGCAAAAGAGGCAGAGTGGTATGACATGTTGGAAGAAAAATTAATTTGGCGTGATGAAAGTCAAAGGAATGGGAAATTAAGATGGTTAAATGCTACAGAGAATTGAAGGACCACTGGGTTTGACAGGAAATCCTTAGTGAGCTCTGAGTAGAATGATCCTACTAAATGGGTCATGAAGAACTGGAGGCTGCAAATGTAAACTATTGGAAGAAAAATAACTCACAGATATATTTTGAAACACTCCTGGCTTAGAATATGCTTGGTATCACAGAGGCTTCTTATTAAATACTGGTTAAATGAATAAATACATTAATGAACAAAATTAAAACTATGTAAGGGGCTAGGGAGAATTTACCTTTTGGCGATCTCTTGAAAAAAATAGCATCTGAATATCCCAAGCCTTCTGATTTAGATCTTCCCTTTCCATCTCCATTTTCTTATGTTCCCACTCAATCTGAAGTATTCTTTTGTGTACATCTTTAGTTTCCATCATGCTAGCAATTTTCTTTTGTCCTTGAGTCTTTAAAAAAGCACATTAGATATCCATATAATATGATTCTGTATATAGAACATAGAATATTTGAGGCTGAATGCTATTTTTAGAAAACACTTGGATCACAGAGATAATTCCATCTTCTTTTTAAGAAACAGACATTAAGGCCAGGTGTGGTGGCTCACACCTGTAATCCCAGCACTTTGGGAGGCCGAGGCGGGCGGATCACGAGGTCAGGAGATCGAGACCATCCTGGCGAACACTGTGAAACCCCGTCTCTACTAAAAATGCAAAAAAAATTAGCTGGGCGTGGTGGCGGGCGCCTGTAGTCCCAGCTACTCGGGAGGCTGAGGCAGGAGAATTGCGTGAACCCAGGAGGCGGAGCTTGCAGTGAGTGGAGACTGCACTCCAGCCTGGGTGACAGAGCGAGACTCCGTCACACACACACACACACACACACACACACAGACATTAAAAAATGGCTTCTTGGGCAAAATCTGATCACTATAAAGCATGATACTCATTAAACAGAAGGGATTATAAGATACATTTAAATAGCAGAGCCAATTTACTTTATATGTCAACAATTAGGCAGGAACTTTTTTTTGCTGTCACCCAATCTACCAACCTGTATGCATTTGTATTCCTACTCATTGTCCTCACACCTGATGCTGGGTGTGGTGTCTTATGCCTGTAATCCCACTACCTTGGGAGGTTGAGGCAGGAGGAATGCTTGAGCTCATGAGTTTGAGACCAGCCCAGGCAACAGAGCGAGACCTCAACTCCATGGAAAATCAAAAAATTAGCCTGGAATAGTGGTGCACACCAGTGGTCCCAGCTACTCAGGAGGCTGAGACAGGAGGATCACTTGAGGCCAGAAGGTCAAGGCTGCAGTGAGCCGTGTTCATGCCACTGCACCCCAGCCTGGGTGACAGAGGAAGTGCAGTGGCACTTCCTGTCTGAAAAAAAGGAAGAAAGAAAATAGAAAAACAATAGTCAATCATGAAACCAAAAGTTGGTTCTTTTAAGAAATCAGCAAAATTGACAAACCTTTAGCTAGACTGACTAAGGAAAAAAAAAAAAGGCTCAAATTGCTAAAATAAGAAATGAAATCAAGAATATTACTACCAATATTACGGAAATTAAAAGGATTATAAGAGAATACTATGAAAATTCTACACCAACAAATTAGATAACATAGATGAAATGGAAAATTCCTAGAAACACACAAACTATAAAAACAGAAAATTTTAATAGACCTAAAACAAGTAAATAATTGAATCAGTTATCAAAAACCTCCCCAAAAAGAAAAGCCCAGGACCAGAAGACTGATGAATTCTATCAAACATTTAAAGAAAAATTACACCAATACTACTCAAACACTTCCAAAAAATAGGAGAGGAGAGAACACTTTCTAATACATAATATAAGGCCAGTAGTACCTTGATACCAAAGCCGGAGAAAGACATCACAAGAAAATTATAGACCAATATCCCCTATGAACACATACACAAAAACAAAAACGTTCAATAAAATACTAGCAAACTGATTCCAGCAGCACATTGAAAGGATTATAACTATGATCAAGTGTCATTTATCCTAGGATTGCAAGAGTAGTCCGCATAATCAAACAATATAATATACCTCATTAATAGAACAAATTTAAAAACCCACATGATCATGTCAATTGATGTAGAAAAAAATTTGACAAAATCCAGCACCATTTAATGATAAAAACAAAATATATGCAACAGACTTGGAATAAAAGGGAACTTCCTCAACATGGTAATGGGAATTTACAGAAAACCCATCATAACTTCATACTCAATGATAAAAGACTGAAAGGTTTCCAACTAAGATCAGGAACAAGACAAGGATGTCCCACTTTTTGTCACTTTGATTCAACACTGTAATAAAAATTCTAGTCATGGCAATTAGGCAAGAAGAAGAACTAAAAGGCACCCAAACTGAAAAGATGTAAAACAATTTCCATTCACAGATTAATGAATCTAAATATAGAGAGAAAGTCATATAGAATCCAAAAACCCTACTAGAGATAATAAATAAATTCGGCAAAGTTGCAGAGTATAAGATCAACATGCAAAAATCAATTGTATTTTTATACATCACCACTGAAAAATGTGGAAAATAATTAATAAATCAATTCCATTTACAATAATATCAAAAAGAAAAAACCTAGAAATAAAGTTAATCTAAAAAGTATGTGTACAAAGAAACCTACAAAATATTGCTGTAAGAATATAAAGATTAAATAAATGGAAGGTCATCCCATGTTCTTGGATCAAAAGACTTAAGACAGTACTCCTCAAAGGAATCTATAGATTTAATGCAATCACTGCCAAAATTTCAATGGCTTTTTTTTTTTTTTTTTCAAATCCTCAAATTCATATGAAGCTGCAAAGGATCATGAATAGCCAAAACAATATTGAACACAAAAAGTTGGATGGCTAACATTTCCCTACTTCACAGAAGAAAACAGGGACTGAGGCCAGGCTCAGTGGCTGATGCCTGTAATCCCAGCGCTTTGGGAGGCTGAGGCAGGCAGATCACCTGAGGTCAGGAGTTTGAGACCAGCCTGGCCAACAAAGTGAAACCTTGTCTCTACTAAAAATACAAAAATTATCTGGGAGTGGTGGGGGGTGCCTGTAAATCCTGGCTACTCGGGAGGCTGAGACAGGAGAATTGCTTGAACCCGGGATGTGGAGGTTGCAGTGAGTCAAGATTATGACACTGCACTCCAGCCTGGGAGACAGAGCGAGACTCCATCTCAAGAAAGAAAAGAAAGAAAAGAAAAGAAGGAAAGAAAAAGAAAAGAAAAGAAAGAAAACAGGGATAAATCTTCATGACTTCAGATTTGATTCTTAGATATTTATTTATTTTATTTTTTGAGACAGAGTCTTACTCTGTCACCCAGGCTGGAGTGCAGTGGTGCCATCTCACCTCACTGCAACCTCTGCCTCCCGGGTTCAAGCGATTCTCCTGTCTCAGTCTCCTGAGTAGCTGGGATTACAGGTGTCTGCCACCATGCCCGGCTAATTTTTGTATTTTTAGTAGAGATGGGGTTTCACATCTTGGCCAGGCTGGTCTTGAACTCCTGACCTCAGGTGATCCACCTGCCTCAGCCTCCCAAAGTGCTGGGATTACAGGCATGAGCTACTGCACATGGCCTGATTCTTAGATTTAACACCAAAAACATGAGACAATCCATAGAAGGGGATAAAATATTTGCAAATTATATAAGGGTTTAATATCCAGAACATATAAAAAACTCTTATAACTCGACAACAAAACCCAATTTAAAAATGGGCAAAAGACTTCAGTAGACATTTGTCCAAAGATATACAAGTGGTCAACAAGCATATGAAAAGATGCTCAATGTCACTAGTCATTAGAGAAATTTACATCAAGAATAAACCCACTAAGATGGCTGTAATTAAAAAGCAAGCAAGCAAAGAACAAAAAAGAGAGAAAATAACAAGTTTTTATAAGGATGCAGAGAAAGTGAAACCCACATGCTTTGCTGGTGGAAATATGAAATGGTACAGCTACTGTGGAAAACAGTTTGCAGCGCCTCAATCAGTTAAACATGCAATGACCATATGATCCAGCAATTCCACTTCTAGGTATATATCCCCAGAGAACTGAAAACAGGTTTTCAAAAACTTGTGCATGAACAGTTATAAGCACCACAATAGCCAAAAGGTGGAAGCAGCCCAAATATTCACCAGCTGATGAATGGATAAACAAAATGTATATCCATAAAATGAAATATGATTTGGTCATAAAAGAAGAATGAAGACTGATACATGCTACAACATGGTTAAATCTTAAAAACATGCTAAGTGAAAGAAATCAGAAAACAAAGGCCACATATTGTATGATTCCATTCATACAAAATACTAAGAATAGGCAAATCCATAGAGACAATGCAGATTAGTGGTGTCCAGGGGCTGAGGGAAGAGGTGAATGGGGAATAACTGCTTCATGGGTGTGGGGTTTCCTTTTAGGATGATAAAAAATGTTCTGAGGCCGGGTGGGGTGCCTCACTCCTGTAATTCCAGCACTTTGGGAGGCTAAGGCGGGAGGATTGCTTGAGCCCAGGAGTTTGAGACCAGCCTGGGCAATATGGTGAAACCCCATCTCTACCAAAAAAATATAAAAATTAGCCAGGTGTGGTGGCACATGCCTGTAATTCCAGCTACTGAGGTGGGAGAATGGCTTCAGTCTGGGAGGCGGAGGTTGCAGTGAGCTGAGACCATGCTCTGGCACTCCAACCCAGATGACAGAGCCAGACCCTGTCTCAAAAAACAAAAAACAAAACAAAACAAAAATGTTCTGGAACTAGATAGAAGTACTAGCTGCACAGCTCTGTGATGTACTAATTGCCACTGACTTGCACACTTTAAATGGTTACAATAGTACATTTTATGTGATGTGTATTATACCACAATAAAAATAGCTCTAAAAAACTAAGTTACAAAGCAATCAACACACCTAGATCAGAGATGACAGGTGTTAGAACTATCAGATGGGAAATGTAAAATAATTATGACTAATTTCCTTATAAAGAGTAGAGCATGGAACAGTGGAGAAAAGGTAACTTTATAGTAATGAAGCCTGACAAACACTACCTCAATTCAGGTGGTCAAGATTCAATAAACAGTGATGACATGTTGATAGCATGTATCCTTGAAATCATGTGCTGAGAGGGTATTTTACCTCTGTGGTCTCTGTCTCCATACTCCAGGTGAATAGTGATAAATACATCAGAGAAACCACAGTTGAGGCACATTCTACAAAATAACTGACTATTACTCTACAATAAACTGTCAAGGTCATCAAAAACAAGACAAAACTGAGAAACTGTCACTGTCTAGAAAGAAATGACAATTGGCCGGGCGTGGTGGCTCACGCCTGTAATCCCAACACTTTGGGAGGCCGAGGCAGGTGGGTCACCTGAGGTTGGGAGTTCAAGACCAGCCTGACCAACATGGAGAAACCCTGCCTCTACTAAAAATACAAAATTAGCCGGGCGTGGTGGCACATGCCTGTAATCTCAGCTACTCAGGAGGCTGAGGCAGGAGAATCACTTGAACCTGGGAGGCGGAGGTTGCGGTGAGCTGAGATTGTGTCATTGCACCCCAGCCTGGGCAACAAAAGCAAAACTCAGTCTAAAAAGAAAAGAAAAAAAAAAGGAAAGACATGACAACCAAATAAAATGTATCCTGATGAGATCCTGGAACAGAAAAATGACCTTAAGTAAAAACTAAGGAAGAGTGAATAAAGTTTGTGCTTTAGTTAATAATAATGTATCAATATTACTTCAATAGTTGTGACAAATGTACCATACTGATGGAAAACAATAAAAATATAAGGAACTGGATAAGGAGTATATGAGAATTCTGTGTACTATCTTTACAACTTTTTTAAAACAAAATTTTTGGAAAGGATAGACAACATGCATGAACAAATGGGGAATTTCAGCAGAGGGATGGAAACTGTAAGAGTTAAACAACTACTAAATATAAGTCTATCTATCTATCTATCTACAATAATATGGTAACAGATATTTTGCCTTTGATGGGCTCATTATTAGACTAGACACAGCATAAGAAAGAATGAATGAACTTGAATATAGGGCAACAGAAATTACCCAAACTGAAACATAAAGAGGACAAAGAGTGAAAAAAATGAGTATCGAATATCTAAGAGATGTGGAACAATATCAGACAATCTGACACGTGTGTAATTGGAATCCCAGTAGAAAAAGAGAGAGCAAACAGGGCAGAAGAAATATTCAGAGATAATCAATGAGAATTTTCCAAAGATAATGACAAATATCAAATCACAGATTGAGGAAGCTCAGAGAACCTCAAGAATCTCACGCACACCGCCCACCCCCCACCTAGACACATCGTGTTCAAACTGTTGAAACCAAAGATAAAAAATCTCAATGCCAGACACATTAAATTCAGAAGAACAAAGATAAAAAATATAGCAGAAACCTTATCAGAAACTATATAGATGTTCAGAAGAAAATGAACATCTTTAAAATGAAAAGAGAGAGAACAAATGAACGAACCTGGCAATCCAGTGAATCTAGCAAAATATCTTTCAACAATGAAGGTGATTAAAGACTTCTTCAGATAAAGAAAAACCAAGATAATTCATTACTAGCAGGCTTGTACTTCAATTAAGTTTAAGGAAGTTCTTTAAGCAGAAGGTAAATGATACAAGATGGAAATTTGGATCTAAACAATGAAATAAAGATCTTTTGAAATAGTGAAAATTAAGGTAAATAGAAAATACCTCTTTTCACATTTTTATTATTCTAAAAGATAATTGTCTAAAGCAAAAATAATAGCAATATGTTTTGTGTTTATAGCATTTGTAAAAATAAAATGTACAGTAGTGTTATCATCTAATTCCCAAATAGCACAAAATCCCCAAATATTTAGAAATTAAATAACACACTTTTAAATAACCCGTGAATCAAACAGGAAGTCACAACAGAAATTAGAAAATATTTAAACGAAAAGAAAAATTAAAACACAAAATATTAAAATTTGTAGAATACAGATAAAATAAAGCTTATAGGGGATATTTTTTTAGGACTCAATTATACCTAAAGCTTATAGGGAAATAACATTAAATGTTAATATTAGAAAAGAAGTAAGGTCTGAAATCAACTAACCAAGCTTATCTAAGATTATCTTTGCCTGAGTAGGCTGGGCCTAACAAAACGATGGCATACTAGAATGGACATTTAGCTCTGTGATCCTTCTTGAACCTTAAAATTATGGAGGGAGCTTTTAAAAAATACTCATCCTGGGGATGGGGTCCGGGAACATTTATAAAGTTCTTCAAATGATTCTAATGTGCAACCATAGTTAGGAAACCACAGACTTAACTGAATTAAAATTACTTATGAAAATGGGAGAATAATGTAAAATATTCAATATAGCAGGCAATATGTTTTGTCTTTAAAAAAGTATAATTGGCCAGGTGCAGTGGCTCACACCTGTAATTCCAGCACTTTGGGAGGCCAGAGCAGGAGGATCACTTGAGCTCAGGAGTTTGAGAACAGCCTGGGCAACATATTAAGACTCTGTTTTTACAAAAAAATAATTTTAAAACAATTAGCCAGGTGTAGTGGTGTGAACCTGTACTCCCAGCTACTCTGGAGGTGAAGGTGGGAGGATGTCTTGAGCCCAACCTTAAGGCTGCAGTGAGCCGTGATTGTGCCACAAGACTCTAGCCTGAGGAACAAAGCAAGACCTTGAATAAAAATAAAAATAAAAAGTATAATTACCCGAATCACAGAATTCAAGTCTTCAATTATGTTCCTGTTGATGAGAATTGCATCAGAATACTCCAGCACTAGCTGGAAATTTTCTAGTTCTACTTGTCCTTGTTTAAGAAGAATTTGGATTGTCAAATTCAACTGGAATCTCACTTTCTCTTCCTGTAATCTAAATTGAAAAGCACTTCAAAGCAAGTAGTTGTAATATATTTCAAATTTCACCTATTATCTGAGAATATAAAAATCAAACATGCTGGAGATTAGTGTGGAGAATATTTTCCTGATGATGAGCTTTCCTAGAGGTCTCTCTGAAACCTCTTCCTATTGATGCAGAATTACACCTGGGTTGCTCAAAGAATGGTATGGACAGAAATACATTTATAGATTTTTACTTTAGGATTAAGAAAAGATTGTATAATTTGGACTGTAATAAAAGTAAAGTAAAAATGAAGAAAATAGAGACACTTTTAAATAACAAATCTGGCCGGGTGCAGTGGCTCATGCCTGCAATCCCAGCATTTTGGGATGCCAAGGTGGGTAGATCATCTGAGGTCAGGAGTTCGAGACTAGCCTGGCCAAAATGGCGAAACCCTATCTCTACTAAAAATACAAAAATTAGTGGTGACAGGCGCCTGTAATCCCAGCTACTTGGGAGGCTGAGGCATGAGAATCTCTTGAACCTGGGAGGTGGAGCTTGCAGTGAGCCAAGATCGTGCCACTACACTCCAGCTTGTGTGACAGAGTGAAGCTCCATTTCAAAATAAATAAATAAATAAATAAATAACTCTATTAAAATTCTGAACTTATTTATTGATTTCTGATACTATATTAAGAATATTTAATATGTAAGTTACTTAACAAATCTATTTCTGGGCAATTCATATTCCTCACTATAGCCTAGATCTAAAAATGATGTGTAACAATGAATTTGGGAACATCAGAGAAGTATTTATCGATGAGGCTATAAATATAGCCAAAAAATGAAGCAAGGACTTAAATATCTTAATCACTTAGTCAACAACAAGTTCCCCTAGAGAAAAATATATCAGTTGGCTGTGTGTCTACATGGAAAGTTCTTAGATGTCTGATTAATTTTCCACATGGTTAGCTTATATGCCTCGAGCCCCAAAGTACTGACTGGAAGAAACAGGTTCTTTGTGTTTTTATGTGGAAGGGGCTGACTTAAAACGATACTAAGATTTTTCTGAAACTTGCTTATTTGTAAGAAGAGCAACAAAACGTGGGAAAGTTCCATCCTGAATCAAGGTCTTATGTAACAAAGCACGCTTTTTAAAATGCAAATTTTAAAGCACAGTGCTGGAAGGGAGATAGCTGTAAAGCAGTCAGTAGGCCTTCTCCCGGGTGATAACACAACCTGACTTAGCCCTAATTAGACTTTGAATAGGTGAACATGAAAGAAAACTTCAAATTACAGGATGAGTTCATGGAACACTCTCTCAATCTCCTGTTGCACCTTCTCTTCCTCCTCAACTCTTTTCCGGAGGAAAGTTGCCATTTCCAATAAGTCAGCTGCTTTCTGCTTTACCTAAAGAAACCGAGCCAGAAACATGTCAGAACATATGGAGCTTCAATTTTAGACAACATACATCTTTTAACTTTTTAAACTTAAAAACCTTAACAGGTCTATCTTTCAAAGAAAGTAATAAACATTTAAATTTAAATGTCTAAAACTTACATGGCATGTAACAATTTGAACAATTTGAAAAGTATCAAATTTGCTTCTTTGTGAAAATCAAGTATGCAAGCAACTATAAATTCTTTTATATCTTATTTTTAAAATTTGTTCTCATCACTTTAAATGAAACTATAGAAACAGGTACTTTAACAAAAATATGCCAGCCTGATGCATGTGGGCACTAAATTTAGGGAATTTGGGGGAGTGGTCAAGAAGCAACAAAAGGAAGGATTCTCTTCCCAAATAAACACACTCTTAAATTTTTACTCATTGCTACATTCTAGCAAAACTATAAAGTTGGCTCTGCTGAGCCAAATATAATTCTAATCTATGCAAAATGAGATAACCTACAACAGTGCTGTCCAAGAAAAATATAATGTGAGCCATAAATGTAAGTCACATATGCAATTTTAAATTCTGTAGTAACCACATTATAAAAAGTGAAATCAAAGAGATGAACTTAATTTTACTAATGTATTTTAATTCATTGTGTCCAGAATATTATCACTTCAACCTACAATCAATATAAAAATATTAATGAGACATATTTCTTTTTGTTCATATTAACCCTTCTAAATCTGTGTATGTTACAGCACATGTTACAGCACATCTCAATTAGGACTGGCAATATTTATTTCAAGTGCATAGTAACCTTGTGGTTAATGGACACTATTTTGAATGGCACCAGTCTAAAAGCAACAGGCCTACACTTAGCCTTCAATAGCACCAGGGTTAATATAGTATTTCATTATCTTATTACTATGACCAAATACTACCCTAGCAGGGAAACCTAAATAATTAGCTTTTTTGGTTACACTGACCAATGTAAACTATGTATTTGATATTAGTACACTAAAAATTAAATTAAAATAGTATATACTTTCTGTTCATTTTCCACTTTTGCTCGTCTTGTCATGCAGAAGTGATTCCAGACCAAAGGGTTCAAGCCTTCTGGCATGTTACTAATATTGTCCAACTCATCCATGGCTTTCATTAACTGGGCAAAGGCATCCTTACTCAACTTGCCAGATCCTGGTAGTTCTCCAAAAGGGACAGCACTGGTTGTTTCTGAGTGCGTTTTCTGTTTGGAAATCCTGGTATTACCAAGAAAAGCCCATCAACATTTCACATTCACACAAAAACAGCAATGTGAAACAATTAGGCCCTTAGCACAGGCATAACACATTGTATGACTCTTCCCTTTGGCACGTGAGGGCTGGTAGGTGGGTTATTCCACAGATAAAGGGATCCACTTTGCCCTGCTTCCATACTCTCCAGGTTCTCAGACGTGACCTTGGCTAGACTACAGATGTCTCCAACTACTGTCAGCACTGACAGACAGCTGTACCTGTGCTAGGAGATATTTCCTTTCTGTATACTGTAAGCAGGCAAATAAATCAACCCATCATTTCACCTCAGCCTCCCAAAGTGTTGGGAATACAGTGGTGAGCCACCACCTGGCTAACTCTGTTTCTATCTACATTAATAGATTAGTTTCATTTCCCTTTGTTTCAGCTGGAAAGGGAAAAAGGGTACAAAGATTTGGGCAAGGCACTCACTATCAAGATGCTTTACAATACACTGAGGTTCAAACTATATTATCATCCCCATTCTCTAGATGAGGAAAGTCAGCCTTGGAGAGAAGCTCATGGCCCAAGGCTATCGGTCTGACAGGTGATGGAGTTAGGATTTAGAGTTGATTCTGTATGACATGAAAGCTTGTGCTTTCCCACTGCTGCAGGAGGTCTCACTTCTTTTTCCACAAGGAGAAGGTATATAATTGGGCTAATTATCGCTCACTCTTTTAAAAATAGGAAAACCGCCGGGCGAGGTGGCTCACACCTATAATCCCAACACTTTGGGAGGCTGAGACAGGTGGATCACGAGGTCAGGAGATCGAGATCATCCTGGTCAACATGGTGAAACCCCGTCTCTACTAAAAACACAAAAACTAGCTGGGCGTGGTGGCAAAAGCCTGTAATCCCAGCTACTCAGCAGGCTGAGGCAGGAGAAACGCTTGAACCCGGAAGGCGGAGGTTGCAGTGAGCAGAGATCGTGCCACTGCACTCCAGCCTGGGCGACAGACAGAGACTCCATCTCGAAAAAAAAAAAGAAAACCAAAACAATAGGCATGTTCTAGGTTAAATTTCCTAGGTTGCCTGTAACCTGTCTGAGTCTGTATCTCAAACACAAATTAGCTGACTATATCTTTGTGACAAACTCCATGATTTCTAGATTACATTTGATTGAAAACTATGAAAATCTGCATTTATAATGGTGGAAGTCAGTGATACTTTCTTAGAACTCTTTTCAAATGGCTATTTTCAACCATTTATACTGGCATGTTTCAAACTTTGAGCACAAGCACATGAGATACTCTGAGGAAAAGCAATTTGTGGTCAAATAAGTTTGGAAAACACTGCTTACTCTGTACCTTATACTTGGAGATCCAAAGGCCAACAATAAATTCTGCAGTAAAAGAAAAGCTGCTTAACTTCCATTTTTTAACCCAGTATCTTCCCGAAACTTACTTAGTCCTGGAAGCCTATTACAAGTAGTTCCAATTTATACATCAGGGAACTTGTGTTTGTTTGAATGCACTTTAGAAAAAAACTGTTTTTAAATCTGTGTGCCAACTATGATGTAAGAGGAACTTCCTTAATGTATAAAGCAGAACCTACAATAGCACTATGCTTACACAGATCCTTAACTGTTTTTAAATAATGAAAATAAATCATTATTCTCTACCTTAAGATATAGACTTAATCTCAAAAAATACTGAATTATGATCAAAACCCTTAAACATCTCCACCTAAAAGATATTATACTGAATAATTCCATTTAATTGGGAGAAAAAAGCTGAAATCTAGTAACACTCCTCTTTATTTGCAAACTTTTTTTCTCAGAAACACAATAGTGAAGGAGAAACAAACCTTGGTCGGCGTTTAAAAAGTTTGTACAGTATATCCACTTGATGACCGGGAATTTCAGAAAATTCCTTTTTAAAGCTGCGATCCATAACCTAAGGACAAACATGTCATTCTGAGGATTGCAACTTGGTCTGGAAACCTTTTATTTGCTGACAATACTCTTCAAAATACAGGTGGTAGCACTTTGGTTTTAAAAATCCATGAAACCTTGATTTATAAAGTTGTTAGACATTAACCATTCTCTGTGCGAAGATTTGTTTTGATAAGAAGCATCTAAGTGTATTAAAAATATTATTTCATATAACAGGTCTTAGAAATCATCCATAAGTTTCCCAAAGAAGTGTCCCAAAAGATATTTACCCAAAAAACATGCATGTTACTCTATTTTTTTTCTTTTCTATTCCATTCTGTTCCATCTGTCTTCTTTATGCTAGTCTATCCTATTCTTTTCCATTATAAAACTGCTGGTCATAACCTACTAAATCGATTTCATGGCCAAGTAATGGGGTCCGCAACCTAAAGTCTGAAAAGCCTTAAAGGCTAGATGATTGCCCTGTATTTTGTATAAGAGAAAGCTTAGACCAGAGAAGCTTATAAAAATTCATTTTGGCCGGGCGCGGTGGCTCAAGCCTGTAATCCCAGCACTTTGGGAGGCTGAGACGGGCGGATCACGAGGTCAGGAGATCGAGACTATCCTGGCTAACACTGTGAAACCCTGTCTCTACTAAAAAATACAAAAAATTAACCAGGCGCGGTGGTGGGCACCTGTAGTCCTAGCTACTCGGGAGGCTAAGGCAGGAGAATGGCGTAAACCCGGGAGGCGGAGCTTGCAGTGAGCTGAGATCCGGCCACTGCACTCCAGCCTGGGCGACAGAGCAAGACTCTGTCTCAAAAAAAAAAAAAAAAAAATTCATTTTACACATGGATTTTCAAAAATATACAATGCCATAGAATGAAGTTCACCCATAGCTGAGAATTAAGTGGGAGAAAAATCTGTGAGAAAATTATATTATATCCCCTTTAACCTTCCTCCAATCCAGGCAGCAACAACTCGACTGCACTGTCGAGTGGGTAAGACAATGACTCTCACTTTATCTTCTGCCAGTAAGTTGTCATAGTGCTCCTTGTACACATCCAGGTCTTCTCTTGATTTCCGAACAGCTTCTGAAGTCTGGCTCTATAACAGCATCAGGAATAGTGGATTGTAACTGGAGACTTTGCAGCATAAACAAAAATCTTGGGGATACTAAAAAGAGCAAGGAATTTCCCAGTACAAGAGAAATATGCCTGTGAAGTATTCATTATAGATAAGATTTATAGAAGAAAATAAACCAATTGGGGACTTTGAAAGAACACCCAATCACCTGTTTCTAAGTACAGCCAACTCTGTGTATGAGTGTGTGACTGTCTGTGGAGCACACTGCAGTCTTGGTAGGTCAGCATGGAGGATGAAGGTGCATAGGCTTCGAAATCACATGGACGTGGGTTCTGAGAGACTGGATATACATGCAAACAAGGGCCAGTCCATATGCAACAACAGAACTCTGACGTACAACCTCTACAATCATCAGCTGGGAAACGAAATAACCACAGCCTTCATAAGGATTGGCCTCAGACTTTCAGGGCTTGATCATAACCACCAGCTTCTATAATTTTGTCCCCATTTCCAACCTAGGACCATCCAGAGAAAGACAAATATGTTCCCTAAACCAGTCAAATGAGTTGTCCCGCTTCTAATTGGTTTGCCTCTAGCTTCCTCATGCCAACAACTTCCAATCATGTTGCACCTGAAGCCCTCCCTTCTTTGCACTATAAAGCTTTCCTACTCCTTTCCTGACTTTGAGTCTGCCAAAAGCAACTGACGGTGGACGAGTCCCTTGCTGTGCCAAGCTCTGAATAAACAGTGTCTGCTCATTTGCATTTGGATGGTCTTCATTTATTCCCACAGTTCCAGCTACTGCTCTCTTACACACCAGTGGCTGACTTAGGCATGTTACCCACGCTCTCTGAGATGGTATCCTCATCTGTGAAAGAAATCCAGTATGCTGCAGGGTCGCTATATGTAAAGTTGTATTTAGAACGTGCTTTGCATATACTGTTTAATAGGCTCTTAGAAAAAAAGTTGAGTTCATGTCATTTATAAGTCACACATTCATAAATGCTCTTTACTAATACTACTAATAAAAGCTGACATTTGTTGAAACTTATTATGTGATAAACATTTGGTATTCATTGTCTTTTTGAGCCATATCTATCCATGCTCATATTTAGAGTTTTTCATAATACAACAGTTTTTCATTCCATACGCAAGCCCATTGCTTACATCTTAGTAAATCTTAGCGTGTCAAATGGCCCAGAGAGAAAAACATTCCCTAAATAAGAGCTTGTAAGCAGCTTAAAAGGTTATATGCCTTGTCCAAGGTCCCACAGCCAGTGCTTTCAACCATGAAGCTATATGGCCTCATTTTATAAACCATGTCATACGAAAGCTACACAGTTCTTTTGGCTACATGATTGCCGATGCAGAATCAAATAACTTTATCAACAGATTGGAATGGTTACTTTCACCTGGCCCTGGAGCAAAGTTGCAGACAGGGAGTCAAGGGATGCACATGGTTACATAGGAATGGTGGAAGGAAGGAAGGGTCTAGACACGTGAGCTCTTGCTAAATGAGGGGCATGTCTATCAGAAAATGCTTGTATTCAGATTTCAGACATATTCTTACTTTCTCGAGCTGTTTCCTTGTAAGGTAGTTGTTCAGGAATTTTTCTCTGGAGCTTAATTCTTCATCCAACAGTAAAGAAAATGCAAGGTTACTTATTTTCAATTCCTCCTGTAGAAATATTTAAGAAAAAGGTTGGTGGAAATACTTCTACCTGAGACAATATTTTCTATAGACTTGGCACTAATCAAGCAAGTTTATGACATACAGATAAGAGAAATATTTCAAAGAAAAAGGGAATACAGCTTATTGAAATAACTTTAGTTATTTTGCCTTTTTCATAATTTCATTGTAAGGTAATCACATATACAAAAAATACATAACATGAACATATAATTTAAGGGATTATTATAATATAAGGCAAACACCCTTGTTAGCACCACTTATCGCAAGAAACAGAACCTTACGACTGCAGTTGCTTCTTCCAGGAGTCCTCATCAAAATCTCAACCCCAGTACTAAACACTGTTTTGACTTTTATCATACATTGTGTTTCTTTGTAGTTTTATTACCCAGGGGTGTATAATGCTGTAGTTTGGATATTTGCCCCATCCAAACTGCATGTTGAAACGTGATCCCTGGTGCTGTAGGTGGGGCCTAATGGGAGGTGTTTGGGTCATGGGGATGGGTCCCTCATGAATAGATCAATTCCCTCCCTCAGGGGTGAGTGAGTTTATACTCTGTTAGTTCCCCTGAGTGCTGATTGTTAAAGAGAGCCTGGCACCCCCCTGCACCCTCTCTTGCTTTCTCTCTGACCATGTGATTTCTGCACACGCCAGCTCCCCCTCACCTGCCATAAATGGAAGCTGCCTGAGGCCCACATCAGATGCCCAATCTTGAACCTTCTAGCCAGCAGAATTATGAGTCAGATAAACCTCTTTTCTTTATAAATTATGCAGCCTCAGGTATTATTTATAGCAACACAAAACAGACTAAGACAGAAACTTAGCCACTACAGTAAAACTTATTCATAATTTTTTTTCGTGTCTTTTAAATCTCTTACTACCTGGATGATGAAATAATTTGTACAACAAACTCCTGTGACTTGAGTTTACCTATATAACAAACCTACACATGTACCCCTGAACTTAAAATAAAGGTTAAAAATAAAATAAATCTTTGATAATCTTCATGTTCCCTTTCATTTCTTTTCCTCACATTTGTAGTTATCAGCAGTCTCTGTAGCATTGCATAGTCTGGTTTTAATGCCTGTATATTCATGGTGTAGTTTATCAAGGCTTTATTCTTTTTATTTCTTGAAAAATGGCAGCTGGGTCCAGAGGCCTGATCAAATCTAAACTTGATCCTTTTAACAAGACTATAGGTGGTATTGTGTTCTTTGATCAGGAGACATGTATCATCTGATTGTCTGTCTTTCTGTGATGTCAGCAGCTGCAGGTAGTCAATGCCCGGGTCCATTAATCCGTTGAGAGATGCAAAATGATGAAAATCTGGATTTAGTTTCCCTTTTCACTTATTAATGGAAATAGTTTTATAAAGAGATGCTTCTCATCATCTACTATTTGGTTTCCCAGTGGTACACTTCAGTTCATATGGGAAAGGCAGGCTAAATACTTGATACTTTCCCTTTATCAGTTTTTAGATAATGAATTTGCTGTCATCCTCTGAAAGTGACTGATTGGCACTTCTCTTTTTAAAATATCACAAATTCATAAATTTAAACAAATATGATGGGTTTAATTAATTGCAACTATTATCGTCTTTGAATCTTAAATTGTCTAATTTAAGTGAAATGTTTTAAGTTAGCTCCTGAATTATTTTGATATTACTGAGTAGTCTGATAGTTTCCTCATTATCTTACATGGCGAGAGGATCTCAGCATACCTTTAAAAAAACAATAACTTTGTTGAGATGTAATTTACATACCATACAATTCACCATTTACAGTGTACAATTCAGTGTATTTTAGTATATTTGCAGTGTTGTGTAATATAATCAATTTTAGAACATTTCATCATTCCCTGAAAATCCTTTAGCAGCCATTTCCCATCTGCCCCTCTGTCACCTCCTAGAGGCCTCCACCTCCCCACAAAAGCAACAACTTTCTAATTTCTGTCTTTATAAATTTGCCTGTTCTAGAAACTATATGATTCCACATAAATGGAATCATACAATATGTGGCCTTTGTTGTCTGGCTTCTTTGACTTAGCATGTTTTCAAGGTTCGTCCATGTTGTACCATATATCAGCACATTCCTTTTTATTGTGGGATAATACTCCCTTGTATGGATACACCATATTTTACTCATTTGCGCTCAGCTGTTGGATATTTAGATTGTTTCCACCTTTTGGCTATGACTAATGCTGCTGTTAGGCTGGAGCATTCATTCCCAATCTTCCCCCTCACTCCCAGTATATCCATACATCCCCTCCCTGCCAGGCCAGTGATTACATTCTTCTATCTGTGGCCACAACTCCCGAGAGCAGCCCCTTTCCCAAGGCTACAGGTCTTGCTGGGTTCTGGGAACAGCTCTTTTCCCCTGCCTCTTTAGCTCTAGAGATGGTACTGACCTCCCATTGTTTCTAATTACAACATGTTTGCCACTCTTTGCTGTTTCCCTTAACTCCGCTCATACCTTTGTACAAAGTCCCCTCGCTGAGGGAATTTAAATGTAACCCTTTCAGTGTACCATTCCTGTTGGGATCCTGGGGATATAGTCATCCTCCTGAAGATTCCCTTCCCATCTCTCCAGTGTTGCACTATCTTTTCTCATTAAGCCCCCTGCTTTGGTCAGACACCTCTCAAAACCTCTCATCAAACGAGTGCATGCAAATTTGGGAGACCTGGCATTTCTCAAAATATCATTATTCTTTTTTTTTTTTTTTTTGAGATGGAGTCTGGCTCTGTCGCCCAGGCTGGAGTGCAGTGGCCGGATCTCAGCTCACTGCAAGCTCCGCCTCCTGGGTTTACGCCATTCTCTTGCCTCAGCCTCCTGAGTAGCTGGGACTACAGGCGCCCGCCACCTCTCCCGGCTAGTTTTTTTGTATTTTTTAGTAGAGACGGGGTTTCACCGTGTTCGCCAGGATGGTCTCGATCTCCTGACCTCGTGATCCGCCCGTCTCGGCCTCCCAAAGTGCTGGGATTACAGACTTGAGCCACCGCGCCTGGCCTCATTATTCTTTTTTTAAACTTTTATTTTAGGTTCAGGGGTACATATGCATGTTTGTTATCTAAGTAAACTCGTGTCATGGGGGTTTGTTGTACAGACTATTTTGTTACCAGGTACTAAGCCTAGTACCCAATAGATATTTTTTCTGATCTTCTCCCTCCTCCCACCCTCCACCCTCAAGAAACCAGACACCCCAGTGTCTGTTGTTCCCCTCTATGTGCCCGTGTGTTCTCATCATTTAGCTCCCACTTACAAGTGAGAGCATATGGCATTTGGTTTTCTGTTCCTGTGTTGGTTTAATAAGGATTATGGCCTCCATCTGTATCCATGTTCCTGCAAAGGACATGATCTCATTCTTTTTGATGGCTGCATAGTATTCCATGGTGTATAATGTACCACATTTTCTCAATCCAGTCTATCATTGCTGGGCACTTAGGTTGATTCCATGTCTTTGCTATTGTGAACAGTACTGCAGTGAACATATGGGTGCATGTGTCTTTATAATAGAACAATTTATATTCCTTTGGGTATATACCCAGTAATGGGATTGCTGGGTTGAATGGTAGTTCTGTTTTTAGCTCTTTAAGGAATTGCCATACTGCTTTCCACAATGGTTGAGCTAATTTACATTCCCACCAACAGTGTATAATAAGCATTCCCTTTTCTCCACAACCTCACCAGTATCTGTAATTTTTTTACTTTTTAGTAGTAGCCATTCTGACTAGTGTGAGATGGTATCTGGTATTTCATTGTGGTTTTGATTTTCATTTATCTAATGATCACTGATGTTGAGCTTTTTTTCATATGTTTGTTGGCCACATGTATGTCTTCTTTTGAAAAGTGTCTGTTAATGTCCTTTGCCCACTTTTTAATGGGGTTGTTTGTTTTTTCTTGTAAATTTAAGTTCCTTGTAGATGCTGGACCTTTGTCAGATGCACAGTTTGCAAATATTTTCTCCCATTCTGTAGGCTGTCTGTTTACTCTGTGGATAGTTTCTTTTGCTGTGCAGAAACTCTTTAGTTTAATTAGATCCTATTTGTCAATTTTTGCTTTTGTTGTGATTGCTTTTGGTATCTTCATCATGAAATCTTTGCCAGTTCCTATGTCCAGAATGATATTGCCTAGTTTGTTTCCCAGGATTTTTACAGTTTGGGGGTTTACATTTACATTTAAGTAAATCATGATTCTCTTCTTAAACTCAATGGATAGTTTGGCTGGGTATAAATCCAAAGCTAGAAATAATTTTTTCCTCAGAATTTAAGGGCATCACTCTTTGATCTTCTTGCTTTTAGTTACTGTGTACTTCATTTTTATTCCTACTGCTGGAGATAATTAAGACAGATTTTTTTTTCCACCTGATCTTTTGGGACATGAGGATTACTTTTTCATTCCACATACACTTTGAACAAAGCCCTTTGCTATTTGGTGGAGATACAGGGATGAACAAGATGCTCTACCCTCATGGAGCATCTAGTCCTGAAAGCATTAAAAATAATCTCACATAAATTACAATTCAGTAGCAATGAATGGTAGAAAGGAAAAAATACAGTATATAATAGGAAGATATTACCTAGTCTGAGGAACTGGTTTTTGAGCTGGGATCCAAAGGATGAATGTAGTTCAGGAAGCAAAGAAGTGTTGGCAGACAGTATTACTGGCAGAGTTGGCAGAGGCATGAGGAGGGAGGGTATTGGGTGTGTTCAAGATGCTGAAAGAGGAAGTGTGGCAGGTAAAGGGGAAGGTGCACAAGATGAGACTGGAGAGGGACCCAGGGCCCAGAGCATACAAGATCTTTGTACCTGGTAAGGATGTTGATCTTCATCCTAAGAACTATGGAAGGGCCCTGCAAGCTCCTTAAAAGTCACATAAGTAAAGCTTTTATTTACCTGGTTGGTAACCAACTCTGCCTTCACTCTCCTTTCAAAAAGTCTTTTCAAGTGTTCATCAAAGGCCTGTGTGCTTTCTTGAATAGAGTTTTGAAGTTTCTTCAGTTCTGCTTCTAATGACTAAAAGGAAGACAACAGTCAAGTTAACATTTAGGAGTATTAAAGGCTCCTAGGAAGTGATGTTTAAATTTCACCACAAGGCGGGGCAGATGGAGGGCAGCCCTTGCAAGGTGTTCTGGGCCCTGTACTCTCTTAAACCAGAGATAGTCCCACTTGGATCTGTTTAATACACTGTGTGTTGAGATTTTTGCTTAGAAAAGATTACCTTGGGAAAAAAAGCTTAAAATTACTGATCATGGCTAATGATACAGGCAGAAGTAGGATAGGAAAGCAAATTGCAGCAAATCTTTCCAGAAAATCCTCACTCTTTACATAGCACAGCAATCTCCAGACACATGATTTAGTCCAAAAAATTTTTATTTTTTTCAAGCACTGGTCATTTTCACGGCATTATTTCTATTTTAAGGAAGCAAGAAGTCAATATACATATATGTATATTTATATATTTGTACTCTCTTGTTTTCTGTATGTTTTGTCTCTCCAAACAGTTCTATATCAAAAGGAAAATGTTCCCTTGCCCTCTCTTTTAAAAAAATTCCACCAGGACATAGGTGAAAAGCTATAAATTTATATTTTTAAAGAGAACAACATTAAAACATGAGGTATAATTTTGATTGCACAGCAGGGTGACTATAGTCAACAATCACTTAACTGAACATTAAAAAATAACTAAAAGAGTGTAACTGGATTGTTTCTAACACAAAGGATAAAAGCTTGTGAGGATGGATACCCATTCTCCATGTTGTGATTATTTCACATTGCATGCCTGTATCAAAACATCTCATGTAGCCCGCAAATATATACACCTACTTTGTACCTGCAAAATTAAAAATAAAAAAATACAAAGTAAAAAACATGTAAAAAAGAGGTATATTGGTATAAATCATTTTTATCCTTTATTTGTTTGTAACTTTTTATTTTGATATAACTTCAAACTTATAGAAAAGTTGCAAGAATAGTACAAATAATTCCCATATACCTTTTTCAAAGTCACCAACTGTAGACATTCTACCCTATTTGCTTTATCACTTTTCTTTCTCTCTCTTCTTTCTCTCTCTCTCTCCCACCCACTCCCTGCCCCCCACCTATCTACTTTCTTTCCTACACTTTTCTGAACCATTTGAGAATAATTTGCAGACACTTGAGGACAGGCCACTTATTTTGTAGAATGTCATTTTGTTTAGGTTTGTCTGATGTTTTCTCAACTGTACACCCAGGTTACACGTTTTTAGCAGGAAGACTACATAAGTTATGTTATGTGCTTCTGTGTCTACCTCATCAGGAGATACATGATGTTGGTTTGCTTCATTATTGGCGATGTTAACTTGGATCACTTGGTTAAGTAGTGTCTGCCACTTTCTCTATTGTAAAGTTAGTTTTTCCATTTGTAATTTATTAATTTGTGGAAAGATACTTTCAGACTATGTAAATATCTTGTTTCTCATTGCACTTTTTTCTACCAGCCTTAGCATCCATTGATAATTCGTATTCAAATTAATTATTACTATGATGGTAATAAATAGTTTAAATATACACCAGTTTAAAAAGCCAAGTTCTCTCTACGCCAGATTAATAAGGAAAGTAACTGATTCTGGGAGGATAATGGAGAAAGAGGTTTAGCAAAAATAATAGAGGCATATGATGCCAGGAGAAAGACCATCCAAATTAAGTTACCTAACAGTGAGGAGATATGAACATAAAACAAACAAATATGAAAAAAACACATCTCAGGGTCATTTGCTTATAATAGTTTATATCACTATCTCATAGGCATGGAAAAGTCTCACAGATTGTGTCCTCCTGGTGGCCCTTTATCAAGTTCACCTGTTCCTAGATGATGAAAACATCAGCAATGGCAAATGGCCACAGACCCAGCTGGCTGAGGCCAGATTGTCTACATGTCTTAGATCCAACCTTCTTTAAAAACATTGAGATTCTGGGCCTTTTGAGGGTCTCTGGTCCAAAAGAATGTTTTTGTAATGTAAAATGGTCCTTTGCCTTTCTTCTTCAAATGCCCCAAATTCTTCCCATTGCAGGTCCTTCTCACATGCTCTTCCGTCTGCCTATGCTTCATTTCCCACTCTTCGGCCTCTTCAGTCTGTCTCACTTTTCCAATGCAAGCATAAATGCCATGTTCTCAAGGAAGAGTTCCTTGGGCCCTGTCTTAAGTCTCAGAAGCAAGGCCTGAAACAAGATTCCAGGGCACATGATTTCTGGAGGGGGCGCTCTTTAGGAGACACCTGTAAGTGGCTGAGGGAAGCAGGACAGGCAAGAGGCAGGAGCTGAGCAATGAAGCCATCTCAGGTGGCCCAGCCTTGGCCTGATTCCCAGGGTTGGTAGAAATGAAAGGGACTCTGCTGAACTGTCTCATTTTGGGGTGAGGAGGCTGGGGTTTTGTACCCCCTTCCCCTTGGGCTCTGTCAGCAGGTCACTGGCTGCCCTGGGTGAGGGCAGTGGTGTAAACTTGGGGATGTCTCTGGACAAGGAGGCTCCCTTGATCATACAAGGGCAATAACATTCCAGAGAAGGTCTCAGGTGTCAGCCTCTACCAGGAACACTCATAGCAGAGAGGGGATGGGCACAGAAGCCTGCAAAGGGTATCTGGTAGGTACCAGTGGCTGATCTAAGTCAGTGCCTGTGTTCACCATCATAGATGGCACCCTGAACTTGCCCTTCTAATTTATCACATTGCAGTTAAATAATTATCTTGCGAATGCACAGTTACTATATAACTGTCTCCACTCCACATAATGGTCATGGTGAAGGGGGTGGGGGAGGAGAGGCTGTGTCTGTCTTATTCATGCACATCCCTCAGGACCTGCCATTGTACCAAGCCCATAGTGGGCACTCAAGGAATATATTTGTAAAAAACATGAATGTCATTTTTCTTCAAACATTCCTAGAAAAGTCTGATTTTGCCTAAAAATGTCTGCATCAGATGCTGAGAAATGAGATGCAAAGTGAAAGACCAAGTAGGAAGTTTATATGAACCACGCAGAAATCCATCACACCTAGAATTTCTCCCAGCTCTGAAACAACAACGACAACAAAATAAATGGTCTGCCATTTAAGAAGGTATTATTTTCGCTGACCAGGCTGGTGAAGGTAAAGGCTTTATCCTTTAATCTATGAATCCCCAGTACTCAGAAGAGTGCCTGGCACATAATAGGTATCAACAGATTCATTCAATAAATTTATTCATTCAATAAATCTTCCCTAAGTGCTTATTATGGATGGAGTATAGTTCTAAAAACTGGGAATATAATATTGAACAAAGACCAGTTCTCCTCCCTCATACTGTATTCTAGTAGAGAAGACTGATAATAAGTCAACAGGTAAAAATGAACTGAGCCAGGTGGTGATAAGTATTATGGAGAACCATAAGTCAGGGAAAAAGGGACACAGGGCAGGATTGAGGAGAAGCAGGGATTTCCACCATCATAGGAAGATGAGGTGACAATTGAGTAGAGATCTCAAAGTCGTGAGAATGTGAGTCATGTAGCTAAATGGGGGAAGAGCGCTCCAGGCCAAGGATACAGTGTGTCAAGGACCTGCAGCGAGAATGAGCTATGGGTGTTTGAGTCAAGAGTTTGCTGGGTATCTGAGGAACAGTAAGGAAATCAGTGGAACTGGAGGGAAAGAATGACAGGAGATGAAATGAGATGGGATATAGGGATTGGGGGAGGAGGCAGGGGGCAGAGGAACTAAGGTAAGAAATCCTGGGAAAGGTAACAGTAGTTTGCATTAGAGTGGTAGCTGTAGAGGTGTCAGAAAAGCAGCTACTTTGAAATAAAAAAGAAGGGACTTAAAAGGGCAGAGGTGTGGTCTCAGGGTACTGCTTTGGGGAGAAAAGGGCAACTCAAAAGAGGGAAGTACCCTGTAGAGACTCGGGAGTAAAGAGAAAGAAGGAAGAGGTGGAAATTAGGGGGTCGTGTAGAAACAAAAGAAAAATCATAAAATTGGAAGACACACCAGCCTCTTCCCCATTGCTTAAAGAAGTCAACTGTATATCAAGCTGATAATGTTATCCTCACAGAAAGAGGAAAAAAAGAATTAGTCAAAGTAATTCTTAGCATAATATGTTGGTGTATTCTTAGTGGGATATAGTCTAAAAACAAAAAAGAGCTACTAGGAAATCTGAAAATTGCTATAGTATTTGTTTTGTTTGTTTGTTTGGAGGGACTGATTCTTTATTTCCAAAAAGATACCTATTAATATTCACTATCAAAATGGTTGCACTATTGGTTTCGCTTTCTCCCAACTGGACCCAAAGAGACTATATCAAAAAAGAGTACATTTTAAGCCAATAAGCTTCAGGATGTAAACCTAACAGACCTTACACAAAACACTTACCAAAAGTGGGGATTTAGTAGGGAAAGACTCTTGAAACGATCAGCAAACTGCCAGCCCGCAGACTGTAGAGAGCCCTCACAGCCAAGCAGGGTGGCCCAGATGCCACAAACCCAAAGAAGCAAAGTTCCAAAATAATATAACATTTAAAAGGTCTTGTACATAACCTGTTCAAAATTTCTCCAGGACCAACCGAAACCAAGCACAGTGATATGGAGCTTTAGAGACAGCAGCTTGAAACCCAGAAAAGGGCAAGGAGATGGGGTTTCTATGGCTAAATCGGTGGCACAAACATAATCTTCTTTCTTTCTTTCAAGGAGGCAGGAGAGCAGTTAAGTGATCCCCTCAACATAAGGGGCACATGATCCATCCTGTGAGCAACTTGGAAGCGGATAGGGATGGGACAAAAATTTGGTCTCAGAGGTCTCACCATCTTAATTTTGGTCACTTTTAATGAAAAAAATAAAACAAGTAAAAATAACATTGTCCAAAGATATCTTAAAGCTGAAAACCTGAACTGCACCTTTTTGTTGTTGCTGCTGTTTGGCTAACCCCTCCTGGAATCACCTTTCTGGTTTGGCTGGTACTTTGTAGAGAACAATGTGGTTTCCCACTGGGGAGTCTTTCCCTGGAGTCTGTTTAGTTCTCAGTAAGGCTGGCCCATACCTTTGTCCTTCCTCTACAGAGAGGGCAATGTGCATTAAGATGAAAAGTCACCTTCCAAAAGTGACAAAGGGATTAGATTGCAGAGCTGTAGAAGTATTTGGAATGTTTTACATATGGTTGCTATAAAACAACAAAAAAGGTAATTACAAAATGTGCACATCACAACACGCTTTTAAGGACATTATGCATTGTGCTCATGTTCCCTTAAATGTTGTTACCAAAGGGGCTCAGCCTCTAGCCCAGCTGGAAATCTCTGGGAAGAGGCAGAGACAGTTTGGCGAAAAAAACATAGGCGGTAGATGGGACAGCATGTTTGATAGAGGTATTTTATACACATTGTAGGACTGAGCAAATCAGTAAGTATATTTATATTTTGGGAACGAGAGTTTTCACTGAAAAAAGGAGACCTACATATTTAATGAAGGAAAGAGAAAAGAACCCTGTGCTGTTGAATTGGAATTGAGTTGGAATTGGAGCTAACTGGATGTGTGTGTGTGTGTGTGTGTGTGTGTGTGTGTGTGAGAGAGAGAGAGAGAGAATGACTCCTAACCCCTATAGCAAAGAGCACATCTAGTACCCAGATCTTGGTCTCTAAATACCAATTCCCAGTAAAAGGCATCCAGGATTCTCTAAAAAGAAAAATGGCTGATTCTAGGTGCCTAGAACATCTTGCTGTGTTAGAAAGGGAGAAAGTGCTCAAAAACTGATGAAGACACATGAAAAGGACACAGATAACAACTTGAAGAAGCTCCAAACACTTTGAAAAACAGAAATAATAATGATAGTCATGGATTAAAACACATTAAGTTAGAGTATGCCTCTGGTAGGGCAGAGGAAAAGTTCTTCTTGCAGAAGAATACTAACTAGTAAATATAAAATAAATGATAAAAACTAGAAAGGCACCATCTTGCAATCACTATAGTAATAATTGATTCAGGCAAGGGTCATCAATGGATGCCAAAAGACAGAATGAACAGAGAGTCAGATTCAAAATATCATCCCCCACAAATGAGTTATTACACACTAAGGAGAAAGAGAACTTCTATAATAAAGAAATCTGGAGAAACCTTCTGTCCAGTGATCATACTTAATGTTACCAATAGTGGGACTGACTAAAATCAGGAGCCTCCTGATACGATGCACCGAAGACACAGTATCATCTACTTAGTATGATTGTCAGAAATATTGCACCTAAATCTAATCATTAGGAAACAATCAAATTCAACTTGGGGGACATTCCACAAAAAAATCAGCTTCAATTTTTAAAAAATGTCAATGTCATGGAACACAAACACAAAGTTGTAGAACTGTTCTGGATTAAAGGAGACTAAAAGAACATTAAAAACTAAGTGAAATTGATTAGATTTTTAGATAAACAGCAACAATAAAAGCTATGAAGCACATTACTTGAACAACAGGGTAATCTGAATACGGACTTAATTAGATAATCATATTAATATTAAGCTTATTTTGTATGATAATTTTACTGCGGTTATGTAGAAGAGTATTTTTGTTCTTAAGAGGTTTATGCTGTATTATTTAGGAATATCATGATACCTGTGATTTATCTCTATTCAGGAGAAAAAGAGAACAAACGTGGCAATATAAAAAACTGCTGTGCTCAGGTATATATATAATATAACATATATATAATATATATGCTATTGATACAAATATATGGTATATAGATGGTACTATTCATGTAACATTTATGTACATTTGAATAATTCTAAAATAAAAATTGGTGAAAAAAAATCCAATGTTAGGGAAGTAAGTGGAGGTATAAAATGAATTAAGATTGGCCGTGAGTAGATAATTGTGGAAGCTGGACAAAGGAGTCATTATACTGTTCTCTCTATTTTTATACATGTTTGACATTTTCCACAATACAAGTTTTTTAATTGAGAGAGAGAAATTGAAAACCATCAACACAGATTTTTTTGAGTTTTGCCGTAAAGTAGAGCAGAGACATTGAGTGATCCAGGGGGAAAGACAGGTCAAAGGAGTTGGGTTTCTTCTTTTTACTTTTTGTTTTGAAATAAATTTACACTGACCCAAATATCACAAGAACAGTAGAAAGAACTCTAGCATTTCCTTCTAGGAAGTTTTTCTTTAATAAGATGAGAGATATATACAATTATAGCATGTGTCTACACTGATGGGGAAAATCCACAGGGTGGGAAAAATTGATGATGCAGGAAGGAAGAGGGTAAATTGATGAGTAATGACATGGAGTAGGTGAGATGGGATGGCAGCTAGTGCACCAGGAAAGGACCAGGCTTAGGTGGATGCAAGGCCATTTCACCCATAAGAAGCAGAAAGGCAGACACCATGGATTCAGTGCAGGTGGCGGGTGGATGCAGCAGTAGAGGAGTAAGGGAAATCGCTTTTAGTTGTCTCTCTTCTCTTAGTAAAACAGAAAATAAGGTGAGAGTGAGTTGAGGGCATCAGGTGTTGAAAGTTTGGGAGATGAGCAATGGGTGTGAAATGGTACTCTAGGATCCTGCCACTTAAAGTAGGGTCCACTGGCCAGCAATAGCCTGTTTGGAGCGCAAAATCTCAGTGTCCTTCCATTTTCCCAGAGCAACAATGCAGTCAGAACCTGCATTTTTAACAAATCCGCCAGGTGATGCAGACTTGCATTCAAGTGTGAGAGCACTTGGCTAGGGGAAAAATGGGGTAGCATTGCAGAGCAGCTCTAAGGACCCAGTTGAGATTAAGGTTATAATTTTGAGTAAACCCAGTCAGTAGTTTTTCTTTAGCCACTTCATGGGTGTAGGTGCAGAGAAGGCAGAGTACCGGATTTAATCAAGGCTGGGGTTTCAGCAGGTGAGTACGAAGAAGGTGCAGGGACGTGAGGGTGCAGGAAGTGAACTATCTTACAACACAAAACTGTGGAGTAAATGTAGTTGATAGGTCACCAGTCTTTATTCTTTAGGCATCTATACTCCCTAACTCTTTGAAATATTTACTTCTTTCAGTATTACTGATTTTGGCTTTGAGTAAGAACCATTTTAGGTTAAAATATAAGGGACCCTACAGGGCTGCAGTGAATAAAAATGTGGACAGGTTCACAACAGACTCAAAGAAGCTCTTCATGAGCTATAGTCACTAGTAAGCGGGCAAGTTGTCCCACCTTGAATGATGGTAGGACTTTACTTCCTTCATAGAAGAATAAATATTATTTACTTGACTGCACATCATCATCTTTTATATCTCTACTGTAATTGTGAGCAATTTTAATGTGACAGTGTTTCCTTCCAATGCATGGGGATAAAAGTAGCAGAAGTGCACTGTAAAAACCTTGAATTTGAGTTGTAAATAATGTACTGCATTGACTGTGCCATTTGTTCTTCAAACCCTTTTCTCAAGATGGAGAACAAATCAAGCAAAAGTATCACTGAATTCAAATAAATGTACACAACACAGAGCAATACCTTGCCGTGACTTGAACATGCTGTATTAGGTGTTCATTGAACACCTGAAGAATGAATGAAGGGCCAAATGAATTGTAATGACATGGGAAATGCTGAAATCAATAAGAGCTTTTTAAAAAAACTATTGCTATATGTTTCTTTGCTTTAAAATTGTTTTAACTCCTTAAATTTATCTCCACCTACTTCTCTAAATTCTCTTGAGAATTTAAGCGGAAACACTATTCTTAAACTATTAAAGATATGGGAAAATAGAAAACATTTGAAAAGATATTTAAACAGCACTCTGGATATGGTAGGTTATATTAATTCTTTGCTCTTCTGACCTTTCTATACTTATCTCTTTCTTCATTTAACTCCTTTACTTTTTTCTCATAATCTTTGAATTGTTTTCTTTCTTCTTCAGTCCACACAGCATCAGGTTTTGCCATGAAAGCAGGTTGAGGAATCACCTGAGGATATGAAGAAAAGCATATATTTCAGCTTAAACATAAATGCAGTAGTACAGTAAAAGCTCAGAGGTTTTTTTTAAAAGCCCTTTAAAAGGATACAGTCCTTCACATTGGCAAGGACAATGACCTGACATCTTGGGCGAAAGGCATTTTAAAATTTTACAACAGTTTTTCTGTGACTTAGGTGAAGGTGAGCAGGGCAGGATATACCTGGACTCTTAGGTGACAGACTCAGAGGGGTGTGTTGGGATCTTTATAGCGAGAACTACCCCTGAGCTCCAGGAACACCTATGTCAGGTATCAAAGAAAATGTTTCCTGGTATATCTGGACAATTACCAATGAAGCAGTATTCCTGCCTTCAGTAGAGACCAAAACCACTGTAGTTACTTACTTTTATTGATTTGTTTGTGTCTTGTCAGATTGGAGGGCAAACCTGCATTTTCAAATTTATTATCTGTCTAATGTGGTTCGTTTTTGGTTTTCTGAGACAGGGTCTTGCTCTGTCTCCCAGGCTGGAGTACAGTGGTGTGATCACAGCTCACTGTAGCCTTGAACTCCGGGCCTCCTCACTTAGCCTCCTCAAGTGCTGGGATTACAGGCATAAGCCACCATGACAGGCCCTAATGTGGTAGGTTTATAAGGTACTACGGAGGTTGTATAATATTTGTTGCTGGAGAACTTCTAAAACCCAGGTTTATATAGGACAAAAATGGTAAAACTTAAGTAGCTCTTTCCACCCCATTCCACCTTCCATAAGGATGAACAGAAATATCACCATTCTCAAAATATCTTCCTTCTTGACTTCCAGAACTCCTCCCATCATGTCCATCAGAGCTCGGAGTCTTGTATTGGCACCCTGGGAAAGAGCCAGAATCAGAGAGGAATGCTGAGACAGAGACCTGACATTCCAGTGGCTCCAGAGGCAGCTTCCCACCCAACATTAGAATAACTGCATTTGGGATTGGGGAAGGTGCCTAGAGGAGAGAAGGGGGAAGGAGACCAACTGAGCTTCAAGTGACTTCTGACCATGACAAATGTGTTGATGGGTTATTAAACCAAACTAGGAAGCAGTATCCCTAAAGCAAAGAGGGTCTTAGGTCCTGTGTAAGCAAAGCTGCATGCCTGTATCAGAAGCCAGCGCTCCGTTTCACGATTCACAATCAATTCTTCTCTGGCTTTGTGCCACGGCATAACGTGTTTGTGGGCTGTAATCTGAAAGAGAAAATGTCATTTCCTGCTATTATTCTTACAAAATTCAAACTAAACGTTCCTGCCACATACTGGCAGGAGGCTAGAAGATACTCAGGGGATTAAAGGGACTTTGCAGACTTTGCACCCAATTTTCTGTTTTGGAATAAGATAAGGTCTAAAATGAGAGAGTTGGAAAAATAGATCTTTACTTCTCTATTAACTCTCAAAGCTTATGTTCACCACTAAAAAGATTATAACAGGGAACCTGATAGATTAAGGAGGGGTGGGAGCGGGGCTCAAAGCAGTGCCATCTAAGCCAAATTCTGAAGGATAAGGGGTCCTAAGAGGTTGAGAACTTGGGGCATTCAAGGGACTGTATGAATGAAATTGTGACCAGAATGGAGCCAGGTGGGAGAGCAGTTGGGCAAGAAAGGGGGTGGGGGTGGGCATTCAGGAGGAGGCTTGTAGGCTTTATCCTAAGTGAAGTGAGCAGCCACTGCAAGGGGTGAGGCAGAGAAGGGACATAGTAAGTTTGGCTTGCAGCAAGAGCACTCTCCTAAATGTAGGATGGATTACAGCCCAAGGAGAAGCAGGTACAAAGTGACTGCCCCAAGCAGGGCCCTCCAGAGAGCAGCAGAGTGAGGTCCCTGCTGTCATCTTGCTCCAGAGTTTTAGGTCACATAGTGAAAGTCTGGTTTAGGAAAAACGACCTGCTTAAACAAATACAGCAGAGTGCACAAGTTAAGAGGATGAACTGTAAGGCATGATGGTTTGGGTCCAAACCCCCAACAATGACACTTACTAGCTTTGTAACTGTGGTCAAATTACTCAAACTCTCTGTGTCTCACTTTCCTCATCTGTAAAATGAAATATCAGTACCTACCTTATAAGGACTTACAATGATAAATTCACTTCAATCCAGCCAGCATCCAGCAGAGACTGTAAAAATATTTTCTATTACTTCTAAACACCACTATTATCTTTTGCCCCCAGAAGTCAAGTTGGTTTTATGTGAGAAAAATTCTTTGAATATTCTTTAGCATCTTTTTTTTTACTTTAAAAAAATGAAATATTGTCAGATTTTAATTGTTTTCTTTAGGCATTTATTTTCAACTGCCTCTGTGCCAAAATCTTTAAAGAAGGCTGTCCCGAGAGCCCCTTTCTGTGGGATCCACACTGCCTGAATGACCTAGATCACTACTGGAGCTCCACTGGCCTCGTTCCCGCAATGTGACCCAACCACTCTGGGTACAGGCACTGGACCCAAGCTGGGCCAAGGAGCCCCTTCCCAAATGAACTGGGAATTGGGACTAAGAGATTCTAATTCAGACCAGCTACTTTCTCAAGTGGAGGAGATACAAAGTAGAAATTGCCAGAGGAAGTAGAAATGCAGAGTGATGTGAACTAAGAGATGAAGAAAGAAGGCTTCTGGACCTCCCACGAAGCTCCAGCTTTTGGTTTCTGCTTCTTCCTGGGCTCAGTGTCCGAATCTTCCCTGGACTCCATAGGATTCGTAAAAGAAATTCTCATTATTGCTGAGGCTCTATCACCTCTTTCTGTTATCTGCAACTGAGAGTGCTACCCAGTACAATCACTTCCCATAGAGTAACCAAGGTGAACAAATAGGAGCTGGGGAAAGTCTTCTGAGAAAGAAGGGAAGGGAGAACACAGCTAGCCAGTACCTCCTCATCTTGCACAACAAGCGTTCTCTCTGGCTTCTCACAGTCTTCAAATTCTGGTTGCCAGACTGCTTCTTCCAATTCCAGATCGACAATAATTTCTCGAATTCGAACATTTCTTTCCTTCACGCGTGTAATTTCAAACTCTTTTTGTTTATATGCAGCATCAAACTCATTATTGAAAGCAGTTTTTACCTTGTAAATGATATCCTGAAATATTAACATGTTACTGAAAACACATCACTTCTTATGTCTTTACCGGTAACATGATCCCACAATTATACTTTCCCTCTAAAATCATTCCACAAATTATCTTTTAAGATGGTAAAATGAATCTTTCTAGAATACTACTTACATTAAGTCATTCCTTGGCTCAATAATCTACAGTGGCATCCAAGTATGGGTAGGATTAAGGCTACCACATAATTGTTAGACCATAACCTACTTCCTGAAATGTAAATTGTAACTCCATGTGCAGGTTGACAAATGCTGAAGTGGGTGATGGGTACTTAGAGGCTCATTGGGCTATTCTCTCTACTTTTGTACAAAATCCACTATAAAATATCTAAAAAGCAATATATAGGATTTAAGTTGGCATGTGTCTTTTCTTTGGAACCTGGGTTGGAGTAGATGTGGAAAAGAAGAGATAGTTTGTAGAAAGTATTTGGAGAGCCTGCCAGAGAATCACCACCACACACAATACTCTTCTTCTATACGAACACATCATTCTCAGGTAGGAAAGACAGCTGCGTTAGCCGACTGGAGTATGCAATTCCTAAGGTGCCAGTGGGACCAACTGGATTGCCCCACTCCTGCTGACGGGTCAACCCAAAGTGGCCTTTGAGTTATCATGGGAGTTTAGTCTATATGTCTATCCTACTGAAGACGAAACCATTAAAGCAGGGTGAAAAAATGATCTTAACAGCTAGCATGAGAATTTCTCTTGGGCCGAAATTACCTCCTTGTAGGCAAACACCTTAATTAAAAGCAGCAAGAAGGTGAGACCCTGAAGGCAAAAACTGAGCAACAAATGAGGTAACTAAATAGCCCTGAGTGTTAATGAACAGAAATTTCAGGGGTTAGAGCAGAAAAAGAAAAGGATAGGAAGAGAGAGCTTAAGAACATGGCAGGAGACTAGAACTCAAATAGAAGACGTGGCTGGAGGGCTTTCAGGGCTTTCAGGGATTGCCAGCATTCAATTTCAAACTATCTTCATTGGCACAATCTCAGTCACTGCATTTTCAAAAACCTTCAGTCAGGGTTTCTACATGTATAGACATATTCTGAGACTGTTTGGTGGAAAGTTAAGGAGTAGGAGCTTAGAGCCAGAGGGACCTCACACCTTATCCTTGAACCCCAGAATTTACAGAAATTTAGAGGAAATTGTCTTTCCCCAGGTTAAGCAGATAGATAAACAATAACATCTTGATCTTACAAGGAAATCCTAATTGACATTTGGGTATACTGAGAAAACGAAATTCTAGTGTTTTCTTTTCTCTTTGAGCTTACTGATGTTCAAAGCAGAATGGTTTGTGGTGTCAGCTGTTGTGGAATGCTCTTTAGAAAACTTGGTATCACAGTAACCTAGTCCAAATGGTTGAATGCAACTCTTGTACACAAGATCTGTCTAAAGGACATGGCTATGTATTGTTATTTATTTATTTATTTAATTAATTATTTATTTAGAGACAGAGTCTCGCTCTGTCGCCAGGCTGGAGTGCAGATCCAGCTCACTGGCATGATCTTGGCTCACTACAATCTCCGCCTCCCCAGTTCGAGCAATTTTCCTGCCTTAGCCTCCCGAGTAGCTGGGATTACAGGCATGTACCACCATGCTCAGCTAATTTTTGTACTTTTAGTAGAGACAGGGTTTCACCATGTTAGCTAGGATGGTCTCGATCTCTTGACCTCATGATCCAACTGCCTCGGCCTCCCAAAGTACTGGGATTACAGGCGTGAGCCAATGCGCCCAGCCTCCTCTATGTATTTTTAAATCATCATTTGATTGGCATTAGTTTTCAATGTGAGGCCTTGAAAGCCACGTAATGTATTCTAGAGATTTTTGAGGATAAAAAGAATTCACCCACTTTCAGTAATATAATTTGGTTGATTTTCTCTTCTCTGGAATGAAGCTGCAATTGGCTTGACAATAAAGAGGTATCTACCCCAAAATCAGTACTCAGACTACCAAGCAGGTAATTGGGCAAATTGCTACATTTTACTGTCTTGTCCTCCTCTTCCTCTTCTTCATCATCCTCTTCATGACGCTTTTTAACCAATATAACTCCAGACTGAGCCTCTACAATTTCCTTCCGTAGCTAAATGTAGAAAAAGATGACACAGAAGTTATGCAATAACAAGAATCCTCTAAAGGGAAATTTTGTGACAACTTAATTATTTCAACAATCATTTTAATTTGTTGAATTGTCTTGCCAACAACTGAAATCAAAGTGACGAATAGATCCCAGAACTGCTGCAGAAGAGATTAAAGCTTCAGAACTGACAAACGATGGATAAATCAAAGGAGTAAAAATTGTCCTTGAGGGTGTGTAATGTTTGTATCTTTCTGTCAGTATGACACCTGCTTGTAAATATTTTGAGTCTTTCTTGGTACTTAAATATTAAGAAATATATATTGTCTTTATATTTTACAAAGAAACCTGTTCACAAAGGACTGGTGGGTGAAGGTTAAGAAGAATTAAGCATGCCTTCTTTTTGTTTCAGAAAAAGAGTGGGTGCACAGTTCTGACCAAAACAAAACTACACTGAAGCAGTGGTTTTTTTTAGTGGTTTGACAGAGATTATTGTTTAAAAAGTGGGATTTAGGAAAACCACAATTCTATCAAAACAAATTCTACTTTATCCTTGATCAATTATCTTAAAAACAATCCCTAGTGACAAGGGAGGATGAAAAGGATATCTGTGGATGAAGACAACCTCTGTGCAGGATAAGAGCAAAACCCCAAATCTCATTTTTTAAGGTATACCCTCATATTTGAGGGCTAGCCAGTGTCGTATAAGATATAGGTTCCTTGATTTATTGTGTGGATACAGGCTCCTATAGTCATTAGAATATATTCTACAAATTAACAAGAAATAAAAATATAAATACATACAATACCTAAACTTAAATTATATCCCAACTCAAATCTGAACAAAGGAGACTCTATAAAATAAAGCACATCACTTATATAAACACACATATATTTAAAATAGTACTTTGAGACACTCTGCTTCAATCTTCTTTTGTTGTAAAACTCTTTCCAACTCTTTCAGCTCTTCAACCGTGCGTGCTTTCATCGGGAAGTTTTCAACCACACAGGGGATATGAAAACACTTGGGGGAAAAAACGCAAGACAAAATAAACTCATTTGTAGAATAATTGTGCATTTCTGGGGTTGAGTAGGGGATGTTTTCTGTGATTAATCATGCATCGGTAAAATTGTCAATGGAAACCTTTTTAAAAATAAAACAATGTATTCCATGAGTATTGGTATAAACTTCATATAAAATACTGTGCTTTTGTGAAGGGCTGATTTTTAGGTCAGTAGTTCTCAACTAGGAGCGATTTTTCTCCCTCCTTCTTTCCCCATCCTTTTCCCCCAAGACATTTGGCAACATTTTTTATCTTAATTAGTGGAGGCAAACAATGCTACCGTCTCCAAATAGAGGCCAGAGATGTTGCTACACATCCTGCAGGGCATAGAGCAGCCCCCACAACAAGAAATGATCCAGCCCAAAATGTATGGCTCATGAGAACCCTGTTTTAGAGCAATACTCAAATCATACAAAATGTAGGGTGGCCGTATACTTCATTGTCTACTTTTGGAGCATATTTGAAAGTGAAAGGGATGCTGATAATAGTTACTCTGGGATCACAGACATGACCTGAGACTTTTGGTCACCCTACACAAACAGGGAAATTTTACTTGAGGGCATTTCAATGAGGAACAGCTCTTTAGAAAATGCGAAGGCAGGCACAGGCAGAAACATGAACCAGATTTCGTCTACCGTTCAATCTGTGTGAAATGTGAGTGAGCAGACATCTATTAAGATCCAGATGCAGAGGGTGTCTGCGAGGAAAGGAGGAAAAGAATGCTAAGACGGATCTTCAGAAATGATGGCTGGGAAGCACATGGGGACTGAGCACAGAGGGAAGGAGCCAAGAGACAGGGACATATCCAGGTGAAATTCAGTATAGGAAGGGGCAAGTCATGCTCTCAGTGCTTTGCTACGCCTGAATTTTCTTAAATTTATTTTTAAAACTTTCCTGAGCTTTTGATGACAATTCTCATCAGGTTTTGTACCTAGGGTTCTATCTGTTACCTTAAGAGCTCGACCTTTCACAGCCATCGAATTCCAACATTCTTCTTTGATAAGTTCAGCCAAATAGCTCTTGGCTAGGTTATGCATCTCTACATCCTTTATCATCTTGAAGAACGCAGACAAAGGGAAAAGATAAAAATGAAAGTGTGGCCTCAGAAATAATAATCTCCATTGTAAACTCATTAACTGCACCTTCAGTGGTAGAGTCTGGTTGTCTTTCTCCAACACTTTGAGCCACCTTGCGCTGAGATGCACTTTTGGGAAACACATCTCTGCCTTTGAGAACATCTCCTGAAGTTTATCTGTAGACTTGGATTCTCTTCCTTGAGGACACACAGTACCTCTAAGGATGGTCAGGTTGCATACACAAGTGAAGCGGGGTGTGAGGATGGATGCACTGTAGTGGTGAGCTGCATGGTTAATGTGCACAAAGTCTGCTGGTTGGAACAGCAGTGAAGCAAAACCACTGAGCAAAGTCTTCCTGTTTTATTAGAGAGGTCTGGAATTCATATTTTTATGTGAAACTGCCAGATATTTAAATGTTGGCTTAAATCTCGCCAACACACATTTGAAGTGCGTTTGTGACCTCTGTCTGGGAGTCTTTACTGTACTTAATTATTCTATTATTTACGTCCACAATAAAAAAGAACCCTCTACTACTCTTGGGGATCATACAATTTGTGTTATTTTCCACTTAAAAACATGTTACTTCAGTTAGTTTTACTTGCTTACGTAATCCCATTGCTTATTATTTAAATAATTAAGTATTCCTATTTTAATACAGTTTGCTGAAAGACCTGGTGTGAAAGTGAGACCTAACAATCTTTAGTCCTTAGGATCCTTTTCAGGATCTCTGTGCACTTCTTTTTTTTTGGCAGAATTATTAGCAAACTAGCTAAGAATAATATCTCGTAGATTTAAAATGTCTTTTTTAGTACTTCTTGTGAATTTCTATTTATTTTATTGTCTGATTAAATGACTTTAATTTGCAATTCATTTCTTTTTGATTCTGACCCAGTAAGTTAATAGCTAATATAGTTTTAAATTATTTCTTTCTAAATAGACAGCTGGCTTGGCATATCAGTTGTCAGGACCTGCCTGATTCCCAGCCCACTCGGCCCTCCTCTCTCCACTGCTGAGGCTGTTCATCAACTCCTCCAAACTCAGTCCCTAATACTGTGTCCAGGTTGTCATTATCGGGCTTTGGTCTTTTTCCTATTATTGAGATCCTGGCCGGGGCAGGGTAGTAGCCTAGTCTCTCATTCACATCCTTGACTGGCAGGTGCCACTAACTCCTCCCAAGGACTAGTATTCTGATCCTAAACATGCTGAAAGCTCCTAAACAGCTGAGTTTATGGTGCCATTTGCTAACACTGTTCTCTACTGGACCACTATTGTGCCTAATCTGGTGTTAATATCTCTTCAAAGGCACAGAGCTCAAGAAAAATAATAAACAATATGAGGGAAACTAGCATGTGGAGGGCCTTTCTCTGCACCAAATCCTGCCTCAGAGGATCAAGGAGAACTCTTGAGGGATGAGCATGAATTTGGTAAGTGGCAAGTAGGGGCATCTGGGGCAGAGGCACAGGGTGGCAGTGGGGGAGGTAGGATGAGTTTGGCAATGGTAAATAGTTCAGTGGGCCAGGGGAGCAGGTTCACTGTGTCAAGTAGTCATATACAGCTTGGAAAGAGAAGCAAATATACAGTGAGGGAGGGGGCAGGCACCGAACCCACACACATTGCTGAGTGGTCAAGATGACTTGGCTGGGAGAACCTGGTGCAGAATAGCAGGGGGCATTCTGAGCCTGAGCCAAGCCAGAGCCAAGGAGGAAGAGCCTCCTAGGAGGAACAGCCAGGATCCTCCTGGCTCTGATCTTAGCCAAGTGGCTCTAGCTCTCTAAGCCTCTATCTAAGCCTCAATTTTTTCAAGTGGGGCAAACTATCACCTACTTTTTTGAATTGTGATAATCAAAATAAATAAATTCAAAAAGCTCCTAGATTGGTGCCTACCTCTTGTGATAAGAAAATGGGACTTTTTTCATAGCTTCCTGTTGCACAATCAATAAAAAAGCCAAATTCTTTACCACAATATACAACGTCTTCAGGGGCTAGGCTCTGCCTACCTCCCCTACCTCATTCCATGAGGCTCTCTCCCATCCACCATGCTTCAGCCTTTCTGGCCGTGCTGTTCCTGGAATACTGCAAGTCATTTCTGCCTCTTGTTGCTCCCTGTGCTTGACATTCACTCCCCCCCACATCTTTGCACAGCCAGATGTCTCTCTTCCTTTAGTTCTCAACTGAAATGTCAGCCCTTTGAAGTGGCTTTCTTTGACCACAGAAGTAGATCTCCCACATCTATCAGAGCATCCAGTTTGTTTCCATCATATACTATGTAGAGATTTGTTTACGACCGGTCTTCTTCAGTACATTACCCCATGAAATGTGTCTGTCATCATTATTGTATTCCCAGCACCTAGATTAATGTGCCTGGGACATGAATAAATGTTGCAGAATAAACGAAGGAATGATTATCCCAGGTAAATTTTATTGTACTAAATCAGTCTGTTGAGATACTCTTGTCCTAATTGTTATCCACTACATTTCCTCAACTTCTCAGTCTCATGTCATTCACTAATTTGACAAATCTCCTCATTTCTATATCTTCACCTCAGTCATTAATAAACATGTTTATCAGGACCAAGTCCTGGGGCACATGGTGGAAACCTCCCTCCTAGAGGCATCAGTCAAATAATCAACCTCCTCTTGGTGTAGTTGTTTAATCTATTATAATCCACCTTAACTGTCCTTGAATCCAGCTATCTTTCATTCTCCTGTGTTTTTATATTTGCAGATTCAAAAAATTAACCTGTACTAGCAGGTTGAGAAAGAGGAAGCTTCAGAATATCCTGTGTAAAACACACTTAGGGCTTTTATTTAAAATAAAATCCATATGAGCAAACAATTTGATGTGACTGCCACAAAATAATACAAAGGCTGAATTAATAGAAGTATAGTATGAATGGAAGTTTCAGTTTATGCTTTTCTCTACACTGGACAGAAAATAATTTGAATTCTTCTGTGGGTACAATATGCAAATATAATTAATCTGGAGGAAAAGGGCAAGATGATGACGAGGCTATTGAAACTATAATACATGATGGTCATAGGAGCTGGGATAATTAGCCCAGACAGGAGAAGATCCACAGGGAACATGGAAATTTCTAATCCTCTACCACTCTCAGAGGGGCCATAGAGTAGGAAGTGCTCAAAGAGTAGAAGGATCAGTGAGTACAGGAAGAAAGATTTCCACTCTAATTAAGAAAGGGCTTACTAAACCAGAAGCGTCCAAAGTTGGCATGAGGTGGCTAAGAAGACTTCCAAAAATGTTCAAACATATGGCTGGCAGGAATGTCATGGAGGGGAAGCAAATGTCAGATGTCTGGCTGGCCTAGATGTTCCCCCTGCTCCAAACCCCCAAATTCAGTGACCCTCTGATTCATTACACTTACATGCACTATGTTTGCTTTATTCACATTACACTGGAAAAGGTTTTGCCATATTCACATTATTATGAAGAAGTTCCCTTTCCTATTATCTTTTTACTTCTTTCATCATAACTTTATGATGCTTAAATTACACTTTTTCATACCTTTGCCACTTCTTCCTGACTTTCATCATGAAGCCTTTCTAATTCCTCAAGATCTAGACCAAATTCCTGTTGGTCTAATTTTGCAATATTTTCTAGTTTGTCATTTTCTTCCATCATATTCAGAATCTGAATGTTGAAATAAAAAAGGGTGGTGACAAGTAAAGAATTAAACTGTAATAAGATAATTTTCTTAGTTTCTTTTAGGCAGCAATCAATAAAAAATAGATGTTTTATTTATCTAAATGTACTACTAAGTAAAGAATTAGATTATGGGCTTATTGTGGTTATTGTAAGTTTTAAGGTTTCATCCTTAAAAACTCATTCATCTAATAAGAAGAACTACAAAAATATGTAAGCTCATCATTTCATTCTATGATATTAAAGCACTGTTGCTAGTTTGAGGTATACTAACAGCATTGTGGTTATGTGTTTTAAGAGTCTTTATCATTTAAAGATACATACCGAAATAATTAGAGATGATATGGTGTTTGGGATTTACTTCAGAATAATCAGGGAAGGGGTAATGGATGGAAGCATTGGTGAAATGATATTGGCCACTGGATGTATTATATTATTGTCTTCAATTTTGTACAAATTTGAACTTCTATACAATAAAAATTATCTTTAAAAGTTTATAACTTCAAAAAATTCAGGGGCAAAGGATACACACTGCAACACATATGACAAAATATTCATGTCTTTAATATATAAAAAGCACTTACAAATAAACAAAAACGAGGCAGACAACATGATAGAAAAAGTGGGACTTCAGTTTCAAAATGATAGACTGAGAATGAGTTCAACGATTTTTCTTTTTTGCCCCAAAATATAAAAAAGTTAAGAGAAAAGAAGTATAGCATAGATAAATCCATTACTACAATGAAGAGGAAAAAAGAAATAGAATCCTTCAGGAGCATGAAAACTATAACAACTGAAAGATGGAAATCAGATGGATCAGCAGGATGCATCATAGCCCAGAATGCCCTCAGCACAGCACTCAACAACAGGTGGAAGCTACACCAGATACAGGAACAAGGGTTTACCTGCTGGCAGGTTGATTAGTAGGGGCTGCTGCATCAGAAACAGACAGTAGAACCTGCCTGTACCCCAACCTGGTGAAGTTCCCTAGGGTCCAGCAGTAGTAGCTGGAGTGTTTGTCTCCAGGTAGAAGAAATTGGAATGAATATTTGGATGGGAGAAACAAGGCAAGGCAAGACCCAAGGAATCTGTTAGTGGCTAGAAAGAATAGAGAACTCCCCCACCACACAATGGGCTGCCAAGACACTTCCCAACACCACCCACCCCTTCTCTTTTCACTGAGAGCAGACAGAATACCTGCTAAAGTCAGATCTCCTACACTTCTTCCAAAGCAGACTGAGCTGGTATCATGGAATTATAACAGGGAGTTTCAATTATAAAGACAAGCATGAAATAATAACAATAAATCACTAAATATTTGGGGAACAACAAGACCACTGGAGAGAAACAATAAATTCAACAAATAGAAGACTTGTTGCCCAAAGGAAAAGAGTTAATTAAGCAAGAAAGTTATAATTTTACAGCAACTAGGGGTGCAAAATATTGTATTTCATAAAAAGAATCACAAGACAAGAAAAATAAATGAAGGATAACGATTGATAAGAGATAAATATGTTATTTTCAAAAGATATGATAGTCTACCTAGATAATCTAAGACAATCAAGTGACAAAATAGTAGAACTAAAAAGAATTCAACAAGGTGGTCAGAAAAAAATCAATAATATTCACATATACCAATAATATATACCAATATATAACATATACCAGTTGTATTAGTCTGTTTTCATGCAGCTGATAAAGACATACCTGAGACTAGGCAATTTACAAAAGAAAGAGGTTTAATGGGCTTACAGTTCCACATGGCTGGGGAAGCCTTACAATCATGGCAGAAGGTGAAAGGAAAGGCATGTCTCACATGGCAGCAGACAAGAGAAGAGAGCTTGTGTAGGGAAACTCCCCTTTTTAAAACCATCCGATTTCCTGAGACTTATTCACTATCCCAAGAATAGCATGAGAAAGACCCGCTCCCGTGATTCAATTATCTCCCACTAGGTCCCTCCCACAACACATGGGAATTATGGGAGCTACAATTCAAGATGAGATTTGGGTGGGGACACAGCCAAACCGTATCACCAATGTAATAGAAAAATATTCCATTCACAAAAATGGTATAAACTATAAGATACCTAAAATAAACCTAATAAGAAATTTATACAAAGTCACTTTCGGAGAAACTATAAACTTTCACTGGAGATTATATTTTTAAAATTGAATAAAGAAATAAATATATAATATACACATATGTAAATATTATATATTTATTGAAAATATAACTTTCAAAGTTATATATTTTAAAAGAAATAAATACATAGGCCTAGTGCAGTGGCTCATGCCTGTAATCCCAGCACTTTGGGAGGCCAAGGAAGAAGGCTAGGAATTCAAGACCAGCCTGGGCATCATAGGGAGACCCTGTCTCTTCAAAAAACTACAAAAATCAGTTGGGCATGGTGGTGCATGTCTACAGGCCTAGCTTACTTGGAAGGCTGAGGTGAGAGGATTACTTGACTCCAGGAGTTCAAGGCTGCAGTGAGCTACACTTGTGCCACTGCACTCTAGCCTAGGTTACTAAGCAAGATCTTGTCTCTAAATAAATAAATGAAAGATGTAAATATATAAATATACAGATGCTCCTCAACTTATGATGGGGTTATGGCCCAACAAACCCATTGTAAGATGAAAATATCATGTCAAAAGGGGCATTTGTAGACATGATGGGCTGCGAAAACATAAAACACGATATCCAAAAAATGCTGGCAACACAGTACACTTCAGAGTATTCATTGTTTACCTTCATGATTGCATGGCTGACTAGGAGCTGTGGCTTACTGCCACTGCCCAACATTGTGAGAAAGTATGGTACCACATATTGCTACTCTGGGAAAAGACCAAATTCAAAATTTAAATCACAGTTTCTACTGAATGTGCATTGCTTTTGCACCATCATAAGGTCGAAAAATTATAAGTTGAACCACTCTGAGGTGGGGACTGTCTGTATATATCTTAATTCAATTTAAAAAATATTCTTCAGTAAAGTTTTATCATATATATTGATATATATACACTAAAGTTCAGAGCTGGCAGATAAATTCTTCTCCAAATCAAACTATAAGCAATATACTCGCAATCAAAATCAAATCAGAGTTTTTCATGGAGTTTGACAAGCTGATTTTAAAATTCCAATGGAAAAGTAAGTATACATAAAAAGGCCTTTTTTTTAAAAAAAAAGAAGGGCAAAAGGAGAATTATTCTCAAGATACAAGAACTATTATAAAGCTATAGTAATTAAAATAGCTTGGTATTGGCTCAAGAAAAGATCAATATTCAATCTTAGAACAGAGTCCAGAAACAATCCTATGTCCAGGGATTGATAGAGGAGACACTGCAAATCAGCAGAGAAAGGATAGTATATTAAATAAAACAGACTTGGGAAATGGGCTATTTGTTTGAAAAAAATAAAATTAGAACCATATGACATACCATTCACAAAAATAAATTATAGGTGAAATCAAAGAGTATTAGAAGAAAATATGTGTGACTTTGAAAGGTCATTTAAAATCAGATGTAAAACCCAAAAGTTATAAAGAAAACGATCAATAACTTGGATCATGCCATAATTTTAAAATTCTGCTTTATAATAAAATTATTTAAAATTTGGCACTTCATAAAAGTTAAAAGACAGAAAGTATTTGTAGTAGGATGAGCCATATATTTTTCTAGAAAATATTTGTAGGTTGAGCCACATAAAACAGCAATTGCATGAAGTTCCACCTAATAATAAGGGCTACCTTTAGATATGTCCCATTCACACTTTCATGCTCTTTACCTTTCCAACTGACTCAGATGAGATCAAACAAGGCAATCTTTGAAGCCCTGAGTTGAAGATAGCAGGGTCTCTGAATGACTGCATGGAACAGAACAGCTGCTGAGCTGAATACCTACCCAGGATGGTTACATGGGAATGAAATAAACTTCTCATCACTGTGCCACTATGTTTTTTTGAGTTTATGTGTTACCATAGGCTAGCTAACTCTAATTATCATAAATACATACGAATAAAAAATAAAAATAAAGAACTCCTATAATCAACAAGAAAATGACCAATTATCCAATAAGGAAATAGGCAAAGAATATAAACAGGAAATTCACAGGAGAAGAAATACAAATACTGTTTAGAGTTATGAAAAGGTGCTCAGTCTTATTAGTAATTAGGAAAATAAAAACAAAGGGCCAAGGAAATGATTTAAGAACTTTTTCTAAAACCGAGAGACAAAGGTTTCCTATTAAAATGCCCATCAAAGTCTAGTACATGAAAGAAGAAAACACCTAGGGTCCTGGTAGGAAAAGGTAACACATTCAAATGGGAAAACTGAAGAGAGAAACTTAAAAAAAAAAGATTTGGCAGAGTAAGGAGAGCCAGCAAGACATGATAAAGCATTAGGCTTCCAACTGCGGGAAGCCATCTCCGCTCCTAGGTCTGAAGGGCAAGAGCTGGGAGTGGTTAACGAACCTGGAGAGACCCATAAATGTAGGAGAGAGATGGCGGTCATTGCCAACTCATAACCCTACAGGGAGGAAACTGGGAGAATGAGGACCCTGGTCTTAGTCTCCTGCCCCGCAATCCATGATCTGAGCCCTACAACAATGGGGTTCTCCTGCTGATGCCACTTATTGCCTAAACCCAAGAGAAAGTCAGAAGGCAAGACAGTGCATTGCTATTATCCATAAAGGCCAGCCTCTTGGGGCTCAAAGAAGAGTGGAAAAGGGAAGAGAGTCTTGGTTTGCACCAGCAAACCAAGAATACCCATTGAACATATCAAGGTGCATACCTGTACATTTCCAAACACTGTGGATAAAGACAAGATCCTATAAGTCTCCAAAGAAAAAAATCTGGTTACCTACAAAGAATTGGGAGTCAGGCACTGGAGTCTCTGAAGGAAACACTGGAAGTCAGGAGACAATGGAGCAAGCCTTCAACATTCTGAAGGCAAACCATCAAATGGATATGAGTGTAGGATAATTACATTTTAAGAAAAACCACATCTCACAAAATGTACCTCCCATGTACCCTTTCTCAAGAACAGAGCCAAAGCATCTGGCAGGTCTAGCAGCAGGGCACCATTCACAGTGGTACCACTTGGATGGTACCCCAGAAGCACAGCTATGTTATAAAGGATGTTCCCAAGCATGGCGCAACACAGCAGTCCTGTGTAGGAAGCTACTGAAGGACACACACCAAGAATACAAAGAAAATCAAGTGGGATTCAGGAAATAAGAGCTCCAACTTAAGAGGCAGGTCTCTAGGACAGCAGCCATACACCTGGTCTACAGAGCAAGAGCAAGAACAAGGTGCTTTGACTGGAGCTGGAGGATGGAAAACTCTAGAAGGGAGGTTGCCCAAAAAATGCACTGACAGATTGATCACTTCAGGTATTTGATTGTATTGAGAAGAATTTGTTAGCATTTTGAGTTTGAATAGGTCATAGAAAGGCTTATCCAAAACAAAGGTTAACTATTAATTCTAAGAAAAATCAAGTTGTAAAAGCAGAAATGTAATAATAATACACCATGTGGCTCAGCTTTGAAGAATATTCAAATAACTATCATAGTATGTATTCCAAGCATGGATTTATATGTGTGCTATAGTGGGGATGGGGAACAGTAACAAGCATAACTACTCATGTTCCATACCAGGAAGCCCATAGTTAGCATCAAAACAGAAATATCAAGAAATAACAACAGTAGTAAGAAGACTATTTAGACAGAAGTAAACAGACCAAATGAAAAAGTGGAAAGAAGAGAAAACAGTTACCTCAGGAGTACAAGTATCAGTCAAGAGAAGTAGGGCAGTGGCTGCTTAAAAATATATTATTTTTAACTACACAACTCAGTATTATTTAATCTGTAAAAATATAAATGCATAACTTTGGTAAAAATCAGTATTATAAAAACAATTAAGATGGTAATTTGGGGGAAGATGGGGAAAACCACTGTTGATATGAAGTGGGAATTGGTGAAACTTTTATCTTATTAAAGAACTTCAGAAAACTGAGCTTACAAGCAGAGAAAGGGAGGTATAGTTCCTCAGGGTAGAACAAAATTAAGTTCAAAAAGTAATTTTAGAATAAGAGCCAAATGTATTAGAATATGAAATTACAACACTTACAGTTTTGGAAAGTGATTTGATTCCTTCTTTTATCTCTTTCCTTTTCTTGGAAAACAGATTAACCTCCTTTTTGATGGCCTGAAACAGAACAAGTGTATCACTTAACAAAGCAAGAGAAATCAGAAAGAGAGAGAGAGACAGAGAGATATATAAAGAGATACATAGATAGCAATTCTCTAGAAACAGAAACTAAAATGTGTAAAGAGTAATATAAAGTGTACATGAAGTAATACCACTGCAATACCTTGCTTAAATCTAACTGCTACTATGTAAGTGACATTAAAGCTACATGAAACACATGTCAATTATATGGCCAATGGAAAGAAAATAAGTAGTGAAAAATTAGTGAACAGTTGATTAAGGAAAACCAGTATGCACTTTTATTGGGAACTTGAGACTAGATCAATAGGCTAAATCCAGGCACGAGCTGTAATCAGTCGGTCACCTTTCTGAACAGCTGCAGCCACAGCATCCCTTCCCCTGTTCCTGGTCCACAGGACAGAGGTAGCATCCCCTAAAACTCACTCCACAGTGGAGTACTGCAGTTCATGCTTTGCTGTGGTTTACCTGGACACCATTGTTGGGTTGCATGTCAGCCTACGTACAGTTCTTAAAGCTCATATAACTTGATCTAAATGATTGGGCTGTGTTTAGGGTGTTTATTTGCTTTCAGAAAAGTTACACCTGTATGTTGTAGTGCTCTGCCGAGTGGTGTCTCATTCCATCTTCTAACTTTCCAGTACGTTTCCATAGGAAACTGATCTGTTTGGTGCATCTACAGAGCACTATTTCAAACCTACCCCATGTTTCACAAATACCTCTTGGCTTTTTTGTTGTATCCAAGGAATTTCCTTCTTAACATCAGTTGGAACTAATTCATCCTGCGATGAGTCAATGCTTGCCTTCTGTTTCTGATACACGTTAGAAAAAGACAGACATGTCTTAAAGTTAAAATTCATCAAGTTTTTCCCCTCCCACCCTACCATATGTAACTGCTTTGAATTCCTTTGCATTTGTTGCATTTTTGAAAATAATCTCAAACATTTTGTCCCCAAGATGTAACATTTTATTCATGTAAGTCCTATCAGTCTGCCGTTATATTAGCCACAGCTTCCACCGAGGAAGCAGAGGTGATCAGACCAGTCACACTGCCACTACTCTTTGCCTTCTTTGTTACTGTGACCCACATGTTTCTGCCCATCAAGGCCTATGCCACCATCTGTGCTTAGGATCTTTTTTCTTCTTTTTGAAGTCTTAGTGCTTAAAATATTTTTTTCAATGCCATCTCCTTCTGTATCATCAATGTCTCCCTTTTACAGGATCTTCACCAACAGTATCCAAACATGCTCTACTATCTCCTGTCTTAGGAAAATTACTCTCACTTGACCATAAGATTCTTCTTCAGCCACCACCCTATTTCTATTTTTTTTTTTTTTTTTTGAGACAGAGTCTCACTCTGTCACCCAGGCTGGAGTGCAGTGGTATGATCTTGGCTCACTGCAAGCTCTGCCTCCTGGGTTCACACCATTCTCCTGCCTCAGCCTCCTGAGTAGCTGGGACTACAGGCATGTGCCACCGCAACTGGCTAACCTTTTGTATTTTTAGTAGAGACAGGGTTTCACCATGTTAGCCAGGATGGTCTTGATCTCCTGACCTCGTGATACGCCCACCTCAGCCTCCCAAAGTGCTGGGATTACAGGTGTGTGCCAACCACTGCCCCCGCCAGCCCACCACCCTATTTCTGTGCTCCCCTTTGCAGCAAAATGTCTTGAAAGAGTTTGGGAAGCCACGCTCTCCTGGCTCTCCCGTAACCTCACTGGCTAACCCTCCTCAGGGTCCTCTGCATCCCTGAACTCTTCTCCTGGCTCACCAGAAGTTGCTCTGTCCTGGTCCTCTTCTGCTTCTTGCCATTCATGCTTCCATGATGTCCTTGCCTAGTGTCATGGCTTTAAATCCCATCAGCATGTCCTTGACTCAAATCAACATATCCAGTCCCGACCTCTCCCCAGAACCCAAGGTTCATCTATCCAACAGCTGAACTGGCATCTCCACTTGGGTGTCTAACAGGCTTCTTGAGCTTAGCATGGGTAAAACTGATTTTGAATTCCCTTCATAGCTGCCCCCTTCCCCCACAGTCTACCCTATCTCCATGAATGACACCATCTTCTACATAAATGTTCAAGTAAAACAATCTAGGAGTTCTTGGGCCCTTTCTTTTCCTCTCTCTCTATGTCCAATTCATCAGTGAGTTCTATCAGCCCTACCTCTGAAACCCACCTGGAATCCACCACTTCTCTCCTAGGCACAAGACTCCTCTACCTCCATCATTGCTACCTGAATCTCTGCCTTAGCCTCCTGAACAATGTCCCTGCTTCTTATCCTTCTCATCCCCTACAGGAAACATTCTCCTCACAGCATCAAATAATCATTTCAATAATGTCAATTATACCTTGTTAATCCTCTGTTCAGAACACCTGACTCAGTTCTCATTACATGTAAAATAAAATTCAAGCTCTTTACCTAGTTTACAAAGCCCTTCATTACCCGGTCTCCTCCTGCTTTGAAGACCTCACCTCCCACCACTTTCTCCCTTGCTCACTTCAACAGCACAGGTCTTTTTTAGGTCCTAACATACCACACGCCAAGCTCTTTCTTTCCCCCTTTGCCCTGAATACTCTTGCTACCCTCCCATTGTCTTTGCATGGTGGTGTTCTCTTTTAATTCAGATCTCAGCTTAAATGTCTTCTTGGAGAGGCTATCCAGTCCAATACTATCACATCAACCTATTTTTATTCACTGAGTAGAACTTGTTACTATCTCATTGTTTCCTCTGCATTTGCTTGTTTATCTGTCTCTCCCTGCCCATCCCCAACGCCCAATTAGTATGTAAACTCCACGGAAGCAGAAATTTTTCTATCTTGTTCACAGCTATATCCTCCACAGCCTAGCACTCTGTAGGCACTCTATAAATATTTGTTAATTGAATGAGTGAATGCTGCTCTTTAGCTAGACACTTCCTAAACAACATCTGTAATACGAAAGTATAGAGAGACCATTTTGACCAAGCACGAGTGTGGGTAGAAGATTTTTTTTCCAAGCAAGCCTGGATTTTGTACTATGGTTTAAATGAGATCTGAAATGTACCATGTGCAATTGCTTTGAGAAAGGCTAAATATTTTCTCTCAGACATAGCTTATTCTCTTTTTTTAAATCATGGGATACCTGGAAAAAGAGAAATATTACTAAATATCTGCTTAAAGAAACCACAAGCTGAAAACCTCTGAATTACAAACAAAGAAATGTAAGCAAGCAAGCTAGTCATATAGGAACTCAACTGTGTGTTCAGAATCGGATCCCAAATCTATGCAAACTTTTGGTGTTGTGCTTAAATAATCATTCTCCTCGCCCATGGTGCTGCTCAGGGAAATTAATAGTTTTTGGTAATAGTCCAGAATTTCACTGGCTAGGAGTCCTCCAAACCGCCTATATTAATAAAAAAGAAAACACAGAGGCTGCAAAAATCATAATTTAAAAAAATCACATTTAGCTGTATTATTTTCAGGTAACTAACCATTTCAGTTTATAGATAAGTAACCAAGGAAATATGTGGACAATTCTTCACAGTGCCTTGTGGAAACTTCTTCTTCAGTGCCTACTTCTTTTTTAGAATTTCTTTTTTAAAAATTTTTATTTTTTTAAAGAGAAAGGGTCTTGTTCTGTCACCTAGGCTGGAGTACGGTGATGTAATCACAGCTTACTGCAACCACGAACTCCTGGGCTCAAATGATCCTCCCACCTCAGCCTCCAGAGTAGCTGGGACCACAGGGGTACACCACCATGCATGGCTAAAGGACTCTGCTTCTTACAGGAGAACCTTTCATGGGCTCCAGGCCATGACAAGCTTCTTGACCTTTCTAGGGTGCCCTCTCCTCACACTATCCTCATACCCTTACTTAACATGCCCTCTGTACCTGCCCTGGCCATTGCACAGAAGAGCCAGTGCACTGGCTGAGCTCTCAGAATACACCAGGCAGTATGCGGCTTCACACACATAATCACATGTGGCCCTCATCACCCCACGCTGCATTGAGAGTGGTATTATTACCTCCACTTAATTCACCAGGGCACTGCAAACTTTGGACGCATCAGCATAACTGAGAGGGTTTAAAAACAGATTCCTGGGCCCCACCTGCAGACATTCTGACTCAGAAAGTCCAGATGGGATCCAAGAATATGCATTTCTAACAAGCTCACAGATGCTACAGATCCCCTACCTTGGGTAACATTGATATAGATGATTTAGAGCGGTTGTCATATGCCAGCGTCACCAAGTCATTAGTCCTAGACCATGGTTTCAAACCCAGCTTTGTTTTGAGTCAGAAGTTTGGGTGATTACCAATGGATCAAAATGTCCTTCTTTTTGAGCTGCATAAATAAGGCTCCAGCACTTGTTTGTTGTTGCCTGAGATAGTATTTGTTTGCTGGTTATAAAGAATATGTTAGGACTTATATAGTGAGATAAAAGTTAATATTCTATTCAGAATCCCATGTATAAAATGGGCATGATGATGCAATCCTCAAATGAGTCTTTGTGATAAATGGCTAGTAAAATTGTTATGATACAAAATCTCCACAACATTGAACATTTTCACAATGTTGCAGAGAAGGCCCATATTTCATTACTGCTTTGATCACAGGAGGTATCATGAAATATTATTTTTTCCAAAATGAAGTGCATGATTGAAACCACCTTTGCAAAGATCACGGCAGTGAAAGAAGTCTAGCATGGCTGACTCCATCTTGTTTCTAGTCTCACAGGCTGGATGTTCTTGTTCATTCCTCCTAACCATGGGAGGAATTTAGTTTATAGCTTAACTTGGAAGCAAGGATGGTAATAGTTCCTCCCTAAAACTGATCCCCTCCTTGTCTGGGGACTGAAACTGTCTTTGATATAATCTAAGCAAAATCTAATTAGGAAAGTATATGTATACATATACACGTGTAGGGGATAAACAGGAGTTTTTAAAGTTATCTGAGGGTCAGAATTGTCCACATTTCTTATGTTATGAGAGATAGGACTGATCACTCTCAGATATATATTAACCCTGTCTTTTTATTTTTATTTTTTGTATTTCGGTGCTCTGGTATCTGGGGCCTTGCTGACTTCTGGAGGCTAGCCAGTCTCTAAAGATAGTAAACAATTTGCTCTGGAGCACGCTTTTCAAATGCAAACCGATCAATCCAGAGACCATATCCCCAACCACTTCCTCTAGTGGGCTTTCACAATCAGGGCCACCATTTCCCCACCCTAATCACCCCAGGGCCAAGTATGAGACGACTACAGCCAGCCCCTATGCCTCAGAACCCACTGATACTATTCAAACTAGCCAATCCTAAACCTGCCCAATCCTCCCTGTGAAAACCATACGAGAAGATCTCATCTACGTTTTCCTCCCTCTCTCAGCCTCCTGACCCACCCCAGGTCTGCCCCATGTGGTCCCCGAGCATGCAGTGTACTCTTCTCTTGGGATCTGTGAGTATAACAAACTTTCTTTGCACTGGCAGTTGTCTCCCAGCATGTTGGCCTTGCTGTACTTAAATAAAAATAAAATCTCTATTTTAAAACACTATACTACATGGGGTTACTTACTGAATACTGTACATACTTCCACTTTAGGTAGACAAGGGTGCCATCATTTCTCCCATTCACCAGAATGTTTTGTCCATCCATTGAAATTCTCATTGACTGAATCCCATGACCCTGGTGAGAATGACTCCGACACCGAGCAAACGTTTCCTAAATAGTTAAGAAATAAAGCAGAAAAATTACAAACGCAATTCTACCACATGGCTTTTCTAATGGGGTTATATGCCCCTTTTTTGTGGAGAAATCATTTTCTATTTGCTAACAGCATTTTAATTGGTATGGAAGTAGCCAATTGGCAATACATAGCATTTAAAATCCCCAGTCCAAACCACATTCACCAATACTAATTTGTTCTTCCACTACCTTTGTGTAGTATGGAAGGACTGGGATTATTATCACCAATTTATAATAGGAAATCAGACACAGAGAAGTTAATGAATTGCAGAAGTCTATAAAGCTAGGGAAGGGGCCTTCAGCAAGCAGAGATGGTGAGTTCCGATGGCTTCAAGAGTCAGGCAGGTTCTATTTATGTGTGAAGTAGCTGAGTGTAATGAGCGAGGGTGACAAGCACTGTGAAGAATGGAAGATAACATGCTCTGAAGGATGCTAACTAAGCCAGTTTGATTAGAACTCAAACAAAATGCCTCACCAATTTGGTATATAGGGCAACAATTTAAAACCTGAGATTTCTGAGTCATACTGGTTCTCAACCATGATGCCTTTTCTCATTTAGTTTTTTAAATAGGCAGTACGTTCAAATGGTTCAAAATTCAAAAATTATGAAGGAGTATTCTGTGAAATCTTCTTGTTCCCATGACCTAATACTTCCAATGGCAAGCAAGGTAATTAGTACCTTCAATATCTTTTCAGAGCTTTTATGCATATATAAGCAAATTTTTATATACATATAAAATGTTTCTCTATATGAGATTAATATATACACCCATAATATTTTTTTAAGAAAACAGCTTACCAAAGTGTAAACGTCTCGGATACACAGAATTCCACATTTAGCTATTGTTATGAGCCACAATCCATGTGAAGACAGATAGAGCATTCCAGGTCCATACTGTCTGCTTTGTACTTTTTTGTATGGTTTAAGAATGTAGATACCCATATGTTCCTGCCAATCAAAGAAAATAACCACATTATAGAAAAGATCAGGTAAGCAGCACCTTTGGGTTTGCAGATGTACATGCCTGTTGTACATTGTCATTGTAAATAAACTGATATGCGATAAAGTGGGCACCTGCGTTTGCATCATGTTTCCCATTTTTGCAAATAAAAGTTTGTTTCTGCCAACTAAGTCAAGTCTTCTTTATTTGTTTACTTGCCATTAAAAATCCTAGCCTACACTGATAATCTTTACTTTTACTAATCATTTCATATATCTTCATGCTTAAGTCAATATTCCCCATATGTTTCATGCATTCCCACCTCCAAGCCTCTGCACATGTCCTTCCTTTTGTCTAGAATGCCCTTCTCTGCTCCATCCCCACCAGTCCTGCCCTGCCTCCCTATATGAGTGCTGCCCACCAAAATTGTATGCAATATCTCTCCATGTTTAAATCTGACTTATTTTTCAAAGTCCAGATCAAATATTGCTTCCTTCATGAAACTTTTCTTGAATCTCTCTTGTCACTAATCATTTCTTCCTTCTCTGAATTTCTATGTCTAATCCCGGCTACTCTGGCAAAGAAGAGCTTTGACTGAAGAATTTAGAGGAAGGAAGGTAGACCTTATCAAAGTGGGTAGACAGACATCAAGGGAAACTGACAGGTCAACGGGCAGAAAGCAGGAGGGTACTGGGCCATTATGTGCAGCAGGAGGTGACACAATGCATGAGATGTCTGAAGATAGTGTAATGAAAAAAATGCCAGAAACGCAGTTTAATTATTTTTTGCAATTTTGGTTATGGCTTAGATACAAAGTTCCACTGCAAATCAAATCATCTACCTTGTAGCCCTTGGCTTATGTAGAATAGATTTCCTAATGCTAGGTTGTTTTTTAAGGCATTAAACTAATATTGTTATCATCTGCATGTTTATCTGACAAAGATGATGTATGTGGCACAAGTATCAGGTTGCTCAAATATATTGTATGATGGATTAACAAATAACACTATATACCTAGCTCAAGGGAATTATATTAATATAATGAAGGCATTTGTTAACTGAACTATTCTGTTAACGTGGTCAAGAGGATCACATCTAATCAGTACAATGTGTCAATCTTGATTGCTAAGACAAATGAGAGCACACTTAAGTGTTGACATACTTCTTTAGGAAGAAGGTAGCTACAGATGTATGGCACTTGACTACAGAAGCCATATATTTGTTTACTTTGAAAGTCCAAGACTGCAGAGGACAGAGTGTGCTCCAACTCATACAGGTACTTATGAATGATTTCATCTTTCAGCCTTCCTCTTTCATCAGCAAAAATTGTGGAAACTATTAGATTTGGAAAAAGAAGAGAAATCACTTGCACCATATATTAGTTTTGGTTTTTTAAAATTATGAACAATTATGAAAAGCAGAATAAAATTTAAATGCTCAATTAATATTGCGGAAGCTAGTAGGTGATAAAAATGATTTAAAAACACTTGTCTCCCTAGAAATACTTTGAGTATTAAATGACTGATAGTGGGTAAAATATTTCTGTAATGCCTTGATGAAATTTTAATTAATTAACTTAGAGACATATTAAAAGAAACCCATGGTGGTACAGAGACTCTTATAAAAACATAAAAGTACTTTGAGGTTGTCAGCTCTCTTCTGCTCTATAATTATATATTTGCAAAACTGCCAACCAGATATATTTGTCATTAAAACAAGGAAAGAGTATCTATTTTCTCATACCTTTTTATCCAGAAAACTTTATAATTTTGTCAGTGAAGGGAACTACACTGTAATCTATCTGAATTTAACCATGTCTATTCAAAGCTACAAAACAAGAGACATCACAAAAATAACAAATCAATTTGATGTGTCCGTTCATCCTCTCTCTTTTCCTATGGTAATAAAGCAGACTCATAAGTCAGGAAGCCCAAAGGAAAAGTCCACACTTCAAACTGTTTAGCATGTTGGTTTTACTCTGTAAAGGCAGACAAAAGGTAGCCATTTTACCTCTTCACATGCCAAGAGAAAAATAAAACAAACCCAAAAAACAATAACAATGATGTATCTGGGCTGAGGAGCAGAATTGGTTGCTTGTGTTTTCTTTACCTTGTGGCAGTAATGTAGGCAGTGTGAACATCTCCAACCTGCTTCTCCCTGCTTCCGGAAGCGAGGAAAGCACCATCACTTCCACTATGTCTGTTTCTGAAAGAGACACTGTGGATATCTGTAAAATGTCTTTGGCCACTTCTGAAAGCAAACAGAAATCAACACCACAAGTGGTCATTGATAAGTTTAAAGAATCTTTTACCTTTCCAATTAAGATATCACCTGTGGACTTGCCTTCACTAAATCTTTAGAATCAAATTATTTGCTGGATATTTAAAGTGACCTTTAAACATAAGTTACAGGGACATTTTTGATGAATGGATGAGGGATTCTCCTGATTAGATGTCTAGACCAGCAGATTCAAACCAGCCCAGTCTGTCTGGGTTTCTTTCCCAGTCAGGGTGGCCCGAGAGTGTATCATCTCCAACCCCTATCCCTCCAAACCAGCACCTGCATGCGCTGGTCCCCAGAAGTCCACTCCAGCCAGGTTACCTGCTCCTAAGATTGGTTAAACTCAGGCATCGGCCTTCTTTGCATCTGTGCCCAAGGACTGTGGGTGTGGTGGAAACATGTGACTTTATGAGCTTGCTCCACTAGAAAGCCAGCTGATCTAACCTCTGCAAGGTGTGCCAGGCCTGGAGCCCACCTTGGATTTGTTCCAGATTCACTCTTCCACTCTTCATGGGACTGTGCTGCAGGTGCCCACTTTCTCAGGCCCTTCCCCAGGCGGTCAGCCGATGACCTTCTGTCTTCCTTAACAAGGAAGACCAAGGACATCTACATAAATTCAACCTCAACTTTCTTATCCTGAGACTCACATTTTCCCCCTGTCTGTTTCCATTTTCTCCCTTCATTTCCCGACATTGTTGTAGGAACAAAATGTAATCCCTTCCTGTCTGTGATTTTGAGCCCATTCCTCCAATCTCCTATTAGACTGTACATTATCAATCACCTCTTAGCTTCTTGTGTCCCTTATGGTTCCTTTTATTCAGCCCTCATGACTCCCCTGTCTTCAAATAAGAACCTTACTCCAACTCTGCTGTCCCACAACAGTTACCATCTGATTCTCTTTTCTCTACCGCAAACATCCTAAAATAGGTTTAGCACTTTCTGACTTAATTTTCTTACCTCTATTCCCTCCCTAACCTTCTTCATTCCAAAGAAGTAGCTCTCTCAGGGATCACCTGCTGACTGGCAAATATATGAGAGCCTGTCCCAGCCCTCACCCTACCCATACTTCAGTGTCAGCCTGTATTTTCATCCACCTTCCTTCTTTAGGCTGTTTCTGGAGAGGATGACTCCCAGTTCTCTTATTACTCTGGCCCAGCCTCAGTTTTCTTCACTGCCTCATCTTCCTCTGTCCACAGCTTCCATATAAAATGTGGACCAGGGTTCTATTCCCAGTTTCTTCCATCCCACCCTCTGGCCAAACAGATACATTAAAAAATGGGGCCAGGAACAGTGGCTTATGTCTGTAATCCCAACACCTTGGGAGGCTGAGGTGGGAGGATCGCTTGACTCCAGGAGATCAAGACCAGCGTGAGCAACACAGGGAGACATTTTCTCTACTAAAAAAGAAAAAAAGAAAAAAAAAGTAAACAAAAACAAAACAGAAAACAAGCCAGGCTTTGGGGCACAAGCCTGTAGTCCCAGCTACTCAGGAGGCTGAAGCAGCAGGATTGCCTGAGCCTAGGAGTTCAAGGCTATAGTGAGCTATGATTGCACCACTGAACTCCAGCCTGGGTGACAGAGTAAGACTCTAGAAAATAAAATAAAATAAATGAAACGGAATATTTAGGCAGGATATACATCCACTCTGAGGTCAGCCACAGGCCCTACCACACTCAGTGCCATCTAATTTGCATATTTAGTTACCTCTTTTGCCCCGTTAAGCATCTAGGTTTACTTCTACTCTTTTGAGCTATGTCATCAGCTTCCATGATTTCAAGATCAGAATTCTATCATTAAGCTTTGAACTACATATCCTGATTTCCAAACTTATGCTAAATATGCCCAAATGAAGAGTTTGTTGGCTTCAAACCTATGGAACTCATCAGCTCAACCTATTCCTCAACCTCTAAAACTTTGTTCTTCAACTAATGACATCGCAAACTTCCAGTACTCAGGCTAGAAATTCTTGGGTCATCGCTGATCCCTTCCTTTCGCATCAAATACCAAGTCCTACCCATTCCATCACTCATGGTTGTGCCCTCTTTTCTCTTTCCATAACTGCAGCATGAGTTTGTGTATTGTGGATAACAGCACACGCCCTGAAACTGGACTTTCTTAATTTGGCTCTGCCACTAACTAGATGTGTGGCCTTGAACAAGTACTTAGCCTTGCTGTGCCTCAATTGCCTCATCTGAAGGGATAACAGTAGTATCAATTTCATGAAAGTTGTCTAAGAATTCAATGGGTGGAGACATGCAGAGGGCTTAGAATACTGGCTACCACATAGTCAGGCATTCCTCAATAAGTGTTGGCTGTTGTTATGATTATGACTATTATCATCTCTTGCCTTGGCTAATATTATAGCTTCCAATCTCATCTTTTTAATTTCTTTCTTTTGCCTTTCTACTCCATCCTTCACACTGGTATCAGAGTCAGTCTCTAAAAACCAAGTCAAATCATGCCAGCTCCATCTTGAAACCATTGACGATGGCTCATTAACCACAGAACAATTCCAGACTCTTTGGAATGATATTCAATGTCCTTCCTCTTTCAGACTTCATTGCCATAGTCATCTTCTAGTGAACTCTTCCATTTACCTGTTATACCAGACTTTTTTTTTTTTCCATTCCAAGTACCTTTGTTTGGGTTATGTTTTGAGCAGGAATACTAATATGTCCTATCCCACACCTATGAAAATCCTTTAAACCCACTACTCTAAGCCCTTGGAAAACTCTCTTCCAATGCTCCACATCCCCTGACCAGTACCCACCTTCACCTCCACTCCTCTCCTCACACCTGGCAGAATGAATTGCTGCTGTATCTGAGCCTACGCACCATTCTGCATTTTCCTCCTCTACTAAATTGTCTCCTTAATATTTTCATCCCCCTACAAGGCCTAGGTTTGGCATTTTGCACCTAATAGGCACTCACTAATTTTTATAAGTCAATGATAAACAAATTAAAAAATTTAGGGGTGAGACTTGGCAAAGTGTGAGGAGCAAAAAAAAAAAAAAAAAAAAAAAATTTAAGGAGAATTAAAAAAAAATTGTGTGTGGGGGGGAAACACATATACAATTGGCATGTAAAGCCAGAGAGAAAACAAAGAGAAAATTCTTTATTAGAGATAAAATATTAAAAAATATTTTTGAGAGAAATCAACCCAACTTCTCTGAATGTTAATATTAGAAATGTTTAGCCATTTCATTAATTTATTCAATAATTGGTTCAAGAAAATTTGTTTAGCATCAACTATGTACCAAGCAGATAACTCTAATATTTCAAATACATCAAAACATAATGTGAGAATTCTCCTAAGTAACTTTAGTTATTTAAAAGTTACTCTTTCAGAAAATATGCCATAAAAAATTGTTTCAATATAACTCCATTTTCATAACCTTAAATTCTTTGAAATAAAGAATTTTAAATGTTTTAAATTAATATATTTTAAATTAATCAGCATTCTATGTTGTACCTGTGAATCCAATAATCCGAAATGACCTTGAGGAGCTGGCACAGATAATAAAGACTTTTCCTTCTGATGTTCCAACTAACAGAAATATTCCTCGCTGATCATAACTAGAAAAGAAGAAATCTGATGATCAAATCCCAATTGTTTCACCAGCTAGATGGTGAACAAGTTTATTGAATGGCCACAGAGATATGTTCAAAGCCACTCATTTTTACGGTTTGCGATTTTTAATATTCTCTGACCTTATAAAAGTGGAGTGATTACATGTAGATATAATCATTGTACTTTAGGCCAATGCTATTTCCAAATTGCAACTTTAATAAATACAGTCAAGAAGATTCAGTAAAGATGGGCAGTTGGTTCATCATAAGTGAATGAAACATGTTGGTAGAGCTTTCTTGATGTTTCAAGTGCAAATAAGCAATTCTCAAATTAGCGGTGGGTGTGACATTTCATTACCCTGTGACTGGTACCTGGCAGTGGGAGGAAGAATGTAGTGAAACATGTCTACAACTTTATCAAATTAGAAAAAGTGGGAAGACGCAAATTAGAATAAGATGATCTGAGAAAGGAAAGGCACAAAAAATGACGGTGCAGAAGGGCAGGGGGTAAGGAGGTTATCCCTCCTTCCCCACTGAGCTAGGGTGATGGAGCTGGGCAGTCCACAGTGGCAGGACCAGCTCCCAAGTGCGCTAGCTGTGTAATGTGTAATCTTGGGCAATGCTTCTCTTCACCTCTCTCACCCTGAATTCCCTAATTTGTCTAATAGGGATAAGAATAACATCTCTCTGACTGGTGTTTTGAGGATCACATTCTACAAGCTACAGTGATCTCAAGCTGTAAAGCAGAATACAAATGTCTGTTCTTATTAATACCTAATAATATAATAAATTAAAAACAGTAATAATGATAGCAACTACAAGTCCAAATCTAATGTCTCTATATTGTCATCTCAAAAGTATTGTTTCGAAAGTTTTGAAATACTCTAAATGTTCATTAATATACTGTTTTTAAAAAATGATAGTATATTCATATAATGGAATACTATGTGGCTATAAAAATAATAAGGCTGGTCTTTATGTATGGATATAAAACATTTTCCAAGATATACCATTAAGTGGAAAAAGAAATGAGGCATTGTACATAGTTTTCTCATTTTAAGAGCAAAGGCAGTGACTCTGGAGCCCAACGACCTGGGTTCAAATCCCAACATTTGCCATTCACTAGCTGTGTACTATTGAGCAAGTTATTTAAAATCTTCGTGCCTCATCTTCCTCACCTGTCAAATAGAGAAAATAAGAGTGTTTACCTCATGGAGTTAATACAGCAGAAGTGCCTGGCACACTATACATACTTGATGGCCATCGATACAAATAAAAAGAAGTGCTTATTATGTTTTGCTTGTTCATGGATAAAACATCTCAGGAGACATGAGAAGTTGGTACCAGGCTGCCTGCAAGGACAGACCTGGGTATGGGGGGTACTTTACTTCACAGCCCTCTGTACCTTTTGAGTGTTGACCTGAGTGAGTATATTAACATTCAAAACAAATGAAACATGTAAAACTTAAAATTAAAAGAAGGGATGGCTTCACTAGAATTTTCAACAGACGGTGACACAGAGCCGCTCCTGGAAGCAGAAGGGACTTACGTGACATGCTGCACGGACGATTCCGAGAGAAAGGCTTTGTCCACGACCTGAGGGGATTCCTTATCGTATACGCTGATGAAGTAGACAGAACCACCCTCCGTGCCCACGGCTGCAGAGAGGGAGGATGGACAGCAAGCCAGAACCGTCGCCTGTTTAAAATAAACCCCAGATGCGTATCTCCATTGTGCCTGCTCTCCTGCATGTAAGAATGCTATTATACAATGTATTTGAAAAGCCTACAGGATGAGAAGAGTGGCAAGTGTTGTGTGGTGGGTTCTTTCAAATTATAGCCTCAATGTTCCTGAGCTGATCAACTGCATAAGACGGCACAGGAATCTGTACATCTTATTCTTTTATCCTAAAATTAGAGTAATAAAAATTATAGAGAGATTTCTTGAAATTTAAATCATGGCTTCGTTTTTATCTCTAAATGATGATGAAATGATTATGCCAACAATCTATCTAAGTGATTGTGAAACACTTAGACCAGTAATAGTGAAAAATAAAACAAAAAAAGGTAAAAGAAATTCTTAGCATCTTGTAAACATTTTAAAATATTTATTTATTAGCGATGGAGTCTTGCTCTGTCTTGAACTACTGGAGTGATCCTCCTGTTTCAGCCTGCCTAGTCGCTGGGATTACAAGATCAAACCACCACACCTGGCTTTTAAAACATTTTTATAGATCCTGAGATGCTGGTATGACTAAGGAAGACTTAAGAAAATAACTATATCACTGGAAGATGTATTCAGTCACCAAAGAAATGCATGACAGATTCCCACTTATCTCACAGTGATTTATACAGAATATGATGTCTAAGAGAATAAATTGACTTTCATAATACTATAGAAATTAGTATTCTTTCTCTATAAATACTTTGTAGATTGTTTTGAATAAAATCATGGAACTTAGGGCTGAAAAAGAACGTTAAGAGATCATTTTGCAAAATAGAAAACGCAGGCCAAGGAAGTCCAGCAGCTTACCCAAGGATCCCATATGTGGCGACAAACTTCAGAAGAAGCACCCAGGTGTCCTGCCTCATTAGAATGCACACAGTCTCCCAACTGAGTGGGCTTTTTGTAAAATTGAAAACCTTTATGGGAAGTGTGTGTGTGTGTGTGTGTGTGTGTGTGTGTGTGTTCCCAAAATAAAAATAATCAGCTGAAATTCTCCTTCATTCCAGGGCAATGGTGTGCTAGTCTGAAAATGTACAGTAAGGTCCAGAGGAGTCTTATGTACCCTTGCAGGTACCATCAGGAGACGCTGCTAGTGTCCAGGTATCTTGACACTGTGGTGCTGGACTGGGATCCCCCAGGACCACTGCCTGAAGGAAGGCAACACAGTCCCGGACACAGGCAGAGAGACCTGGCATCAGCATTACTGTATCTGTATCAATTCTCTGTAGGGTAATGGTACCTGTATCCCTCGTTGCCCAAGAGGAACAAGGTATATCCTGATTATATGGGCCCCTGGGTGGTTGTTAAATGTTTGTATGCCTCTAATGTGTGAAAGGACATGTCATTAAATGCACTTGTAAGATCTCTCCTAGTTTACTATTTCTAATAGAAATGAATACATATAACCTTTTGTCACAGAGATTATGGAGTCTTTTCATATTTCAAGTTTTCTCAGTAAGAAATTTTATCTTTACTTTTGTGGGAGAGTTTTATTTATCACACTGAATTATCTATCTTTTGCATCTTATGTAAAATATGATGCTTAGTCTTCTATAATTGAGATTTTAGTTTTATAAAAGGGAAGGATTGAAACTCCCTACCTAATACCAAGATCCATTTCTCAACTAGAACTGTGTAATGCAGCAAATAATACTACTTTTTTTTAAAAGACAGCATTACCATTGTTTCTTGGTCCTTTTGAAATGTTATTTTATGCAAAATGCACTGTGAACATGGCAGAAATAATGGTATCACATTGTGGTAGGTGTTGCAGGCAGTGTGGTTTGCAATTCAGCATCCATATGTCCTCCTTCTGGAAAATCTCTTGAATATTCACTGAGAAACTATCCTTCCCCTATTTTCAGGGACAAGTGGAATGAATCTAACTCCCATTTCCAGGGCTGAGTTGGTGCATTAATTAGGCACTTAATTGCATTTCTCATCCCCTGTGCATATGATTAGTTCACAGATGTTATTAAGACATTAGAAGACATTTACTGAACCTTCTGGAAAGAAGAAGCATCTTTGTTCTTGCTCCCCCTACAGTAGGAATTTTTCTTCCCTCTCTGACAGTATGATGTGAGGTTGGCACCTGTGGTATCTGGGTGTACCTCAGTGAGGCCTAAGATGAAACTAAAGGCATAGTGTGGAGACAGAAAGACAAGGTCCTTAGTATATCATTTAAACTGATGGACTGAGGCACATATGAGGCCAGACAAGTTCTGTACTTTATAGTTGATTGTGCCAATAACACTCACTTTTTAATTTTTGGCTTAAGCTGGTTAGAGTGGCAACTTTCTTTCATTTCTAATTGATTCCCATTAAATGGGACCATTTAACCAGTTATGGCCAAAGGGATATTTCATTTCTGAGAAAAAGCACTTACTTGCTGATTCAGGAGCACCCCCTCTCCCTCCAAAAGACCTTTCAGCACTCTCTTCCTCTCCTGCACACAGCACAGAGTAAGTATTCTTCGATGGAGCCCCCATCAGCCTGGCTCCCTGAGAGACTGTGCAAGAGGGACCCCTGCCAATCCACAGTGAACTTACGACATGAGTAAGATATAAACTACTGGGGTTTCAAAAACAACTGCCGCCATAGAAAACCTACTGCTTTCTATAACCAATATGGTTCTATCTTGTTTTCTATAACCAATGCTATGGTTCCACTCTTGGGGCTGTGGCATATACTTTACACACAGGGATTACTCTAAACCTAGAAGGCAAAAATGCAGTGAGGCTTCTGTAACAAGTATTTCTACAGACTATTGATGTGTGAATATGAAAAGGTAGATTGGATTAGAATTCAATATATTTTTAAAACTCCATTTATCAAGTATACTTACTGGGGTATTCAGATAAATCTTGCTTACACAAGAACAATCCTCCAGCCACCAAACACAAATTTCCCCTGAATGTGTAAGTGTCTGTAACAAAAAGAAAAACAAAAACTCTACATGGAAAATAAGACTTTCCTATGGAAGCATGTTCTGCCTCCCTTTCCAGTGTGTCGATGATTTAGTATAAAATTTCATTTTATTTATGTGGATTATAAATACTTATTTTTATCATTTCAATGCCAATGCTTCATTTCTGAACAAATATTAACTATTATCTTTAATGCAATTTAAGAAATACATAATAACTAATTAGTATTAGAAAAGTAAAACAAAGATTTTTCATGTAACATATTAAAGATAAAAGTTGCTTATAAAAATCAGTAAAACTATTGCCTAATGAACAAATGTAGAAATAGGAAGCTATACATTGTTCTTTTTTAAATTACTAGAATTTATTTTTTTAGAGCAGTTTTAGGATTACAGAAAAACTGAGCAGAAAGCACAGAGAGTTCTCCTTCCCCTTCCCCTCCACACACCTACTACCCTACTATTAACATCTTGCATTAGTGTGGTACATTTGTTACAACTGATGAGCCAATACTGACATATTATTATTGACTCCTTAGACTGAATTAATGTATTGCACATGGCAACTATTTCATTTTCAACCTCAAGTGGTGCTGGTGCATTACACAGAAAAAAGATACTAAATAAATACTAACAGTTTACTGAGTGCTGACGACTCATTAGCAATGAACGTGTTTTAAAATGTGTTAAAGCCTGGCTTGCAGAGCTTGGGTGGTGAAAACCAAAAGATGGCTCCTAAGATCTAAATTGTGTTGGCTGTTTTCAGAAGATGATATTATGAAGTCACAATATGAGGGTATCATTCTAACTGGGGGGTAGATTTGAGGATGGAAGTGTCTAGCATCTCCACCACAGCCTTCAAGGACAGCCTCTGCCTCCTATTCACATTGCTTTGCCCATGAACTTTCAAAGTTACCCAATAACATATAAATAGGGATTTAAATCTCACAACATCATCATATCTTTAGTCCTACTGTGACACAGTAAAATATTCTTTACCATGAAGTGTTGGGTTCCAGGTGTGATAAAGTCAACTGCCTGAAATTTCCCATCACAAGCATCTAGGACTTTATTTAAGGTTGGCTCCTCACCAAAAGTGTAGATATAAACAGATCCCTGATAAATATACAAAAGGAAAGAAACATATTGTAATTGTTGTGTATATAGTTCAACAAATATTTATTAAATGCCTACTGTAACCAAGGCACTGTGTGGAAACAGATGATGGGAAATCACAGATCAACTCAGTAAGACCTTGACCCTGAAGGCCTTAAAATCTAGACACTTGATTTGTTTGTTTGTTTATTGATTGATTGGTTGATTCATTCATTCATTCACTTATTTATCATTTTATTTTAATTAATTAATTTTTCGAGACAAAGTCTTGCTATTGTTGCCCAGGTTGGAGTGCAATGGCACAATCTCAGCTCACTGCAACTCCCACCTCCCAGGTTTAAGCGATTCTCCTGCCTCAGCCTCCTGAGTAGCTGGGATTACAGGCATGCACCACCATGCCCGGCTAATTTTGTATGCTTACTAGAGAGAGGGTTTCAACATGTTGGTTAGGCTGGTTTCAAACTCCTGACCTCAGGTGATCCGCACGCCTCGGCCTCCCAAAGTGCTGGGATGATAGGCGCAAGCCACCATGCCTGGCCTCATCATTTTAAATAACCATAAGACTTTCTTCTTCAATTTCAGACATTCGTGTTTGTTTTGGTTTGTTTTGTTGTTATTGTTTTTGTTTTGTGACTGAGTCTCCCTCTGTTGCCCAGGCTGGAGTGCAATGGCGGGATCTTGGCTCACTGCAACCAACCTCTGCCTCCTGGGTTCAAGAGATTCTCTTGCCTCAGCCTCCTGAGTAGCTGGGATTCCAGGTACCTGCCACCACACTTGGCTAATTTTTGTATTTTTACTAAAGACAGGGTTTCACCATGTTGGCCAGGCCGGTCTCAAACTCCTGACCTCAAGTAATCCACCCTCCTCGACCTCCCAAAGTGCTGGGATTATAGGCATGAGCCACCACACCTGGTCTCCCAGACATTCATTTTTTTAATTTACAAAACATAATAAAACATTTTTTCCTGTTTCAAAAATAATATCTATTTATGTAGAAAATTTGGAAAATGTGGAAAACCCAAAAAGTTGTTAAGATGTACTAAATCCTACCACATGCTAAATATAATGGAAAGAACATTAAACATTTAAACAAGCCTTTGTAGAAATAGTTGAGGTATGGCTGAAGCTGTCACTTCATGCTTATTATTTTCAGCTCTCAAACTCACCTCTAAAAAAAAATCTATTCTGTAATGAATGCATCTCTACCAAGTAGCTGGTAATATAATATGGTCATTTAACCAGCAATAAGAAGTCTGCTTTCAGCTAATCACAAGTTCTTCATGTTTACTTGAGTTAAACATAAATATTTCTGGTCTCATTTATCTAAAAAAATATGACTTTATAGGAGTTCAAAATTTGGTAGGTATTTACAAATTTTATCTTTCTGTCATTTCTTCAATAAATATTAAGTGGATACACAATGCCAGTCACTGCTTTAGATGCTGGGGTTATAGCAGAGGATAAAACAAAATCCCCTGCCCTCACGGAGCTTACCTTCTGCTGGCAGATTCAGATGATAAATAATATAACCAAATAAAACATACTGTAAGTTAGACAGTGATAATTGTAAGAAGAAAAAGAAAATATAACAGAGGAGAACATTATATAGCAAAATAAGAGGGTGAAATTTTAAAGTGTGTGTTTAAGAAAGACTTCAGTGAGAAGGTGTGGCAGGCCAGATCTCACTAACAGCTGAACAGGCAGGCCTCCATGACAACTGTTTCAGCAATGGCTGAGTGATTAAGTTAAATATTAAAAGCTAATAGAGCCAGTGCCCTTATACAAATGCTTGAATGTAACAAAACCTCACCAAGAGTTTTGCCTAGGCCTTTCCTGGGCCTTACAAGATAACGAAGATTCCTTGTACATATTTTAAGTATTTATATATTCCTGATAAATTTAATATTTTGTTATTCTGAAATAAGCCCATTTATCTTTAGTAATGATTTTTACCTCAAAGCCTATTTTGTCTAATATTAATATATTTCCACTGGTTTTCTTTGGGTTAATGTTTACATATCTTTTTCTGTCTTTTCATATCTGGGTTTAAACATAGGTTTTAATTTATGCTTTTTGTTTATCTCAGTTGTTTTGCATTTCATTTTCTTTCTCTTTTTTACCTTGTTTTGGGTTAAACTTTTTTATTTAACATTTTACTTTCTCTAGTTTGGAAATTTCGTCTACTGTTCCTATTGTTTTAGTGGCTACCTTTGAAGTTGTAACATGTATACCTAATTTATCAACATCAAAGTTACTTAAAAGCTTTATTCTCCTCCTGGGTCATATGGGATCCTTGGAACACTTTGTTCTATATATCCTGCTCCCCCGCTCCCCCCAACTTATAGTATTGTCATTTGGGATTTTAGTTCAATATTATTTTTAAACCTACTTCCACATTTTTTTTTCCTGCTGTTGTATGCAGTGTTCATTTACTGTATATCTTCTACAATGTGTCATTCTCTACCCATTACTACTGCTCTTTGTTTTTGTTGCATCACACACCTTACATCTGGGATAATTTTCCTCTGCCGGAAGTAAATTCTTCAGAATTTTCTCCAGTGATAGTCAGCTGCTGACACACTCTTAACTTTGGAGTGTCTAAAATGTCTTTTTTTACCCACACACTGAAATGATGTTTTCATTGGGTATAGAATTCTAGGTGGTAATTACTTTTTTTCATTACATCAGGGGTCATCAACCTTTTTCTATAAATAGACTGATAGTAAATATGTTAGGCTTTGCAAACCATGTAGTCTCTGCCACAACTATTTAATGCTGCCATTGTGGTGTGAAAGAAGCCATAAACAATACATAAGTGGGTGTGGCTATGTTCCAATAAAATCTAATTTGAAAAACATGCAGCAGGCTAGTTTTGCCCCATGGAGCTACAGTTTGCTGACCCCTGCAACACATTGAAGGTATTATTCCACTATTTCTTACTTACATTATTGCCACAGAGAAGTCAGCTATTAGTCTAATTGAAATTCCTTAGAAGTAATCTGTCTTTTCTCTCACTGCTTTGAAAATTTTCTCTTTGGTTTTCAACAGTTTCACTTTGGTAAGTCTAAGTGTGGATATCATTTTATGTATTCTGTTTGGGATTCACTGGATCCCTTAAATCTGTAAATTCATGTCTTTAACCAATTCTGGAAAATCCCCAGTCAGTATCTCTTTAATTATTGCCTCTGTCCCACTTTCTCCTCTCTGGACTCTAATCAAACATATGTTAGATCTTTTCACTGTATTGTTCTTATATCTTATGTTCCCTTCCGTATTTTCTACCCTTTTGCTTTTCTAGGTGACATTCTGAATAACTTCTTCTGATCCATCTTCGAATTCATTTATTCTCTCTTTGGTTATGTCCAACATTTTGTCAGACATGTTCATTTAATTTTTACTTTGCTAGTATATTTTTCTTCTTTAGAAGTTCTATTTGGGTCTTTCCTCCTTCTTTTATGGTATCTTTTTCCTAGTTTCCTGTTCTCCATAGATATTTTCAGTTAGTCATTTATTTATTAAAACATAAGTTAGCACAGTTTTTTTTTTTTTTAAAAAACTTCTGTTAATTATCAGAAACAAAAGTCTGTCCATATTTAAATTTAATTTTCTTTTAGGCAGAAAATCATTGAATTTTATTTGTAATTCATGTAAAATTATTGTATAACAATATAAATATCTGCTAATTTTGATGCCTGATCATTCCATTAATTAGGAATCTTCCTAGCAGTATAATTGAAGTAATAGTTTGTTTTAATCTTGCAATAATTCATTTTTCTTCTTCTCTTATAGAACCCACATTGTCTTTGGAGAACAACCTATGCCCCAATCTCAGTTCTCATTTAAGTCAGTTGACTCTACCCAGCATCCAAGGCTATGCATGTGACTTAGGCCTGGCCAGTCAGAGCTTAGGATTCCTATGGTACAAGTGACACACCCAGGGGAAGACACGTGATTCAGTTAGTCCACTGAGTCTATATTCCAAGACTTTTTTTCTAGCTGGTATCTTTCCACCAGGGACATCAAGCAGGCAGAAATATAAGCTAGAGCTGCATATAACTCTTAACACCACAAGGGGAGAGTCAGCATGGAAATGGAGGCAGCAGAGAGGAAACAGAGCCAAGAGATGGAAATAAACAAGGCTTGGTGGCATCATGGCAGCTCTCGTATTCAGATTCACTCCTTGCCCTTTCAGTTACATGCACAAAAATAAACCAATAGCTCTTTGTAATTTAAGCCTTTTAAACTGGGTAGTTTTTCATTTACAACCTAGAGTCTTGACTAGTGGAGTACCACTGTGTAGCACACTCTGCTCCTCATTCCTGTCATGTAATGACGATAATAATATCATCTGAAAATCACATATCAAGAAATTACCATCCAACATACCTTGTCTGTTTGAATCAGCAACATTGTATAATTGGGAGAAAATGTCATATGTTCTACAGGTCTTTCAATCTCAAGAAAATCCTTGATCATGTAACTTCCATCTTTAATAATAAAAGAATACACAAAGCCATCCTAGAGATGAGTGAGATAAATGTAGAAAATCAGTCTTAGTCAATGCATAGTATACTTGACTCATCAGACAAGTTAAGGCTTATTGATTACTTCTACTGTTTATTTGGAGTCATCATCTATGTTTGCATAGATGCACTGTCCTCTCATCTTTATTTAGACGACTTTTAACTATGTTCCCTGGTCAAGCTTCAGTTTGATCTCTTTTGTGATACATTTTTCAATTACCTAAAACTTTACTGATATCTCCTTTTTTTGAGTTTCTCTAGTATCCCTCTTCTTACTACATTCTTCACTACACAGGCGGTAGGAAAAATGAAGTAGAGTTTGTGTGGCTTGTATATAGCAGTTTCTTTGCTTGAAAGGACACTAGCCTTCCTGTATGCTCTTTCATCATTATTATGTGCATTTCTTATCTCCCTAAATGACCCAAGGGTAGGGAGTGTGCCTTTTATTCCCTTTGGATCCTCTTTTTCTCTTCCTCACACAGTAGTAGAACATAGCAAGGATCCAATATAAATGGGCTAGTTGATTGGTTGGTTTTGAATAGATTTAGGTTAACTTTATTATTCTCAAGAGAAATTTGAGTTATTTTTACAATAGTGAAAACACTTGGAGGAAATTTATTTATCATTTTCTAGATTAGACATCTCATAACTAAGAGCGGGGACTTCAGGTGGCTGGGTTCAAATGCCTGGGCCCTGGAAGGGAAAGCAGGCAAGGTGCTTTTTTTGAGCTCATCTTTATTCTCCATCACTCACCAGAGCAAATGCTATAATCATTCCCTTAAAGGGGGTTAAATAAACATCAAGGGTGGTCTTGAAGAGGACAAGAGTCATAAAAGCCCACAAATGCAGACTAAATGGAGGAGGAGGGGATAGTCCACTGCAAGGTTGGGGGAGCTAAGTGTAGGTGTATGTGCTCCAGATGGCTTCCTGAGGGTAGAATGTCTCTCACCCTGATGTCACTGCCTAGCTACCCTCAAAGTCCTGCAGATGTCATCTGTGTCAGTGAAACGGACTATGCTAACATCTGGGATAGTTACAACTAGACCTGGATTTTGGTATAGGTCAGTTCCACACCTTAGCATTGTTTACATTGATTATAATGGCATGGAAAAACATGGTCTTGGCCGGGCACGGTGGCTCAAGCCTGTAATCCCAGCACTTTGGGAGGCCAAAGGGGGCGGACCACGAGGTCAGGAGATCTAGACCATCCTGACTAACACGGTGAAACCCCGTCTCTACTAAAAATACAAAAATTAGCTGGGCGTGGTGGCAGGCGCCTGTAGTCCCAGCTACTCTGAAGGCTGAGGCAGGAGAATGGCACGAACCCAGGAGGCGGAGCTTGCAGTAAGCAGAGATTGCGCCACTGCACTCCAGCCAGAGAGACAGTGTGAGACTCCGTCTCAAAAAAAAAAAAAAAAAAATAGAAAAGAAAAGAAACAGAAAAAGAAAAACATGGTCTGACACCTTTTATTACTTACTGAGACTGAGTTCTAATAAATGACAGCAAAGACTTTGGAGTTTAACACACCTATGTTCAAGCCCTAACTCTTCCAATTACTTGCTGGTGAACTCTGTAAGATTAGATTCCTTGTCTGTTAAAGGAGGATGTCAATAGATTCTATTTGATAAGGTTGTTGTAAGGACCTATAAGATAATACAAGTAAAGTACTTAGCTTGGTGCCTGGCACAAAGTAAGCACCAAGGAAATGGAGGCTATTAATACTGATTTAAATATCAACAATAACATTATGATACATGTAAGCTAAATGGGCATTCACCAGAGTCCAAGCTGCAGCTTAGACAAAGGGTTCCAAATTCGTGTCTGATAACCTAATACATTAAGTGTAGAAACAAACATGGAATTGGGTTACAGATATTAGGTAGTTTTTCATTGCAGAAGGGCAATGGATTTTTAAATTCTATTTGTGTTTGTTTGCAGTAATATATGGTAGTTCATTATATTGTTCCCTCTATTTTGTATAGATTTGAAGTTATTCAAAATAAATCTTTTTTAATAGTACCCAAAGAGGAAACCATTTTAATTAATAATGTGACAGATCTGACATCCTAAAATATGGCTCATAATAGTAAATGGCAACACATTGGAATTGTGAATTTTCTTTAAACCAATTAATTTTGAGAAAAAAAATACATTACAATTCCAGAAGCCAGCACGCCCTCCTTCTGATACACCAAGGTTACTGGACTGATAAAATTTCTTCTGCCTTTTGGAAAAGAAAAACAAGGTAAAGCAGGTGACACATAATTAAAAGTACAATGTAACAATGAATAATAAAAGCTGCTTTTACTGATGTAAATCATATAAGTTGTTTTTGAATTCTCTATCATCAGATCTATGTAACTAACATAGATGCTAGATTAGAGGAGCAAGGCTGGAGGGTACAGTAGGAGTAAAGGGAAGAGAGAAAGGGAGTAGGGAGGGAAGTCAAACCTCATGGCCTCAGTTTTACAGGGAAAGTGAGTCAGAGAAAAGGAAAAAAGGCAGATGAGGGACACTGCAATGGGGAAAACTTACTGGAGGGGGTGGTATTGGAGCTGGGAACTGGCAGATTCAGAGACAATAAGTGCCAAGGGAATGGGCTAGAGGCATGTCTGTGAAATGGTGAGAATAAACGACTGGCTCAGAAAACTCATACTAGGGCATAGTTGGAAATAATACCAATGGAGTAGGTAGGATCACATTAGGGAGAGCGTGAAATCAAGGCAGAGCAGTTCTTGAGCTGGGTGTTAAAAGCAGCCTTCAAAAAGGCAATTTGACAGAGATAAGCTGCCTGGTTTGGGTCAGATGTATATTAAGGTCAGTGAAGTCCATCCTAAGGTTGTTACAGAAATCAAGGTGTGAAATAGTAAGAGCAATGGAAATAGAGAATGCTTTGGACAGGTTTGAGGAGCTTGCCCTGGCAAGGCCCCCTCCTCCCAGGGTCTACGTCTACTGCTCAATGAGTAGACAGTGGCTCCTGTGACCCAGGCCCAACCATGGCCACAGCTGATGGGGTCAGGAATAGACACTATATCTAAGGCAGAATAGATCAGGTTCTCTTTCAAATTCTAGCTGAGCAATATGGCAGGGTGTGGTGGCTCCTGCCTGTAATCCCAGCACTTTGGGAGGCCAAGGTAGGCAGATCACTTGAGGTCAGGAGTTCAAGATCAGCCTGGCCAACATGACAAAACCCCACCTCTACTAAAAATACAAAAATTAGCCGGGCGTGGTAGTGTGTGCCTATAATTCCAGGTACTTGGGAGGCTGAAGCATGAGATGGCTTGAACCTGGGAGGCAGAGGTTGCAGTGAGCCAAGATTGCACCACTGCACCCTAGCCTGGGTGACAGAATGAGACTCTGTCTAAAAAAACACACAAAAAAACAACACTTCTAACTGAGCAATAGAAAGGTAATTTTCAAGATGGCTTTTGGGCTTAAGAGATGATCAGCCTGGAGAAAAGGGTTGGGATAGGGGGCAGGAAAGTGTAGGATTAGCAGACTAAGCAGAATGGGCATATGTATAGAAACAGATACAGCACAGTAGCCAAGAACTTGGACTCTGAGGTCTTATTGCCTGGGTTCAGGTGTCAGCTCCACAGTTTATGTGGACTGGGCCGTGTTTCCTAACATATCTCTTCTGTATCATGGAGATTAATGTGTCTCCCCTTACAATGTTGTTCCGAGGATTACATGAAATATGCATATAAAGTGATGGTAGAATGCCAAGAGCATAGTAACAGCCAGAGGATTAAGAAGAAGGAGGAATCAAAGATGTCTCCAGGCAAGAGAAATATAGGGAAAACCAACAAAACCAACACCCATGGCTATACGGGAATATGAAGCAGGACAGTTTCTCACCCAGTGGTGATTCCTCTTCTATCTTATTAAGCACAGTCACTTTCAAGGTGTCTCCATTAATCATTAAAAGATGACCCTCTTCACAGCCAATGTACAAGTCACTTGTTGGAGTCCAGCAATGCATAGTCGGGTGAAGCAAAGGATATAGATCATCTTTAGGCTTCAGGGAGAGAATAAAACCTTGTGTTAAGAAAACATCATGGCTAAGAGCCTAAGAAATGCCCACCAGAACAACTGACAGAAAGGAACCATCCCTAACCCCACAGACACAGAAAACATAGGAACATTGAGCATTCATCATAATAATTTTTTTTAAAGGACAGATTGACTTTAATTTATTATTTGTATATTTCATGCCCTCATAGCCTTAGATAGTTAGAAAATAAATAGTTGGGTAACAATCTGGTCACCCAGTGGATCAAGAAAAAGGAAAATCACCTTTCCCACTCCAAAACATTAAACTGCAGCTGAATAATGACACTTCTGTGGTGTCTGATTGAGATTTGACTCACAAGGAAAAGAGTTATTCACTGTTATCACCATTATTGAAAAGTTTCCTGAGTTTTTTTTATGACATCTAACCTTAGAATATAAATCACAAAAAGACAGACTTATCTGGAATGAAAATAGGATCAAAATATTAAACAAAACAACAACAAAAAAACACCATGTCTCTCATTTGCACAATACCAATGAATCTGTGCGTATAAAACAAAATGTGAAGATTAAAATTTGAAATTTTCTGGCCGTGGTATGTTAAACTAGTATTGTATGTGGCTTTTTTTTCTTTAAGACAAACCTCGGCTTGTCTTCCTATTACTTTTTAATCAATAAATATATTTGATGACATTTAAAAATGAATGTGAGTATATGGATTATGTAAGCAGAAACAGCTTATAATTCTGAGATATTTAAAAATAAAAGGTACCAGTAGTGTTTAGAAATGTTTGTTGATAATACCATCTCCTTTTTCAGTCCTCTAGAATCAGAAATAATTTTGATCACATGATGACAAAACATGAAAAATTGCAGTCCAATTTAATTGTGCTTTAGAAAATGTAAAAATCCATATATGTTTCAAAATATTTGAGTTTCTAAAAGAGATTCCTATTTAGCAACATCTGTTTGAAATAATTAAAAAGGTAGATGGAAAAAAGAAATTAGACACTTGAGATTAAGTTCATGATCTTGGATCCAATTTCTGCCAGATAACATCTGCCTTTGATTTCCCCTATGCTATGACTTAAAATTGGATACATTTCTAATGCCCTAAATAAGTTGTGTAATGTGACTCAGGGCTATTTAAAAGCCTGTAATGTACCCTTCTGGCATTACCTATGAATAGATAATGGGATTATTTAATGTTTGTAATTTTTTAAAAGTCCACAACTCATCCATTTTTAAGACCTTATAATCGAATCATTATTGATTCCCTTGCCATTGGTACCCAGATCACAAAAAATGACATTGAAGGAGGGAATAGAATCAAGACATTTGAGATCTATTTTTGGTTATGCTTTCACTCATTGTACAGACATTAATTAATGTTTTAAACATTTTCCTCACTTTATTATGCTACAAAATGAAAAAGTAAACTGCTGGGAAAATGTCTAACTTAAATACAAAATATATGGCTTTATTAATAATCCCTGAATGATTTACAGATGTCAAACTATAATATTACATTTCTGCTTTCAGAAAAATTTAAAATATACTGAGTACACAAGTCCTAGGAAATAAAGATGTCTGCCCAGACAATATATCCACATAGCAAAACTGCATGTGTACCCCTTAAATTTATACAAATAAAAAAGGTTTTAAAATAAAGATGTCTATTATGAGCATTTAAAAATAGTAACTCCATATCTGAGTATTTAAAGAAGGCATTTCATAGCATTTCTCAAATGACAAGGACAATTGCCTGAATTTTAAATGTTTTATGCAGAGTTCATTATGTTTGTACAAAATGTGAAATATAAGGGCTCCTACACATATTTTCTGCCCAGAAAAACCCAATTTGAGATAGTAGAAATTTAGGGGCTCTGAGCACCAAATACTAAACACAGAAAAATTGGAGCTACAAACCTTGATGGCTGATCTCTTTGTTCTTACTTTGCTGCCCCACTGTGGCTGAATGCAGTTATATCTCCAAGGTTGAGACCTGTGCTATAAAAGGAACTACAGTATCCACAGGGGATGGGCTCCAGGACCCTCTAGCGATACCAGAATCTGTGGATGCTCAAGTTCCTTATATAAAATGACATAGTATTTCCATATAACCTACATATATCCCCCACATATTTTTTCTTTATTTTCAATGTTTTTATTTTATTTTTCCTCCCATATACTTTTAAGACATCTCTAGGTTACTTATAATACCTAATACAATATAAATGTTTTAGAAATAGTTGTTATACTGTATTGTTTAGGCAATAATGAGAAAAAATAAAAGTGTGTATATATTCAGTACAGATGCAACCATACCACTTTTTTCTGAATATTTTTGATCTGCAGTGGGTTGAATACACAGAAGTGGAACCCATGAATGCAGGAGATTGACTATAATCTCTTTCCATAATTTAAAAAGGTGAATCATTGTGATTCATTAAAGGAAATATTAAGGGCATGTAACCCTTTCTCTTGCTTGCCACAGAGATTTTTTAATGAACTAATCCTCACACTGAATTATTTTTATTTTATTTTATTTTATTTTTGAGACGGAGTCTTGCTCTGTCACCTAGGCTGGTGCGATCTCAGCTCACTGCAACCTCCGCCTCCCAGGTTCAAGTGACTCTCCTACCTCAGCCTCCCAAGTAGCTGGGATTACAGGCATCTGCCATCATGCCCAGCTAATTTTTGTATTTTTGTAGAGATGGGGATTTCACCATGTTGGCCAGGCTGGTCTTGAACCCCTGACCTCAGGTGATCCGCACGCCTTGGCCTCCCAAAGTGCTGGGATTACAGGCATGAGCCACTGTGCCTGGCCCACACTGAATTATTTTTAACAGTCATAGCTTAATTCCATGCAGTAGTCAAAAACATTCAGGAACCTCCACCTCCTCTATCCTCTGCTGAGAATTTAACACAAGGGTAAGCATAGCAGGTTCAAGAGGGCCAAAAAAGTGGAGCTCCTCCCGTCATCCCAAAGGTCTTACAGGTGCTGCCCTCTGCTCCCTGCCTCTCTCTTGAACAGCACCCCACACCTCACTTCCCCTTCATTTATCATGCTCCAGCCATATGCATCTTTTCTCAGTTCCTCACACATACCAATTTCTCTTTTTCCCTTAGGGTCTTTCACATGCAGGTCCTTCCACATGAAACGTTCTTTATCCTGCTTGTAACATGAGTAATGCCTCCTTGTCCTTCAAATCTCAGCTTAAGTGTCATCTCCCCAGAGGCCTTCCTTAACCAGCCCATCCCTTCCTTGCTGCCCTGTCTCCATTTATTCTGTTGCGATAATTATCACATTTTGTAATGATTTAATATATCATTGAAAAATGTGATAATTATTACAAAAGAACAATACTCTTTACTTTTGTTGTTGTTGTTCTGTCTTCCTGACAAGAATGTAAGCTTCATGAGAATTACATGGTGCCTGCTTGGCCACCATGAGAATCCCATTGCCTAAAACAGTGTCTGCTACACAGAAGAAACTTGATAAATCTCTGTTGAATGAATGAATGGGTGTGTAATATGTGGCAAACTCTCCCTTTTGACGCTTTCTTCTGCTGTTTCCTATGGCCTTGTTCGTCCCTCCCAGGTTTGCTCCTACTTCTGTGACTGCGCCTTCTCAGAATTCTCTTTCACCCCTGAGTTCAGCAGTCAGCTGGCTCTGGCTCTCTTCTCTTCCCTTGCACCCTTTCTCTCTTTGCTCATCACATCCGCTCAGTGCTCCCACCATCCTATCTGTGAGAATGACACTGACAGTCCTACTTCTCCTCTCTAACACTAGGTCCACTTTGCCAACTTCCACCCAGCATCTCCACCTGGGTGTCTTCCCTGCACCGCAAATTGAGTATGCCCAAAATGGAAATCACACCCGGGCCCCCTGTTTCTGTTAGCAGCCACCATCATCCCAGTCATCCAAACTCAAAACTCCAGAGTCTTCATCTCTCACAGTTTCTGTGGCTAATCTATATTAAAAACCAAGATGATCCTCTGTATCCTGCATTTCTCATGGGATGGTTATGACAATCAAATGAGATCAGTCTTCCTAGACCTCAACCCATTAGGCAAACAGGAAGAGGTGCCAGGTACTTACCCGGAAAGTCTCTGCCTCTTCGCCTACTAGCCCAGCGATGGCTGACAGTGGCAGCACGGGTCCATAGATGAGATCTTTCGGCAACGACTGGGGGAAAACGACATCTGTTTCATTAAAAAATGACCCATCTTCTAGAGGTAATTTTACTGACCTGTAGACAAAAGAGGCATCAGAACAATCAGATGAACAGAAACTTCTTTTTGATGCAACCACTGCATATCAATGTAAGTGAAGTGGGGAGGTATTATAACTTATAAAAATCAAGTAAGAAGATAAAAGCCAAATGATAGATTTAAAAATAGATAACAGGTTGTAAAAAGACAAGTTATACAGTTTTAAACTAAGTACTGAGGGATTATAAACATTTTTGAAAGCTAATATCTAAAGCAGGAGTTGTAAATTTGAATACTGGATGGGGGTCAGGCAGGTGATATGTGACTGTTGAGGATGGTAGAAAGTGGGAAAATATTTGTCCCTCCTCTAGGTGGCAGGTACCACTCAGTTCAAGCCAAGAGGGTTGTTGACATGTGAGAATTTTGATTCCAAAATTTCAAGAGAATACTATAACCTGGATATTTATGAGAAATCTCTCAAACTTTAAATGTTGGAAACTAATTCAAATGAAAAACACTGTAGGCCAAAATAAATATATATTTAAACACATATTCAGGCTGTATTCAGCTACTTTTATAATCTCTGATATTGAGTTCATTTTCAAATTTATTATATACCTACTTTTAATTTATAATATGGTTATAAAGGTTAATTTGGAGAATTGGTGGTTTCATGCATTAAATTCAAAACTTCCTTGCCTAGATTTTATGAATGATAAACAATTTTGAAAAACAATTGAGGGCGGTTCCAAGATGGCTGAATAGGAACAGCTCCAGGCTACAGCTCCCAGCGTGAGCAACACAGAAGACGGGTGATTTCTGCATTTCCAACTGAGGTACCGGGTTCATCTCATTGGGGCGTGTCAGCCAGTGGGTGCAGCCCACCGAGCAAGAGCTGAAGCAGGGCCAGGCATCGCCTCATCTGGGAAGCACAACGGATAAGGGAATTCCCTTTCCTAGCCAAGGGAAACCGTAACACACAGCACCTGGAAAATCGGGTCACTCCCACCCTAAAACTGCGCTTTTCCAAGGGTCTTACCAAAGGGCACACCAGGAGATTATATTCCACACCTGGCTTGGAGGGTCACACGCCCACAGAGCCTCCCTCATTGCTAGCACTGCAGTCTGAGATCTAACTGCAAAGCAGCAGCAAGGCTGGGGGAGGGGCACCAGCCATTGCTGAGGCTTAAGTAGGTAAACAAAACAGCTGGGAAGCTCGAACTGGGTGGAGCCCACCACAGCTCAAGGAGGCCTGCCTGCTTCTGTAGACTCCACCTCTGGGGACAGGGCATAGCCAAATAGAAGGCAGCAGAAACCTCTGCAGATTTAAATGTCCCTGTCTGACAGCTTTGAAGAGAGTAGTGGTTCTCCCAGCATGGAGTTTGAAATCTGAGAACGAACAGACTGCCAGCTCAAGTGGGTCCCTGACCCCCGAGTAGCCTAACTGGGAGGCACCCCCTAGTAGGAGCAGACTGACACCTCACATGGCCAGGTAACCCTCTGAGACGAAGCTTCCAGAGGAACATTCAGGCAGCAACATTTGTTGTTCAGGAATATTCACCCTTCTGCAGACTCCACTGCTGATACCCAGGCAAACAGGGTCTGAAGTGGACCCCAGCAAACTCCAACAGACCTGCAGTTGAGGGTCCTGACTGTTAGAAGGAAAACTAACAAGCAGAAAGGACATCCACACCAAAACCCCATCTGTATGTCACCATCATCAAAGACCAAAGGTAGATAAAACCACAAAGACAGGGAAAAATGAGAGCAGAAAAGCTGAAAATTCTAAAAATCAGAGCACCTCTCCCCCTCCAAAGGAACTCAGCTCCTCACCAGCAATGGAACAAAGCTGGATGGAGAATGACTTTGATGAGTTGAGAGAAGAAGGCTTCAGATGATCAAACTTCTCTGAGCTAAAGGAGGAAGTTTGAATCCATTGCAAAGAAGCTAAAAACCTTGAGAAAAGATTGAACAAATGGCTAACTAGAATAACCAATGTAGAGAAGTCCTTAAATGACCTGACAAAGCTGAAAACCATGGCACAAGAACTACGTGACAAATGTACAAGCTTCAGTAACCGATTCGATCAACTGGAAGAAAGGGTGTCAGTGATTGAAGATCAAATGAATGAAATGATGCGAGAAGAGAAGTTTAGAGAAAAAAGAGTAAAAAGAAACAAACAAAGCCTCCAAGAAATATGGGACTATGTGAAAAGACCAAATCTACATCTGATTGGCATACCTGAAAGTGACGGGGAGAATGGAACCAAGTTGGAAAACACTCTGCAGGATATTATCCAGCAGAACTTCCCCAACCTAGCAAGGCAGGCCAAAATTCAAATTCAGGAAATACAGAGAACACCACAAAGATACTCCTCGAGAAGAGCAACTCCAAGACACATAATTGTCAGATTCACCAAAGTTGAAATGAAGGAAAAAATGTTAAGGGCAGCCAGAGAGAAAGGTCGGGTTACCCACAAAGGGAAGCCCATCAGACTAACAGTGGATCTCTCGGCAGAAACTCTATAAGCCAGAAGAGAGTGGGGGCCAATATTCAACATTCTTAAAGAAAAGAATTTTCAACCCAGAATTTCATATCCAGCCAAACTAAGTTTCATAAGCGAAGGAGAAATAAAATCCTTTGCAGATAAGCAAATGCTGAGAGATTTTGTCACCATCAAGCCTGCCCTACAAGAGCTCCTGAAGGAAGCACTAAACATGGAAAGGAACAACCAGTACCAGCCAATGTAAAAACATGCCAAAATGTAAAGACCATCGATGCTAGGAAGAAACCACATCAACTAATGAGCAAAATAACCAGCTAACATCATAATAACAGGATCAAATTCACACATAACAATATTAACCTTAAATGTAAATGGGCTAAATGCTTCAATTAAAAGACACAGACTGGCAAACTGGATAAAGAGTCAAGACTCATCAGTGTGCTGTATTCAGAAGACCCATCTCATGTGCAGAGACACATAGGCTCAAAATAAAGGGATGGAGGAAGATCTACCAAGCAAATGGAAAACAAAAAAAGGCAGGGGTTGCAATCCTAGTCTCTGATAAAACAGACTTTAAACCAACAAAGATCAAAAGAGAGAAAGAAGGACATTACATAACGGTAAAGGGATCAATTCAACAAGAGCTAACTATCCTAAATATATATGCACCCAATACAGGAGCACCCAGATTCATAAAGCAAGTCCTTAGAGACTTACGAAGAGACTTAGACTCCCACACAATAATAATGGGAGACTTTAACATCCCACTGTCAACATTAGACAGATCAACGAGACACAAAGTTAACAAGGATATCCAGGAATTGAACTCAGCTCTGCACCAAGCAGACCTAATAGACATCTACAGAACTCTCCACCCCAAATCAACAGAATATACATTCTTCTCAGTACCACATCACACTTATTCCAAAATTGACCATATACTTGGAAGTAAAGTGCTCCTCAGCAAACGTAAAAGAACAGAAATTATAACAAACTGTCTCTCAGACCACAGTGCAATCAAACTAGAACTCAGGATTAAGAAACTCAGTCAAAACCACTCAACTACATGGAAACTGAACAACCTGCTCCTGAATGACTACTGGGTACCTAATGAAATGAAGGCAGAAATAAAGATGTCTTTGAAACCAATGAGAACAAAGATACAACATACCAGAATCTCTGGGACACATTTAAAGCAGTGTGTAGAGGGAAACTTATAGCACTAAATGCCCACAAGAGAAAGCAGGAAAGATCTAAAATTGACACCCTAACATCACAATTAAAAGAACTAGAAAAGCAAGAGCAAACACATACAAAAGCGAACAGAAAGCAAGAAATAACTAAGATCAGAGCAGAACTTAAGGAGACAGAGACACAAAAAGACACAAAAAAACCTTTAAAAAATCAGTGAATCCAGAAGCTGTTTTTTTGGAAAGATCAACAAAATTGATAGACCATTACCAAGACTAATAAAGAAGAAAAGAGAGATGAATCAAATAGATGCAATAAAAAATGATAAAGGGGATATCACCACAGACCCCACAGAAATACAAACTACCATCAGAGAATACTATAAACACCTCTATGCAAATAAACTAGAAAACCTAGAAGAAATGGATAAATTCCTAGACACATACACTCTCCCAAGACTAAACCAGGGAGAAGTTGAATCCCTGAATAGACCAATAACAGGCTCTGAAATTGAGGCAATAATTAATAGCCTATCAACCAAAAAAAAGTCCAGGACCAGATGCATTCACAGCCAAATTCTACCAGAGGTACGAGGAGGAGCCGGTACCATTCCTTCTGAAACTATTCCAATCAATAGAAAAAGAGGGAATCCTCCCTAACTCATTTTATGAGGCCAACATCATCCTGATACCAAAGCCTGGCAGAGACACAACAAAAAAAGAGAATTTTAGACCAATACCCCTGATGAACATCGATGCAAAAATCCTCAATAAAATACTAGCAAACTGAATCCAGCAGCACATCAAAAAGCTTATCCACCATGATCAAGTGGGCTTCATCCCTGGGATGCAAGGCTGGTTCAACATATGCAAATCAATAAGCATAATCCAGCATATAAACAGAACCAAAGACAAAAACCACATGATTATCTCAATAGATGCAGAAAAGGCCTTTGACAAAATTCAACAGCCCTTCATGCTAAAAACTCTCAATAAATTAAGTATTGATGGAATGTATCTCAAAATAATAAGAACTATTTATGACAAACCCACAGCCAATATCATACTGAATGGGCAAAAACTGGAAGCATTCCCTTTGAAAACTGGCACAAGACAGGGATGCCCTCTCTCACCACTCCTACTTAACATAGTGTTGGAAGTTCTGGCCAGGGCAATCAGGCAGGAGAAAGAAATAAAGGGTATTCAATTAGGAAAAGAGGAAGTCAAATTGTCCCTGTTTGCAGATGACATGATTGTATATTTAGAAAACCCCATCCTCTCAGCCTAAAATCTCCTTCAGCGGATAAGCAACTTCAGCAAAGTCTCAGGATACAAAATCAATGTACAAAAATCACAAGCATTCTTATACACCAATAATAGACAAATAGAGAGCCAAATCATGAGTGAACTCCCATTCACAATTTCTTCAAATAGAATAAAGTACCTAGGAATCCAACTTACAAGGGATGTGAAGGACCTCTTCAAGGAGAACTACAAACCACTGCTCAATGAAATAAAAGAGGACACAAACAAATGGAAGAACATTCCATGCTCATGGATAGGAAGAATCAATATTGTGAAAATCAATATTGTGAAGAGGTAATTTATAGATTCAATGCCATCCCTATTAAGCTACCAATGACTTTCTTCACAGAATTGGAAAAAACTACTTTAAAGTTCATATGGAACCAAAAAAGAGCACACATTGCCAAGACAATCCTAAGCCAAAAGAACAAAGCTGGAGGCATCATGCTACCTGACTTCAAACTATACTACAAGGCTACAGTAACCAAAACAGCATGGTACTAGTACCAAAACAGTATGGTACTAGTACCAAAACAGAGATATAGACCAATGGAACAGAACAGAGCCCTCAGAAATAATACCACACATCTACCACCATCTGATCTGTGACAAACCTGACAAAAACAAGAAATGGGGAAAGGATTCCCTATTTAATAAATGGTGCTGGGAAAACTGGCTAGCCATATGTAGAAAGCTGAAACTGGATCCCTTCCTTACACCTTATACAAAAATTAATTCAAGATGGATTAGAGACTTAAATGTTAGGCCTAAAACCATAAAAACCCTAAAAGAAACCCTAGGCAATACCATTCAGGACATAGGCATGGGCAAGGACTTCATATCTAAAACACCAAAAGCAACGGCAACAAAAGCCAAAATTGACAAATGAGAGCCAATTAAACTAAAGAGCTTCTGCGCAGCAAAAAACAAACAAACAAAAACAACAACAACAAAAAAAACAACTACCATCAGAGTGAACAGGCAACCTACAGAATGGGAGAAAATTTTTGCAATCTACTCATCTGACAAAGGGCTAATATCCAGAACATACAAAGAACTCAAACAAATTTACAAGAAAAAAAACAAACAACCCCATCAAAAAGCGTGCGAAGGATAGGAACAGACACTTCTCAAAAGAAGACATTTATGCAGCCAACAGACACATGAAAAAATGCTCATCATCACTAGCCATCAGAGAAATGCAAATCAAAACCATGATGAGATACCATCTCACACCAGTTAGAATGGCGATCATTAAAAAGTCACGAAACAACAGGTGCTGGAGAGGATGTGGAGAAATAGGAACAGTTTTACACTGTTGGTGGGAATGTAAACTAATTCAACCATTGTGGAAGACAGTGTGGTGATTCCTCAAAAATCTAGAACTAGAAATACCATTTGACCCAGCCATCCCATTACTGGGTATATACCCCAAGGATTATAAATCATGCTGCTATAAAGACACATGCACACATATGTTTATTGCGGCACTATTCACAATAGCAAAGACTTGGAACCAACCCAAATGTCCATCACTGACAGACTGGATTAAGAAAATGTGGCACATATACACCATGGAATACTATGCAGCCATAAAAAAGGATGAGTTCGTGTCCTTTGTAGAGACATGGATGCAGCTAGAAACCATCATTCTCAGCAAACTGTTGCAAGAACAAAAAACCAAACACTGCATGTTCTCATTCATAGGTGGAAATTGAACAATGAGAACACTTGGGCACAGGAAGGGGTGCATCACACACCGGGGCCTGTTGTGGGGTGGGGGGAGGGGGGTGGGGGAAGGGGGGAGAGGGGAGGGATAGCATTTGGAGATATACCTAATGTAAATGATGAGTTAATGGGTGCAGCACACCAACATGGAACATGTATACATATGTAACAAACCTGCATGTTGTGCACATGTACACTAGAACTTAAAGTATAATAAAAAATAAATAAAATAAAAAAGAAAAACAATCACATAAAAACAGCATCTACTACTCAAATGTAAGCTGAAGTGTGTTTGAATTCTGCTTGCTTTGTGAACTAGGACAATCCACTCATTTTATCTCCCATTTTAGTTGCTTATAGAAAAGACACAACTCAGTATTCAGAACTTGAGTAGAACGTTTGAGGGAGGCAAAGGGAGAGAAGGGTGTGATAAATTACTTGTCTGCCCTCACAAGGATCTGCTGGAGATACCACCCACTTTTACTAAAAGGTGCAGTGTTGTCAACTCTCACTAGAGACAGATTTGGCTATTCAATGGGTTATTGTGAAAAAGAAGTTGAGACATAAAGAGCACTGAGCAGAAAGAAGTGCTTCTCTTAAGGCTCTCCATTTCGAAAGCTTTATTCACTAGCTTTAGATTCTCTCAAGGCGATTTATCAAAAATTGCAATTTCAAGGGAACACTTTGAGATCTCTTAAAATCAAAGGATCCAACATCTCTCCAACTGTGACTTCATAAAGTACACTGGAAATGATCAGCTCAGTAGCACCTTGAGTCTCCGAGCTCTTTCTCAACAAAAGCACCCATTATCACCAGGGCATTTGTCACAGAATTTCACTTTGACCCAGTTCTATTTAAACAGGTAACTCCCGTGGCTCCACTATACACAACTAACCTCTTGCTTGTGGATAATGTGGCTGAATGTATAATCTGCATACTTTCTTTTTTTTTTTTTTTGAGACGGAATCTTCCTCTGTCCCCGGGCTGGTGTGCAGTGGTGCGATCTTGGCTCATAGAAACCACAGCCTCTTGGGTTCAAGTGATTCTCCTGCCTCAGGCTCCCGAGTAGCTGGGACTACAGGCGGCTGCCACCATGCCCAGCTAATTTTTTTGTATTTTTAGTAGAGACTGGGTTTCACCGTATTAGCCAGGATGGTCTTGATCTCCTGACCTTGTGATCTGCCTGCTTGGCCTCCCAAAGTGCTGGGATTACAGGCGTGAGCCACCACGCTCGGCCAATCTGCATACTTTCTATATCTAACCATTTCTTATTTTTGAAATTCCAGTAGGGCATCCAAATAATAGCAAAAAGTCTTAACTCTCCTTTTTATACAACAGGCATGTTTTAAAATAGTAAGGACAAATCAAACTTTAGAAAATTAGATCATGTTGGAAAAAGCTCTCAGAGAACTTAATATTTTAAATAAATTCATTGGGAAACAAGTCATAGAGAATTCTTTTGAAACGCAAACAACCACTCCAAGGTAATCACACATGTAGAAAGATGTTATAACAAGATAAGCTGAATGTATATACGTGTGTGTGTGTGTATGCATATATATGTATGTATAAAGCCACTTAATTCATCAAATTGACCCAATCACATTACATGAATGCAAACAAGGACCATCGTGTTGCTACTGTTGTAACAAAGCCTCCTACCTTGCTCTGAAATGATGCTCCTGGTTACTTCTTTCAATGGTCCACACGCTCACTGCACTTGGACTTGATAAGCACAGCTGGCGCCAGTTCATGGGGTTAAAAGACATTTGGTTCACATCCATTCCAGGCTGTGATTTCTTGCACAAAATGATATTCGATTCCCAGTTCCTTAGAGAAAAATAGCATTTGATGAAAAAAATTAATTTGAATTTAATGTATTTAGAACATTTATCTATTTTTTAAATTTATATAAATTGGGATATAATTTATGATATGATTGATATAATCGATGACCTTAATGTCAAATTTATAAATAATTATGCTTATCATTGTATTGTATCCTAAGAAAGCAAAATAACTGTATATTTTAAAAACATTATACTGTCATATGCTATACCAAGGCTATTTTGTCCTCTTTAATAATTTTGCAATTTAACTCAGCCAAACCTAGAAAATGACATATATCATCACATTTGCTACAAAACAAGTGTAAGTGCCTGAATCTCTAAGTATTACATGTGAGTACTCCATGTGGATCTCGGGGTACTGTTCTCATTCATGCCAATTGATCATTTATTGAGTTTTTAAAATTAAAGTGGTGCCAGGTGCAGTGGCTCACACCTGTAATTCCAGCACTTTGGGAGGCCAAAGTGGGTGGATCACGAGGTCAGGAGCTCGAGACCAGCCTGGCCAATACGGTGAAACCCAGTCTCTACTAAAAATACAAAAATTAGCTGGGTATGGTGGTGCATGCCTTTCCCAGCTACTTGGAAGGTTGAGGCAGAAGCATTGCTTGAACCTGGGAGGCGGAGGTTGCAGTGAGCCAAGATCATGCCACTGCACTCCAGCCTGGGCGACAGAGCAAGACTCCATCTCAAAAATAAATAAATGAATAAAGCGGTGTATTTTAAAATGGATTTATTCATTTACCCATTTAAGAGACTATCCTGAACTCCTACCATGAACAAAGTCCCTTGCTACATGAAAGAAAAGAAAAAAATTAAATGTGAGCTATGCCCTTAAATGAGGGGCCAGAACTCCATTCAGAGCTGTGATTAGGAAACTGGAGCTAATAGTTATTGAACTTAGCTTGTCTTTCACTCCCTCCTGCCCTCGTCCTTCATTTCCTATGACAAATGCCCTGCCCATCACATCAACCACACTCTTGCTGGAATCTCTGGTTCCCTTGATCCTTTGACTTTTTGCATCAGGTACCTTGAAAAGACCGTCAACCCTGAATGGAGAAAACTGAAAGCCTGGGCTACTGGAGACATGGGAACAAAGACTACAGGACTGTACATGGCAGTGACACCATACATTTGTGGTTGCCACCCCCACCAGACCCTCAATAGGCTCTCCAATACTGCTGTTTCTCTGGCCAGTTCTCTCTCTCTCATTCTCTAAAATGGGCATTTAAAATATTCTCCCCTCTCCTGAATCCTCTAGCCCCTCTACTCCCTTCTCAATCTCAGTAAATGACCTTGATTCTCATGAATAAAATAGAGGCCATCAGCTGAGAATTCTTGCTCTCAAGTATAACTACCCATTCAGGTTGGCATGGTTCTCTCCGCCTCCTCTCCCCTTACAATGGAAGGTGTGTCCTTCCTCCTACCTAAGGCCAGTTTCACCTCCAGTGCTCTGGGTCCCACGGTCTTGCCTTCTTAGGGATATTGGTTTATCCATGATAACTGCATCTTCAACTCTCCCTGTCTCCTGACTTCTTCCTGCCAACACACAAGTGCTCATCCATATCATTCTCAACAGAAGCCTTCCCTCAGTCTCACCTTTCTATGTCTCTCCCCTCTCCTCGGAGTCAAACTTTTTGAGCAAGCTGTTCTAAAGTCACCACCATGGCTTCCTCAGCTACACTCTCCTCATCCCAGGATATCTGCATCCTGTCACCACCATTCCATTGACGTAGCTATATCCACAGACACCCGCCTTCATCCTAAATCCAAAAGGCACTTCTTGGTCATTGTCTAACTTTACCTCTGCAGAACTGGTCACTGTTCACCACAACCACCTTCTGGAATCAGTCTCAGACTCGCTGTCACACACCTCTTATGGGACACCACAGATCCTCTCAATTGTATCTGGGCCCTTGACCACCTCTTCTGCCTGGCTGACTCAGTGGCTGTCCAACTCTGTGTGCACTTTGACTAACTTCATGTAGGCACACCCCACCTGTGCCTCGCCTCACACCCACTTCACATGCCCAGAGGCTTCACTGGGGCTTCACTGGGGCTCCTGGGGACAATCACGACAAACCTGAAAGTGTGAAGGAGTTACCACCCTGTGCAGTGAAGCTTTGATCGATGGGATACAGGAGTTGGAAGATAAATTCTCATCTCCTCCTCTCCCCTTCCTCACTCACAGTCTGTCACTGCTTGAGGACTGTCCTGATTCACAGCAGTTCATAGAACCTCTCAGAAGACCACCTTCAGGATAGAGTAACCAATTGCACTTGGAACCAAGTGGTGGCCAGCAAGGTAATGCACCCTCATACTGGCTCTCCTGCCCTGGGATCACACACCCTGCTAAAGATGGGGTGCATGAGTTCTTGCCCCAGCCTCTGCTTTCCGTAGAACCCAGGCTGAGGCACATTCTGGAACCCTCCCTGCCTAGTGTCCTTCCTCCTTTCATAGCTACTCCTATGAGTCTCGTAGGTGGGTCCCTTCCATTGATATTCCTCTAGGTTCCACCCTAGGCTCTTCTGGAGGTGTTCTTACTTACATTTAGCATGTTGGCTATCCATTGACTTAATTATTCCCAAATGTTTACCTCCAGCCCTCGCTCCTGAGCAACAGTCCTGGATATCTGTGGCAAGGGCATGTGTCCCTCAACATTTATTCTCCATTTCTCCCTGTGAGTAACAGAACCCCCGAATATTAGCCAGGCACATATGGCCACTCACAATGAGGACCTAATATTACCCAGCCGCCCTAGAAGCTGGCTGTGGTTTATAGCCGATCCAGTCAATGAATGTAAGTGGCAGTCATGTGTGTACCTTCTACGTCCTGCATTTCCCTTCCTTCCTTCCTTCCTTCCTTCCTTCCTTCCTTCCTTCCTTCCTTCCTTCCTTCCTTCCTTCCTTCCTTCCTTCCTTCCTTCCTTCCTTCCTTTCTTTTTGAATTATCATTACTTTACTGTTCCAGGCATTTTAAATATTCATACAATTGCCTTATTTCAGCAGTCATTTCCTCTCCAGTATAGATTTTGTGTCCAGGATCAGAGCCATGTAGATCACTGAATAAGCACCTGCAGGCTACATGGGACCCACTCCGGTGCCCATGTCTTTGCTAGTAGAGCCTTTCACCACACCCACAAGAGGGCTGGACCTTCCCTTGCTTGACATCCTCCACTGCAAATGAAAACACTTTGTAGATTCAATCCCAGTACATTTCCAGCACTCCCAGGTGTTCCATGTATGTGGCAATCATCCTGAGAGCTACTGATACATCATGTCAGCTGGTACCTATGCCAGCACCCACTCCACTGTATCATACAGATGCTGAGGCACTTAAGTGTTCTGGGTAAAACGGAGTCCATAATTGCCATAGGAGTTGAGTGTGGAAGAAGGGGACTTTCTCTCAATAATGAATACCATTAATACAAATTTAGCAGATTTATAATTTTACGTCTGTTTACATTTATTGTCAAAGCTTCACAAACTATTTACATAAATGAAAGCATGTTCAAGTTTCTAAATGCCGCTATGATAAGCAAATAGAGAAACTGCTGAGACAACACTTGCTTGCGCCATAAATACATATGGCAACATCTGGTCATTCTTAAAGAAATGCTTGTGTTTCCAAGGCCGGGCATGGTGGCCCACGTCTGGAATCCCAGCACTTTGGGAGGCCGAGGCAGGCAGATCATGAGGTCAGGAGATTGAGACCATCCTGGCTAACATGGTGAAACCCGTTCTCTACTAAAAATACAAAAAATTAGCTGGGTGTGGTGGGGGCACCTGTAATCCCAGCTACTCTGGAGGCTGAGGTAGGAGAATGGTGTGAACCCGGGAGAAGGAGTTTGCCATGAGCTGAGATCGTGCCACTGCACTCCAGCCTGGGTGACAGAGTGAGACTCCATCTCAAAAAAAAAAAAAAAAAAAAAAGCTTGTGTTTCCAAAAAGAATTTTTTTTCAAGTCATAAGCCTTATGCAATTCTTCCAAGGTAATAATGTGTTTGTCCTTCCTTCTCAAGCAATGGTTTAAGGCATCTCAAGGCATATTGCTGTCTGAGGTTCCGATTTAACTGGCTGGGGAGAGAGGGAAAGAGTGGGCACGAACATTTTTTAAAAGCTTCACAAGTAATTCCAGCATGTAGTCAGTGTTGAGAACCTTGGTACTAAAGGCTCTTGCATCTTCCTACTGTCACTTGTCCTCACCAAAAGTCCTTGAAGTAGTCCCTGGGTCAGGCAATGATCTCTTTCATGCAAGCTCTGCATTTCAACAACAGGTTTGTGCCCTTCCCCTCATCCCTTTCCCTCCCCATTGGCTCCCAAAATACACTGGTGGTTTAGGGTTCCTCTGCTGTTCCTAGGCTGTTGCCCTCATCTCTACATTTACCCCATTATAGACCAGAGATGAGAGCAACACCCTAGGAAAAGCAGAGCAGCACGACAGGGGGAGACTGGACGCTGATCCCAAGGAGCCACCACACCATTCACAGCTGCTCATGCCCAGGCAATTGCCTGTGAGAGAAGGAAACACGTGTTGGTGATTTGGGTTTCTGTGGCCACAACTGAACCTAAGTCCTAACTGATATATCAGCTACCAACTAGACATCTCTGTTTGTTCATCTCAAGCACTCTCAGTTCCGTTTGTCCCCCAGCTCATCTTCCCACATTGCCTCCCCTAAATTCCCTGTCCCCAAGCCCTCAGTATCTCTCTGAATAGCACCACAGTGTCCCTAAGTTGCCCAAGTCACACACAACTCTGGGTATAACCCTAGACCCATCCCTCTTCCTCAGCACAACATCCAACATTTAGTCAGTTATAAGTCCCATGATGCTACCTCCCAAACACCTCCCAAATAGCTTCACTTCCCTCCATCCCTACTCCCACCCTAGTCCATGCCACAGTCATCTCTCACCTGGACCACCACAGCCTCCTAATTGATGTTCATGCCTTGTTTCCTTCCAATATATCTTCCACAATATGAAAGTACTGGAGATACTTTCATTGGAAATAACTGGCTGAAAGGAGTCTTCTTAAATGCAGATATAATTGTGTCACATCCCCGCTTAAAACCCTTTAGTAGCTCCCCACTGCCTTAAGGATAAAGAATTTGTCCATTAGCACAGCTTATATGGAGTGTGGGTATCCTTCCCAGTATGCCTAGGAGAAACTCAGTTTAGGCTGAAGTGCCTGTGCCCTGCATTCATCAGCAACACCCTCTTTCACTCTCAAAAGCATCCTGATTTGGATGATAAACCACATGGTCACCTACTTATATGGCTGCTCATGAGCTCACCTCTGACTGTCCCTCCAAGCTTGCGTCTCTCATGGCAAATCTCTTGTGCCCATTATTATGACCTTTTCATTGAAATCTGCTGTGCTTTTTCTACTTCATGGCCTTTGCACATGCCGTTCCTGTGCCTGGGATGTTCTTTCTTCTCGTCATAAAGCTGATTCCTGCTCATCCTTTAGGTATTGCTATGGGTTGAACTTTGCCTCCCCCAAATTCCCATGTTAATATTCTAACCTCCAGCACCTCAGAATGTGACCTTATTTGGAAATATGGTCTTTACAGAGGGTAATCAAGTTAAAATGAAGTCATTAGGATGGGCCCTAATCCAATAAGACTGGTGTTCTTATATAAAGGGAACATTTGGAGACAGACACACGACAGGAAGAATGCCATGTGAAAATAAAAGCAGAGATCTGGGTGATGTGTCTGTAAGCCAAGGACTGCCAGCAAACAAGTGAGCAGAAGTTGGTGAGAGGCGTGGGGGCAGATTCTCTCTCACAGCCCTCAGAAGGAACCGACCCTGCTGAGACCTTCATCTCAGAATTCTAGTCTCCAGAACTGGGAGGCAATACATGTATGCTGTTTAAGCCACCCAGTCTGTGGTACTTTGCTATGGTAGGCCTAGCTAATTAATACAAGTATCTGCTTAAACATTACCTCTCCTTCCAGGAAGCCTTCCCTGACCATTCCCCTCCACCATCAGACTAGGTGGGGTGCCCCTACTACATGTTCCCATTGTGCCTTAGATCAATGAAAGCTATAAAAGAGCTTAGAAACCAAATGAGTTTAAAGCCCACTCAGCAACTCACCAACTATATAAGTTTAGGCAAGTAGCTATAAGAACAACCAAAAAATGAAACTTGGAAACAAGAAACATTGTGTTGGCTTGATTTCTCATATCATGTTGGGAAGCATTTTCCAACAAGCCTCCTTGAACAAAAACCAGACTTTGTACCTTGCTTTGCCCCATATCTGACACTCCTGGGGAATGTAACTTTGTTGTCATAGTATATACTGACAGCCCGATGTGATAAAGGCAGGCGTGCTTTTACAGGTTAAACTCTAGAACACGTAAAATGCTATGATTGTATACCCTGGTAGAATAGTTAAGGTTAAGGTGCTAAGGTTTTAGAGACCTCTGGAAAGTTCATCATTCATATATTAACCTAGAAATTTTATTTAATCACTCCTTTTTCTAACTCTATCTCTATGTGAGTAAGCGTGTGTGTGTGTGTGTGTGTGTGTGTGTGTGTGTGTTTTGAGATGGAGTCTCGCTCTGTCACCCAGGCTGGAGTGCAGTGGCACGATCTCAGCTAACTGCAACCTCTGCCTCCCAGGTTCAAGTGATTCTTCTGCCTCAGCCTCCCGAGTAGCTGAGATTACAGGCACCCACCACCATGTCTGGCTAATTTTTGTATTTTTTGTAGAGATTGGGTTTTGCCATGTTGGCCAGGCTGGTCTTGAACTCCTGACCTCAGGTGATCCGCCCACCTTGGCCTCCCAAAGTGTTGGGATTACAGGCGTGAGCCACCGTGCCCAGCTGTGTGTGTGTTCTTTTAAGCACTCAGGAATTGCTATGGTCTGTTTGTGCCTGCCCCCAAATTTGTATGTTGAAATCCTAACCCCAATGGTGATGGTATTGGGGTATTGGGACTTTTGGGGAGTGATCAGGTCAAGGGTGCAGCGCCCTCATGATTGAGATGAGTGTCCTTATAAAAAGAGATCTAGCTCATCCCTTCAACCATGTGAGGACATGGTGGAAATTATCATCCATGAATCAGGAAGCAGGCCCTCACCAGACACTGAAGCTCCTGGTGCCTTGATCTTGGACTTTCTAGCCTCCAGAATTGTGAGAAACATTTCTGTTGTTTATAAGCCACCCAGTCCATGGGATCTTGTGACGACTTACTAAGACAGGGACCAGCTTCTTTCGTTTTCCTGCTGGTTCCATTTTTAAGGAGTTATATAAAACCATCTTACATCTCACAATCTGTTTGAAAATTCTGCTTTAACATCTCATATCTCTGAAGTTTCAGTCTCTTTCTTTAAAATGAGGACCATCATAGATGTCTCATGGGGGTTGTTGCAGCGGGGAGGCAAGGATTAAATGCACTAACCCATTGGAAATCTCAGTGAATGCCTCTCTAATGAAACTGCTGGTGGTAGTATGGCTGGTGTATAGCACAGTGTCTTTGCTTATGAAGCCCAGATATCCCAGACCCCACCAGCCTGGGACTACAACCATGAGACCATTCCCCACCTATTTTAGATTCTTTTTCAAAGTTGTTATTTTTAATTATACAAATAATATATGAATCCATTCTGCTCTTTTAAAACAGAACACAAAGGTAAAGTCTTTTTAGACCAATTTATTTCCAGGAGTCAAATAATGGTACTTGAGCTCCTCCTGGTCGGACTTCCAGAAGTTCACCTCTTTTGAACTTTTACTAAATTATTTCTGGGAGTCCCCAGGGTCCACAGACTAACTGCTGTCACCAAGTGAGATGCATCCTATGCCCTGTTCATCTTCTAGCTCCCTCGTGTTTAGGCCCATTGCTGGCAAAGCTACTTGGTGAAGAGGACTATTGGGCCTCATCACAGGATTAAATCCCATTCACATTTCTATGCAGCACCCGAGGGTGCCATCAGGGTTGCTCCCAAAGCTTCTGATCTTGGGTTTGCAGAGCAGAGGCTGGAGGAGGGTCTGTCTCACAGCTCTGTTCATACTCATTCTTGGGCCCCAGGGCACCTCTGCTGCCACAGGGCCTCACTGAGAATTTTCTCATGATAGAGCAGTGTCTGGTCCTCCCCACAGCATCTACCCTATCCTCCCCTGCCCTCCTCACTCCTGCCCACTTGTCTCTCCCCCTGACTCAAATTTCTTAAACAGAAGTGCACATGAATATTAAGACATGCAAACAAATCTAGGGGAAGGGTTGGGACGGAGAGGAGATACTACCTACCCATAGTCTCAGTCTCACTTCAGCTTATCAAAAATGCCCCCTACAAAAGGCTCAGATATACCTAAAATGTACCTAAGAAGAGATACATTTTATATCCAGCAGGAAGCAGGAGATACAAATTTACTGAACGAATTAAATCCAGTGAGCAAACTCAAATGCTTACAGGGGCCAGGAAGTTAATGTAAATGAACGAAATGTACTGAGTATAAACACTTCTAAGACAGGGGTTGGCAAGCTCTTTCTATAAAGGACCAGACAGTAAATCTTTTTAGCTTTGCAGACCATATATGGGCTCTATTACAACTCAAGTCTGCCATTATAGAGCAAAAGCAGCCATAGATAATATATAAGCAAATAAGCATGTTCCAATAAAACTTTATTTACAAAAACAGGCAGTGGGCCAGATTTGGCCTATGGGCCATCGTTTACCGACCCCTGCTTAAGGTGGTGGGCATCTAGAATGAGTACCTACTTACTAGCCCACACCAGACTGTGACCATGTGGGAATACAGGTCCAGGGTTGCCTGTATTTGAGAAAGGCTATACAGATAACTTTTTCTCTAAATTTTTCCAATTTTAAAAATACTTTATGGCCAAAACAAAATATATTGGTGGCCCAGAATTAGCCTAAGAATCATCACCTTTGAAACTCAGACTTAAATAAATATAATATAATAGACACTATTAGGTATGATGCATACTTTTAGTCAATGAATTATTAGAAAAACCATATTTAGGAGATTTTGATATATCCACTTTACAGAGGAAGAAACGAAGGCTCAGCCTTTCTAAGATCACACAGCTAGTAATTTGTGGAGCCAGGATTCAGGTCTAAGTCTGTTACACTAACACATTTGTGCTCATTCCACTTCACTGCTTTTTTAACATTCACAGATTGCATTTAGGAAGGACAATTGGAGCCTTCTGCTTTTGGAACTATCAGAATTTATGCACTTGTCGTCTCTCCCCAGCTGCTTCCTATCTTATGTATCCAGAACTGTGAGATGATACGTTTCTGTTATTCGAGACACTCAGTTTGTGATACTTTGTTACAGAAGCCCTAGCAAGCTAATACAGTACATCCATCAGCAGGTGAATAAAGTATGGTATATCCATACCATGGAATAGAAAGGAATGACTATTGACACATATATGCAGCAACATAAGATAATTTCAAAATAACTATGCTGCATGAAAGAAGCCAGACAAAAGAATATACACTGTATGATTCCCTGTATATGAACTACCAGAAAATGCAAACTAGAGTGACAGAAACCACATCACTGACAAAGGCTAATAAGGAAGCTCTGAAGGAACATAAGGAAACTTTTGGGGTGATGGATGAATTTATTTATTTATTTAGAGACAGAGTCTTGCTCTGTCACCAAGGCTGGAGTGCAGTGGCGCCATCTCGGCTCACTGCAAGCTCCGCCTCCTGGCTTCACGCCATTCTCCTGCCTCAGCCTCCCAAGTAGCTGGGACTACAGGCGCCCGCCACCACACCCGGCTAATTTTTTGTATTTTTAGTAGAGACGGGATTTCACCATATTAGCCAGGATGATCTCGCCTCCTGACCTCGTGATTCGCCCGCCTCAGCCTCCCAAAGTGCTGGGATTACAGGCACGAGCCACTGCGCCTGGCTGATAGATGTATTTATTATCTTGATTATGGTGACATAAAAAAATTTTATGGCCGGGCATGGTGGCTCATGCCTGTAATCCCAGCACTTTGGGAGACAAAGGTGGGTGGATCACCTGAGGTTAGGAGGTCAAGACCAGCCTGGCCAAAATGGTGAAACCCATCTCTACAAAAATTAGCCAGGCCTGATGGCGGGTACCTGTAATCCCAGCTACTCGGGAGGCTGAGGCAGGAGAATTGCTTGAACCCGGGAGGCGGAGGTTGCAGTGAGCTGAGATCGGGCCACTGCACTCCAGCCTGGGCACCAGAGCAAGACTCCGTCTCAAAAAAAAAAAAAAAAATTGCATAGACTAAATGTGGCTCCCTGAATCTAGGTACTTATATTTTTGTATAAGAAATGTTCCTATGTTATCCTTTAGTCATTTCTGGAATATTCTGTACTTCCCCTTAATAAGAAAAATATCCTCTTGAAGGGGCTTATATCATGGATAGAAAACGGAGTACAGCCTTAAAGTTGGTCACATGAAATGATCCAGGAAAGACAAGAAATGTGTCTTAACCACAGGTATTTCCCATACAGCAGGCAAAAGTGGTATTATGTTCCACTCTCTGAATTGTTCTAATGTCTCTAACAACAATTATGTTAAACTGAACTCTAATATAGAGACCATCTCAATTTCAATATTAGCAGGAAACTTGCGAACAACTCCAAGATGCCATTTATTTTTTTAAGTGAAACTTTATGTATTTATAAATATATTCTCTATCTGATAATATATAAAGCATGTTAATAAAAGAGAATGACAATAACTAATTTAGTTCTTATATAGTTTTTGCTCTGACTGCCAAATTTTATGCCTAAACATAGCAACTGTATGAAAACTTATGATTGGGATTTTTTTCCTTCATATTTCCTTGTTTCAGATTTTTTTTTTTTTTTTTTTGAGACTGAGTCTGGCTCTGTCGCCCAGGCTGGAGTGCAGTGGCCGGATCTCAGCTCACTGCAAGCTCCGCCTCCCGGGTTTACGCCATTCTCCTGCCTCAGCCTCCGGAGTAGCTGGGACCACAGGTGCCCGCCACCTCACCCGGCTAGTTTTTTGTATTTTTTAGTAGAGACAGGGTTTCACCGTGTTAGCCAGGATGGTCTCGATCTCCTGACCTTGTGATCCGCCTGTCTCAGCCTCCCAAAGTGCTGGGATTACAGGCTTGAGCCACCGCGCCCGGCTTGTTTCAGATTTTTGATGTCTATTTCCTTTGATAAAATCCAGAAAAGTAAGAGGAAAATGTAATGTAACCCAGTAAAAGGAATTCCACAGGATGCTGAAACTTACCAAAGGGCCAGTTCAAATTCTGGGAGAGAGGAGTAACTAGCCAGGTAGGTGCCACAGTAACTGAATGAAAGCAAAGTGTAGTCCAGGAGAATGTTGCCTAAAATATAAAATCCATTATCAGGATTTGATTATGTTAAGACCATGTTCAGTTAACTATGATCTTACAGTTTATTTTCCTTTGCTAATGATTTTCACATAATTCAAAAGCATTTAACTATTAGAATAAGAAAGATCCTGGCTAATTTCTAAGACCATGAACAGAAAGCTTAGAGCAAAGCTAAGACCCATTTGTAAAAGATATTAAAGTGAATTAAGACCATGAGGTTACTATCTCTAGACTTCAATGCAGAACTGAGCATACTGCACCATGCATGTCCCAGCATGGTTTGAAATGACCCAAGAATCATCTCATAAATATATGAGACATTGTAATTAGAATAGTTATTTAGGCATCTTTAAATATCTTGGGGAGTTGTAGTAATTCTAGCTTACTTCCTTATTTCTTTTATCTTAGGCCATATCTGGCCCTTAGCTTAATATCTTCCAGCTTATGGAATGGCTATAAAAAGTGACCTACTCCTTTGTACCTATAGTTGATGAAAAGCAACATGAATTCCAAAGTCTTAGCAACAACATGTTTTAAAATGCATACCACGGGGAGGCCAAAACAAGAAGAGCCTGTCTGTGCTTCCCAGTACAGAGTGGTCTGATTTTCCCTCTTCTTCATCCGCTCTTCAGTGGGGTTGCACAGGTGCAAGCTTTGCCCTCACCTCAGTCTGTCTTTGTATGTTTATGTCTCTATTGCTTGTTCTGTGGATTTTTAATAGCTGTTTTCTGCTTTTTTTCTCATTCTCATTTTAATTGACCATAATATAATCCTGAAATTTTGCTTCTGTCATTTATTGAATATATTCAGCATAGTCTAATCAACAAAGAAAAAAGTGTATTTATTGAGATTCACTATAAAAACTAGTTTTTCTGTAGGCAGAGACCTTAATGATTTTTAAATGCTTGCTAAACAGATGTTTCCCTCCACAATTGAAGATGACCAACTTTAGATATTCTTTAAATCTTAGAAAATATGGTATTTGAAGAAAATGCCAAAAAAAAGAGAAAAATATATTCTCTATAATCCTACCACCAAACTTGGTAAATTTCTTTCTAGAATTTTCTTCTGTGTTTACTTGAAAAAATACATACATATATATTTTCTTTAAATATAACTTTGCTTTTTATAGCTATACTAGCCATAGATTAAATATTATATATGAGGCTGGGAGAGAGAGCTCACGCCTGAAATCCCAGCACTTTGAGAGGCCAAGGCAGGTGGATCACTGAGGTCAGAAGTTCGAGAGCAGCCTGGCCAACATGGTAAAACCCCGTCTCTACTAAAAATACAAAAATTAGTTGGGCGTGGTGGCAGGCAGCTGTAATCCCAGCTACTCAGGAGGCTGAGGTTGGAGAATCGCTTGAACCCGGGAGGCAGAGGTTGCAGTGAGCCAAGATTGCACCACTGCACTCCAGCCTGGGTGACAGAGTGAGACTCTGTCTCATAATATATATATACACACACACACACACACACACACATATATATGATAATCCATTTTTAAACGGAATTGGATTATAGTGCTACCTCAAGTTGGTTTTTAATTTACGTTATATTGACAATTTTATATTAACACTTCTTTAAATGTGTGATTTTTAATGTTTGCATAATACCCCTTTATAGTATATTTTATTTAACTATATCCACAATACTGGAGATGTAGGTTGCTCCAATCTTGTGCTATTATGACAGTGCTTTTTAAACTCTTTTGCATGTAAATCTTTGACTATATTTGTAACCATTTCCTAAAAATTGAATTCGTCTTGAAGCGAGTATACTGAGTCAAATAGAGTAAATATTTACTTCACAGAAAGACTCTACCAATATATAGTCCCACCTTCAGCAAATAAGAGTGCTACCAGTTTCACTGCATTCTACCTAGCAATTATGATCTTAAAAAAGTTGTGACCTTGATAGGCAGAAAAATAGCATCTTGGTTTAAATCGCACTTTTTAAAACAAATCTTGAGACGAAACATTTTTTGATGTCTTTGGTCATTTGTAGTTTAGTGATTTGTCTGGGTTAATTTCTTTTCCATTGTTCTAAGAGGCTGTTTGTTTTGTTCTTGTTTCATTAATGCTCTGAAAATATTTGATCACATTTGTCCAAATATTTTACCCAGTTTATTATTTCCCTTTTAATTTTTTATGGTGTTTTGATGTTAATCAGTTTTAAATATATATACAATCAAATATGTCTGTCTTAAAGGTTTTGTGTGAAAAGTTCTTCCCCTTCCTGGAATTACTCCTCTATTCTACTGTATTTTCTCCTCTCTCTCTCTCTCTCTCCCCCCCCTATACATATATATATATATATATATATATATATATATTTTTTTTTTGGAGACAGTTTTGCCATGTTGCCAGCCTGGAATGCAGTGGCGTGATCTCGGCTTGCTGTAATCTCTGCCTCCTGGGTTCAAGCAATTCTCCCACCTCACCCTCCTGAGTAGCTGGGATTACAGGCACATGCCACCATGCCCAGCTAACTTTTGTATTTTTAGTAAAGACAGGGTTTCACCATGTCGGCCAGGATGGTCTCGATCTCCTGACCTCATGATCCGCTTGCCTTGGAATCCCAAAGTGTTGGCATTACAGGCAGGAGCCACCGTGCCCGGCCTGTATTTTCTACTATGTTCAAGTGGATTTGTTATTTATATTGAATGCTTATTTTCATCCGATATAGACCATGAGTATCTAACTTGATACTTTTGTAAAAATATGCATTTTCTTAACACTACTGTTGAATAATCTATATTTTTTCTTTTTCCTTCTTCTCCTTATTCCTCCCTCCTCCTCCTTTTCTTCTTCCTCCTCCTCTTCCTCCTTCTTTTTGGTGACAGCCTCTTTCTTCATTTACTCAGCTTTTATATAATTTAGATTCTGTCCCAAGTCTTCAACTCTCCCACTGATCTGGTGATTCCTGCACCAATGCCACACTTCTAATTACTATGGCACCATAATATTAAAATGCCTTGCCATCATTCTCTTTCAAATTATTCTCATTCTCTATGTTTTATTTTCCCAGATGAATTTCGGAATCATTTGAGTACCCCTTGCTGTCTAAAACATATGATAAACCTACAAATTACTTTCTATGACAAATCTCAGAAATATATTTATAATAACCAGGCTTTCCATCCAGGAATATATTTCTATACATTTAAATATTTTAAATCAGTGATTTTTGTAGTTTTCTTCACCTAGGTCACTCACACATTTTTTTTTTTTGAATTATTTCTAAGTATGTGTATCTTCTAATGGGTACTTATTGGGTACTTATTTCTTATTTCTAATGGGTACTTATTTCAAAACCAGCGTCTTACTGTGCATTCTTTTGTTAGTCCTAGCAGACTATTGCATTATCCATCATCTCCTTTCCTATAGCTATATTTTTCTTCAGTTTTATATTTTGTTGCATTGGCTAGAACTTCCAGGTTGATATTAAATAACAGTGAAAACAGGTCTAATTAATATTACTGATTAATATTACTGGGAATTCCTTTAGGGCATCATTATTCAGTATGACTCTTGGGTATTGGTTTGAACTAACTTTCAATTGGCTCAAACAGAACTATAGCCAAATAACCAACCTGGGGAAATTTTTAAGATAAAGTGTAGTTATGGTCCACCTAGATAGTTCCCAACATGTGAATGGGTTATGTTTTAAAAGTTGTCTTAAACTGTTGAGAATGCAAATTTCACCACAAACGAAGTATTATAGTGAAGTTCCCTGACTTCACCCAAATACTTATTTGACCCTTAAGACTACAGAGCTAAGTCCAGCCTCAAGCATGAGCTTTCTGCCCATGGGGTGTCCAATGAGGGAATCATTAGCTGGAGGCTCCAGCAGATGTGCAGCAGCTCAGTATGGGTCAGCTGTATCTAAGAAGGAGTCAGTAGGCCGGGCGCAGTGGCTCACACCTGTAATCCCAGCACTTTGGGAGACGGAGGTGGGTGGATCACTTGAGGCCAGGAGTTCGAGACCAGCCTGGCCAACATGGTAAAACCCCATCCTCTGCCACAAACATAAAAAAAAAAAAAGCCAAACACGGTGGTGCAAGCCTGTAATCCCAGCTACCTGGGAGGCTGAGGCAGGAGAATCACTTGAACCCAGTAGGTGGAGGCTGTAGTGAGCCAAGATCATGCCACTCTACTCCAGCCTGGGTGATAGAGCCAGACTCTGTTAAAATAAAATAAATAAAATAAAATAAACAGTAATAATTCAAATGGTAGGCAACATTGAGCACTTGGCATACATACATATACAATATATTATATAATTTCATCTATCATCATCACCACAGCCTTCACATTAGACACTATCTTTATCCCTATTTCATGGATGAGGAAATTGAGGCTCAGAGACTTGACTTTAGAAGCTATACAAACATTAATTCACCTGGATTTTCAACAAATATTAGGAAAGAAGAAAAATCATTGTTCTGAAAAAGGCGATAGTCTTCTAGTCCAGTGCTTCTCAAAGTTTAATGTGCGTATGAATCACCTGGGCAATTTTGTTAAAATGCAGATTCTGACTGAGTAGATCTGGTGTGGGAGCCAAGTTTCTGCATTTATAACAAGCTTCCCAGGTAACACCAATGTTGCTGGTAAACAGACCACACTTTGAACAGCAAGGCTTTAGCTAACATAATTAAATCCTCAGTGATCAGCTTGATTCCTTCTTTAAAAATGTGTATTTAAAAAAAAAAAAAGGCCGGGCGCTGTGGCTCAAGCCTGTAATCCCAGCACTTTGGGAGGCCGAGACGGGCGGATCACGAGGTCAAGAGATCGAGACCATCCTGGCTAACACGGTGAAACCCCGTCTCTACTAAAAAATACAAAAACTAGCTGGGCGAGGTGGCGGGCGCCTGTAGTCCCAGCTACTTGGGAGGCTGAGGCAGGAGAATGGCATAAACCCGGGAGGCGGAGCTTGCAGTGAGCTGAGATCCGGCCACTGCACTGCAGCCTGGGTGACAGAGGGAGACTCCATCTCAAAAAAAAAAAAAAAAAAAAAAAAAAAAAAAGCCAGACCAGGCATAGTGGCTCATGCCTGTAATCCCAGCACTTTGGGAGGCCGAGGCAGGCGGATCACTAGGTCAGGAGTTCGAGAACAGCCTGACCAACATGAAGAAACCCGCCTCTACTAAAAATACAAAAATTAGCCGAGCGTGGTGGTGCACACCTGTAATCCCAGCTACTCAGGAGGCTGAGGCAGGAGAATCACTTGAACCTGGGAGGCAGAGGTTGCAGTGAGCCGAGATCGTGCCACTACACTCCAGCCTGGGTGACAGAGCAAGACTCCATCTCAAAAACAAACGAACAAACAAACACCTTTCAAAAAAGAAACCTTCACATAATAGATTTAGCCAAATCTTTAAACAAAATCCTTCAATTATGGGCAGAGGAAGGGTTCTCCAGAATACCTTTCAATTTGGTCCTTCTGGTCAATCCTGGAAAGCTGTATATGTAGATGAGGGGTTTTAGCTTCCGGTCAGAAAAAGCCACAACTTCATAGGGGATGTTAGTTGCCACGACGCCCACAATTCCATTACTACACTGGAGTACAGTCTTGTTCTTGGTTTCAATATTAATAAATATTACATAGTTCCCACAAGGGTAGCAAATGGTGTTGTTGTTGACAAAATGAACATTCTGCTTAGGGAATCCTTGCACCCATCTTTGGGAAAAGATATGTCAACATCAATATAATACATTTCAAATACTTTTTTTTTTTTAAACAAAGCAAAGGGTCATCAAAATCTTTGAAACATTTCTATTTCCATGTCCTTTCTGCCCCCAGTTTCTAAGATAAAAGAACACACATGCTGGCTGTGAGATCCGTTTGAGTCAATGAATTATAGAAATTTAAATGTAGACCTAAAATCCCATAGGTCTCCCAGGCCTTCTTCAGATAACTTTTTCAGCAAAGGAAACTCTCTGACCAAACCTGAGAAAGTCTCAGAAGGACTTCTGGGGTCTTGTATTCTTCGAAGACAAAAAGTGCAAATAACAGACAAAAGAGCTTGATCTCAACACAATGGCATTCTGAGCCATTCTTTTATAATTAGTTTGATTTTTTTTAATGAACTGTAAAAAAAACTTTGCATAGGACAACCTGCTTTGTGGTTGTAAGCGGAGTAGGAAAATTGCTTATTTACACAGATAAAGAGTATGTGGCCATATTTTAGATTTAAAAATACAAATAAATGTAGAAAATAAAAGGAACGAAGTCGATGTGAATGAAAGGCTAGCACACAAAAAGAACATACTCTCAAGTAAAGAGTGTGTGCTAAGTGTGTGATAGAAAGAAGGAGAGGAGATGGAGATTCTATTTTTATTTAAATATTAAAGATACGCTTGAAGATGGTGGAAAAGGCAAGTGAAGGACACTGGTTTGGTGGGAAACCTCGAGACATTAGAGTGTCCAGGACTAGCAGGGGATGCTCTATAGGGTGGAGGTGAGGGCTGGGAGGAACACCCTAGAATGCAGAAAAAAAAAATACCACCTATATCTGCGCAGTGCTTGATGCTTTTCAAAGGCCACTATAAATGCAAATAAATCCAAAGCTAGTGGATGGGAGTTAGAAGGATTCAAGGTCCTAACTTTGGAGGAAATCATCAAAGGTGGCAAGGACGGGATCCCGGCTGTCGCCGGTGGAGAGGGAGGGGGAGGGGGATGTGATCAGGGGACCCGGATCACTAGCGGGAATCCTGAGCCAGAAGGAAGAGATGAAGGGTGCAGGGGGCGTTGCTGGGTAAGGGAGGCGAGGGTGGGGGAAGGTGGTCAGGGTCGCGGAATAAGGAGTGGGAAAGACAACTGGGGACGGGGTCAAGGAACAAGTGGATGGGGAGCGGACAGGGGAGGTCCCACGGGTAGGGAGGCTGCGAGAAGGCAATAGGGGCAGAGGGGAAGGGGTCGAAGCTGCAGGGAAAGCCGCCCCAAGGAACCGGAGGGAGAGGAGGGAGGAGGGGACGTGGGGCAGGAGGGGACGTGGGGCAGGAGGTTCCGCGGGACCCAGAGCGGTCGCGGGGCCGTGGACACCGCACCTCACGGACAGGGACGCGCCGCCGGCGGAGTGATAACCTTCGTCGCGCTCCCGGCCTTGCGCCATGGACAGTCTTTTCCTCAGGCGGGAGCGGGCAGCGCACGCAGTACCCCAGGGCGGGTCGGTTACCTTTCCTCCGCCACCGGGCTGCCGACTGCGACGCCGCCACTGTGTACACCTGTATCCCGGAGACCGTAAGCCCCGCGCCCATTGGCTCTGTGCTTTGGCCCGCTCCCTCCTGGGCCGAGCAGACTGGTGGAAGGTCCGCCGCTCTCGGCCAATGGGTGAGCGACAAGCCAAGCGAGGGGCGGGCCCCTCCGAGTGTGGGCTGGAAAGGCCCAGGTCCGGGCCAATAATTGCAAGTAAGACTCATGCGTACAATCTCCGAGTTTTCGAAGGTCAGAGCGGGCGGGTCCCTTGAGGCTTGGAATTGAAGACCAGCCTGGACAATAGAGCTACACCTGCCGCGCCCGTGCCCCACCTCTACAAAAAATTTTAAAAAGCAGCCGGGCGTGGCGGTGCACGCCTGTAGTCCCAGCTACTTGGGAGACTGAAGTGGGAGGATCGCTTGAGCCCAGGAGTTCAAGGCTGCGGTGCGCTGGGATGACGCCACAGCAGTCCAACCTGGGCGACAGAGCGAGACCTGTCTCTAAATAAATAATAATTTTTTAAAATTAATAAATTTCTAAACAGACTTGCATTTAGAGTGCAGACTGTGCCAAACATTGTTGCAATGTCTTCACACCTCCCATGATCCCCATTTTACAGACAAGTAACGTGAGGAAAAGAGAAGCACATAATTTGTCCATGGCTACAAAGTTGAGTGGGACTTTATTTATTTTATTTATTTATTTATTTATTTATTTATTTATTTTTTTGAGACGGAGTCTTGCTCTGTCACCCAGGCTGGAGTGCAGTGGCCGGATCTCAGCTCACTGCAAGCTCCTCCTCTCGGGTTCACGCCATTCTCCTGCCTCAGCCTCCCGAGTAGCTGGGACTACAGGCACCCGCCACTTCGCCCGGCTAGTTTTTTGTATTTTTTAGTAGAGACGGGGTTTCACCGTATTAGCCAGGATGGTCTCGATCTCCTGACCTCATGATCCGCCCGTCTCGGCCTCCCAAAGTGCTGGGATTACAGGCTTGAGCCACCGCGCCCAGCCTATTTATTTATTTATTTATTGTTGAGACAGGGTCTCACTCTGTTGCCCAGGCTGGAGGGCAGTGGCTTAATCTTGGTTCACTGCAACCTCCACCTCCTGAATTCAAGCGATTCTCCTGCCTCAGCCTCCCAAGTAGCTGAGATTACAGGCACATGCCACCACACCCAACTAATTTTTTGTATTTTTAGTAGAGATGGGATTTCACCATGTTGACCAGGCTGGTCTCAAATTCTTGACTTCAAGTGATTCGCCCACCTTGGCCTCCCAGAGTGCTGCAATTACAGGCGTGAGCCACCTTGCCCGGCCCTGAGTGGGACTTAAATGCAGGTCTAGCCTAATTTAGAGCTCCAAGCCCGTAAGTACCAATAACACTTTGAAATGTACCCTCTTGCTTCCTCAGGGAAGCAGACAGCTCTGGAAGTAACCTGATTGAATGGTTGGCAGCTTGTCATTCCCTTTTCTCTCCCATACCTTCCCTTAGACTCCCTCCCTTACCCTTCTCCTTCCTTTCCCTCCAGTCCTCTTCCCTTCCCCACCCTTCCCTTCCTTTCTTTATGTCTTTCCTTCCTGTCTTGCTTTCTTCTCTCCATTTCTTTCACAAATATTTACAGAGCATCCCGCATGCATTCATGCATGTGCTAGTCACTTGGAAAAAATAGAAAAACAAATAAAATTTCTTTCTTCTTGGAACTTAGAGACTGGTGGGATCCCGGGAGTTGGGCTAGATATCCACATTGTCTCAGATGGTCTGTGTAAGTTGTGAAAGGATTTATGAAAGTGATTTTATACAAGAAATGTTGTACAATTCACAGATTGTTAGGCCTCCTAAATGCTTCATACAATGCCCTATGACTCTTACTGTACAACTTGCCTGCTTAAGTAAGGCTGATCCCTGTGGACATGTGGAGTTAGCCATGCTCTCTAGCTATGCTGGAGAGTCAGCTCTTATCTGCATTTCTGCCTGGCGTGTCCTAGGCTAGGCTTCACACCTAGGACACGATTAAAATCTCTTACTTACCAAGGTTTTCACCAAAAATAAAAGTTGCTAAGAGTTGACATTATAACATGTAATTAAAACTACTAAAGAAACAATTTTACATGCAAGGTGTGTAAAGAAAGTAAAATGTGTTTTTGGTGAAAGCTTATAAGAAGTCATGGGAATGTGGATTTTTTTTCTGCCTACATTTAAGTGTTAAAGGATTACTTTAAGTAAAAAAAAAAATCTAAAGGTTTAAATAAGTTGTGGAAGGTTTATAAAAATTAATTGTAAGAGATTCCGTGTGTGAACATATTGGCTAAAGTTACAGGGGTTTTATTCAGTTTTTCCATAAGTTAAACATTGGAATAAAAGCACAATAGGTTTTTCTTAGAGAATTGATCTGCTCTTTCTCACATACACACACACACACACACACACACACACACACAATTGTAAAGGGTTATACAAGGCTTATAAGACTCTTACCTTATGGTTAAACATTAAAATTGGGTAAATATTTCTATAAGGTTTTATTAAAAATTGGGTTTAACATTAATAGCACATTAATGTAAAGGTAAAATTTAGGTTATTTGGTATAACAGTCATACAGGAAGCATTATCAAATGTGAAATGGTGTTTTGCTTTTTTTGGACTATATTTGCATAAATGTGTTATTGGTATATGTTACAAAGTTATGAGAAATGCTTATAATTCTAATATGACTTAGTGTAGGTTATTAATAATTATAATTGTTATGTCAAATTTTGTGTGCCACAGAAGTAACCAAGTTTCCTTATCAATTGTAGCTTTAATAGTGGCTATCCTAAAACTTTTTATCAACCACAATTGTTTTCTTGTTCTAATCCTCTTTAGAAGGTGGTTTGTAATCAACTATAGAACTCTAGTGGGTGTTCCTAAATGCAGGTTTCTAATAACTTTGGAAATTGTAACATTAGAATAGAGGAAACAACTTTCAGAACCCTCATGAAGAGCTGGAATGTTCATGAATATCAGAGTCAAGGAAACTTTTCTTTTGAGCTATTTACAGCTTTTAGCAATTGAGTATACTTCTGTGAACAAAATTTGGAGTAGATTTGTTTCTCTCTACCTAATTTTTCCAAAATTTGGAAACTATTTGTGAGTATTCTTAATTTATGTCTACATAGTTATTTGCATACATGCAGTAAGGATCTGTTTTCTTTTGTAACAGAACACAATTGGATAATTGGTTATTTTACCAAAGCTTTAACTGGAATGGTGTGCTTTCCTTTAAGGAATCAAACTTGACTTGTAAAGCCAATAAAAACCCCTTGGAGAATTGGCCTCAGATCTTGTCTGCAACAGTCCCTATAAAGGTAAGTAAAGAATGACCTGTGATAAGTAAAGAATGTCACTTTCTGACAGGTCCAGGAGTCCCAAGTTATCTTGGGACCCCAAGAGGACAGGAATTTACTCAAATCATAGATATTTGAGGGTACAAACACATGGCTGAGCTTGGCTTTACAAAGTCTTATCTAAGATCACTTCTATAGAGCAGAGTTCCATCAAAGCCAATTTAAAAAGAGCCTATGTGAAAAATAATTATTCTTGTTGCACTTTATACAAATAATCAGGCCAAGTATAACAAAGCAAATCAGTCTTACAATGATTTGTCTTTAGCAAAAATGAGAAACTGGAGAGAGTAATATTATGTTTCAAGAACTATGGTATACTTGTTATTAAATTCTAGTCTCATTAGTTGTTTTTAAGTTTATTTCTGCAATTTAGGCTAACCCTGCTTATTCCTGTAAACCAACCAATGATCTCTGACTGCTGCTCAGAAGAAACAAAAGGGATGGGTAATGTAAAACTCTGGATCAGTATTCTAATTCTTGGCACATCACATTCAGCTAATAACCCCATGTCAGCTTAGTTCCAACAGCTGCCCAATTCATGAAAAGCCTTCTAATTTAGCTTACTCGGAATAACTTTACTTATTTTGCTTTACACTTGTGCAATATATTGCTGTTATACTCTTTGTGTAGGAATACAGGACAAGCTTACTAAATGTTTTCTTAAACACGTATTAATCTTCCAGATATCACTTTTTGTCAAAACTCAAGAGTTTTGAATGGACCTTACCATACTGATGCTCTCTGACTGAGCTCCTCTCTACCCTGAATGCAAGAGACTCTCATAGTTAGGCAGGAATATCATCGCCCCCATTCAGCCTGAAGAAGTTACAAAAGATGGATCCTTGTCCCTCTGCAACCCTTAGGATTAAGGGTTCTCTTATAAAAGAGAGGTGGGAAATGTCAGAGGCGTGTGAACAAGAGCAACTCCAGCTTAAATAGGAGCTGGGTAAAATGAAGCTGAAACCTACTGGGCTGCATTTCCAGATGGTTAGGCATTCTAAGTCAAAGGATGAGATAGGAGGTCAGCACAAAATACGGTCATAAAGACCTTGCTGATAAAATAGTTTGCAGCAAAGGAGCCTGCCAAAACTCACCAAAACCAAAATGGCGACGAGAGTGACCTCTGGTTGTCCTCATTGCTACACTCTCACCAGCTCCATGGCAGTTTATACATGCCATGGCAACATCAGGAAGTTACCCTAGATGGTCTAAAAAGGGGAGCCATGAATAATCCACCCCTTGTTTAGCGTATCATCTTTTATTCCTTTACTTTCTTAATAAACTTGCTTTCACTTTGCACTGCAGAGTCGCCCTGAATTCATTCTTGCATGAGATCCAAAAACCCTCTCTTGGGGTCTGGATCAGGACCCCTTTCCTATAACAATATCATTACACAAATAGAATTATAGATTGAAATAAGAAGAAAAGAAACATAATAGAATGAATGCTTATGTTAGGATCCTCACCTAGTGACAAAGATTCTCTGCCTGGCCAAACTTTCGTTGGGCTCCTGAACCTTTTCCTAGGCTTGTCTGTGCCCTTCCTTGTAAAATCCAGTTTTAGCAAAGAACACTGCTAAGTCAGTTTGGCAACACTGCTAAGTCAGTCCATCAGTGTCCTCAATGTCTGATCACCCTCCATATCTGATCAGGTTCCTTATTCTCTACTGTCCCCCAGGTGATGTCTGATTACCTTGGCTTATGTGAACCCAAAATATCTGAGACAGATCTCAATCAATTTAGAAAGTTTATTTTTCTAAGGTTAAGAACATGCCCATGACACAGCCTCAGGAGGTCCTGACATGTGCCCAAGGTGGTCGGGGCACAGCTTGGTTGTATACCAAGGATTTTTAGGGAGACATGAGGCATCCTACACAATATGTATAAGATGTACATAGGTTCAGTCAGGTCATAGGGAGATAAGAGACAAAAGATTACATTCCTTTGAGTCTCTGATTAGCTTTTCACTGAATACAACAATTTACATATGAGAGGAGGGTAGAGGAATAGTCACTTATGCCTAAGTCTGGCTTAGTGAAACAACAGGGCAGAGAAAGCCATCAGATGTACAGTTGTCTCTTGTGACCAGAGGAACGACTTTGAGTTCTGTCCGTCCTTTGTCCACAAGGAATTTCCTTGTGGGAAAATTATTTGATTGGGGGCGGGGGGGATATGTAGCTTTTTTATATTTGTAGCTATCTTATGCAGGAATAAAATGGGAGGCAGATTTGCCTGACACAGTTCCCAGCTTGGCTTTCCCTTTGGCTTAGTGATTTGAGGGCCCCAAGATTTATTTTCCTTTCCTACCTGTCTTCAGCAAGAAGCCCATTAGGTCAATTTAGCTAGAATCCTCCATCAGCCCTGATGGTTGCTATTAGTAATTTTCCTTCCACTGACCTGCTCCTTGGCTATAAATTCCCACTTGCCCATGCTGTATTTAGAGTTGAGCTCTGTTCTCAAACTTCCATTTTCATGGTTCCTACACCTTTCATGATGGTCCTGAGTAAAGGTGGCCTTACCATGCTTTAGCAAGTATCATTGAATAATTTGTTCTTTAACATGAGCTGAACGGGCAGTGATAGGGATGGTCTCTGTGTGCATGCACCACTTTCACTGAGGGTCAAACGATGAGGAGGGATTGCTGGATGGGGGTGGGATGGGCTGAGGATAATTTTTATAAAGACACTAAGGCAGGGCCACAGATTGGATGAACTGGGAAGGGCAGTGTGATTGGCGCAGAGGGAGATAAGAAGAAAATACTTAAAATGAGGCTAGTGAAGGAACCAATGGCCAGGTGAAGGACAAGTTGAAAGTTCTGGCCTTTATCTTAAGAGCCATGAAAAGACTACTGGGGCTTAGAGCCCAGGAGTTCAAGACCAGCCTAGGCAACATAGTGAGACCTCATTTCTACTAAAAATACAAAAATTAGCTGGGCATGTTGGCATGTGCATATAGTCCCAGCTATTTGGGAGGCTGAGGCAGGAGGATCACTTGAGCCTTGGGAGGTCGAGGCTGCAGTATGCCATGATCTCACCACTGCACTCCAGCCTAGGTGACAGAGTGAGACCCTATCTCTAAATAAATAAATAAATAAATAAATAAATAAATAAATAAAAGTAGGATGCTTTGGCATGCTGAATACTTTGAATTAAAGAAGATTGGAAGGCCTCAGAAGCAAAGTTTCTCTCTGACCTTTTTCTGTTCTCCTGTCTCCTGCCCCTGTTTCTCCACCAAAGCAAATCATAGACACCAGAATTCCTCTTCCCCAAGGTGGGTCATGGAAACTATTAATATGTATATTATGTATATTATAGAACCCCTCTCCCTCAAAGCAAAGCACAAAAACCTGGAAATATTACTCTAACCTTCCTCTGCCTTTATTTGTAGGAACTGGCCATAAAGAAATTCTCTGACATGCCTGTCTAATGTGGATCATAAGCATCTTATTCCAGAGGAGTCCTGCTCTATACCCAGCAGGAAGGAATCCTACTCAGAGAGGTCAAGAAGAATGTAAACAGATAGGCTTTGCTGGGTTCCCCTTTCAATCTGTTACCATTATATCATACCCTTTTTGTCCAATCACATTTCTACACAGCTGTCCGTTCTTCATGGAGCCCAAGCATAAAAATACTTTTCCCTGGGTCTTTGAGTCTTTATTTCCGAAGCCTCCTGTGTGGTGTAAAACTTTGAGTTAACAATTTTTTCATGCTTTTCTCTTGTTAATCTGTCTTTTGTTATAGGAATGTCAGCTATAACCCTTATGATAGATGAGGAAAGGTATCACATCTTTTCCTTCCCTGTAAGACATTAAGTGGTTTTCAGCAGGGGAGTGACAGGATCAGGTCTATGCTTTTAAAAGATCATTTGGCTGCAGGATTATCAAGTGGCTGGGGTGGGAAAACAGGGAGAATTCAAATAGGCAGATCAGTCAGGAGTCTATTCCATTCTTCTAACAAATGGAGCCAACTCAGGATTTCTCAAATTCAGCACTGTCGATATTCTGGGCTGGATTTGGCGATTGTGGGTAGAGTCCTATGCATTGTAGGGTGTTTGGCAATGTAGCACCTCTGCAGCTGTGACAACCAAAAATGCCTGTGCACATTCTCAAATGTCCCCTGGATGGCACAATCACCCCCAGTTGAAAACCACTGGTAAGTCAGTGTATTAAAAAGTTATTTTAAAAGGTAAAAATCTATAGGATTTGGTGATGGATTGATAAAAAGAGGCAAGGGAGAAAGGAGAGTGAAGGATGTTCCTAGATTTCTAATTACCACAGAGATGGTGGTGTCCTTCACCGAGACAGAGTGAGGAGGAAATGGAGATGTGTTTCTATGCAGAAATGTGAGGGCCAGACACACACCATGCTTTGTTCTTAAAACTCATAAAACTGACTGACAAAATCTCATGTTGCAGGTCCCAGGGAAAAGTAGCAAGGAGGAAAAGTCAAACTTTCTCTTGCCACCCCTGATGACTTTGCTTATTTGTGTTTTGACCAAGCCCTCCCCACCCACCCTCATACTTTTAACCACAACTAAGAAAGAAAGGCCACTATCCTTCTGCAACCTGGCCCGGTGTAGGGGTCAGGGAATCTCCTGAATATCATCTACGGGTATCCCCAGAAACCCAGCTAGAGACCTCCCTTAATTTTAAAGCCAACCCTAGAGCAGAAGAGGCCAGTCTTGCCCTGCTCCCAAAGTAAGTGACTGTCAGAGGATGAAAGGTAGGCAGGGAATATAGACTTCGGGAAAGAGATGCTGGCCTGGAATCAGCAGTGACCCTGGGAAGCTGAACTTACTCTGTGTTACAGCAAAAGAGGAACTGAATGGAATGAAATTGAAAAGGCAGTCTCGTGTGTATCTTACGCTTGAAATCTTGGTGTTATGGTTTAGATGGAAAGGGAAGTCTCTAGCTGGGTTTCTGGGGATACCAGAATGTTCTGATATGCAGGAGATTACCTGACCCCTAGACCGTGCCAGGTTACAGAGGAATGAGTGGCCTTTCTTTCTTAGTCTGGAAGGGGAAATGCGGATCATCGCAGAGAATGGACTCGGAAGGATAAGTTAGGGAAATCGGTTCCAGTTCTCACATTGAAAGATTTGTGGGTATTAGAAACAAAATCTAAGACACACAAGTTTTTCTAATAACCAGTGTGTTCCACCATTTTTCGGAAGGGCCCAACTCCCCCAAACCAGCCCTGCCCCTCCCAATCTTCTCTTCCCTGGCAAATCTCCACCTCGCCACCAACAGCCTAGTCCTGGACAGAATATGCCTAATCCTCAGTGTGAGATTTTATACCTTTCTGGAACTCAGCTTGTCTTAAAGGCTAAAAGAGCAGTGGTTAACTCAAGTTCATTGAGCAAGCCCTAAAACCAAACCGGGCCACAGCCAGTCACAGAACAAAAAAATCCTTATTTCCCACTAAGGGATCATTTCAGTCCTGGCTTCTGTAGGATTCCAGCCAAATTCCAAGATAATCTGCAAGATGGACTTTCACTAAGTTTTTCTCCCATTAATTTTCTATGACCATTTAAACATGTGAAAAGATCATACAGCATACTAGAACTTATTTTATTAAGTCAATGAGTAAGTGGTTTCCTGTTTATCAGCTAATTGTTTGCTTTTTGTGAAATGCACCTTGTTTATGAGAAAAGTCAAAAAAAGAAGTTGGCATTGTTTCTCTGTGTAAAAAGAAATAATGTAAATAATGAATGTTTTTAAAATAAAGGAATAATCTGCTATGATAGAGAGTATCTGGTTATTCTATGGCAATTGACCCCTTTTATAGCAGTGATGACCACAATTTACTAAGCTGCTATTATGTGTTTGGAGCTCCATAGAGTCTGAGTCCTCCCACCAACTATGCTACATAAGAACCTGTGGCTCAGAGAGATGAGTGAGACTCAAAATTACACATTTAGTTAGTGGTAGAGCTGGATTCAATCGTGGGTTCACCTGCCCCTGAAGTCTAAGCATTTCTTTTTCTTTTTTTTGTAGAGATGGAGTCTTGTTATGTTGCCCAGGCTGGTCTTGAACTCCTGGCCTCAAGTGATATTCCCACCCTGGCCATCCGGAGTGCTGGGATTACAAGTGTGAGCCACTGCGTCTGGCCTAAAGTCTATGTCTTCTGCACAGGTTTTCTCTCTGCTCTGCTGCCGCATCCATGCATGTTTATATAATAATAGCTAACTTATATGAAGCCACTTCTCTGTGCCTGGCATTGTACATCCTTATAATACATGTATTATTTAATCCCTGTTGTAGAGACAGGAAAATCGAGTCTCAGAAAGTTAAAATTTTTTGCCCAACATCTCACAAGTTTCAAATGAACTTGAATTCAGGTAGTTAATTGTCTTAAAAGCACTCTTCTTTCCAGCAGACTTGTAAATTTCAAAGTAAATTGGACATTTAGTTTAAACTTTGCATTTTTCTGGAAAAAGGAAAAATAGGAAATCCTTCATAATTTCCAAAAGTTTTAGAATAAATAATATGGGAAGAGGCTACATTGTTATGGAGATCCTGGGCCAGTTAGTGAAAATGGCTGAATGTTATTATTTAGTGCATTTAATCTACAAATTCAGACTTCATTTTCAAGCTTCAAATATTTTGGAGGTATCTGTGGAGTATAGTTTTATGACTAAATTTTGTGTCCCAAGATGCTTCCTTTACTCTTGATACTGAAATAACTACACTAGATTAAATACAGAAAGGGTTTGTAAGTCAACATTTAAGAAAATAACACACTGAACATGTGGTTTTAAATAATGTTTTAAAGAAGAATGAGAAGGTTATTTTGCAAGACAGAGGGGATTGTCACAACATGCCCACCTGGAATTCTAAGGCAAGAATATAAATGGAGACTCATAAATCATTTGTTCAATTATTTTCAAATTAGTTCTTAAAAATTTAAAGTCAAACACAAATTATAAGATTGAAAAGTAAAACTTCAAATCAAAATTGTTTAAAGCAAATATTTTTAATTTTAATGAAATTTTATTAAATATTTTTATATAAAAAATTTGCAATTCTAATATTTATTATTCATGTAGCTGTCAAAGAATTGGTATCAAGCTTCATACATGTTATATCTAGACCTACATACATACAGAAACATAGGACTAATACATTTTTTTCTATATTGCAAAACATTCTTCAGCATCCATGTACAGCTATTGCCAATACCACGCTAACCCATGACAACCCCTGGAACCAAACAGAGTTGGAATCAAAGAGAAGCAAGAAAATAGTCACTTGATTGTACTGGGAAACAATACTTAATTATTCACAAAGCAATACTGAATGAATGAATACATTCATGCTCTCTGAAAAAAGGACAAATTCCTTAATATATTTTTCTGAGATGGAGTCTCGCTCTGTCGCCCTGGCTGGAGTGCAGTGGCACGATTTTAGCTCACTGCAACCTCTGTCTCCCAGGTTCACCCAATTTTCCTGCCTCAGCCTCCCGAGTAGCTGGGATGATAGGCACATGCCACCACGCCTGGCTAATTTTTTGTATTTTTAGTAGAGACGGGATTTCGCCAGTTGGCCAGGCTGGTCTGTGACTCCTGACCTCAGGTGATCTGCCGACCTTGGCCTCTCAAAGTGCTGGGATTACAGGCGTGAGCCACAGCACCCGGCCAATATCTTTTATCTTATCCAAGCATTCCCACCAGTCAGATCCTCCCCACACTCCTTAAGTAGTTTCCAACTCTGATGTTGAAAGAGGCACAACACACAAACCTCACAATGTCCAAACACAGTAGCCTTTTGTTTCGAGGACATGGGGCAAATGTGAAGTCACGTGGCAGAACTTTAGAGTCACCGTCATGCTGGGGGAGTGTTGAGAGGTGGACCTCACGTGACAGTGGTGTGGGCCCTCTAAAGGGTGGGGCCCATGGCAGGGGCACACCTTGTGGGGTCTATGGGTGGCACTATTTTTACTGGTGGAAGGTGTTTGAGTTACAGGGGGCAAAGCAGAATGGGTATGCAGCTCAACTCTTGCCTCCTCAGAAGAAATAATTCGATTGAGGGAAATAAAGCAGAAAAAGAGACTGAGGCAAGTTTCAGAGCAGAAGTGGAAGTTTATTTTAAAAGGCTTTAGAACAGGAAAGATAGGAAAGTACACTTGGAAGAGACCCAAGCATGCGACTTGAAGAATAAGCACAATATTTAACCTTGATCCTAGGACTTTATAGGCTAGCCCCTTTCCCATAATTCTTCCCTTACGGGGGGCTGCCCACGTGCACAATGCCTCTTCTTTACCTTTGGGAACTGAGCACATGCAGTGTGTTCAGGAAGTTGTACCCATGACCATCTGAGGCTCTCTGCCCTTTTCTGGGGGAGTGCCCCTAGAAGGTCATACTCTACCACTTTGTCTCTTCTTTTTTTTTTTTTGAGACGGAGTTTTGCTCTTGTTGCCCAGGCTGGAGTGCAATGGCACAATCTTGGCCCACTGCAACCTCCACCTCCTGGGTTCAAGAGATTCTTCTCCTGCCTCAGCCTCCCGAGTAGCTGGGATTACAGACATGTGCCACCATGCCCGGCTAATTTTGTATTTTTAGTAGACCTGGGGTTCTCCATGTTGGTCAGGCTGGTCTCGAACTCCCGACCTCAGGTGATCTGCCCTCCTCGGCCTCCCAAAGTG